GGATTGTTCACTGGGAACGTTTTTACAGCCGTATACGACACATCAAAGGCGAAAAACCGCAAGAAATCTACTGGGGTGGCCCCCGCGGCGGACTCGGTTAAACACCGAAGGACACGATCTGGTTGCTACACATGTCGAAGCCGACGCGTCAAGGTGAGAACTTCCCAAGCACTGATCTGGATTTCTGCTGAACTATATTAGTGTGACGAGAAGAGGCCCATTTGCGACCGTAAGTCTATGGACAGTGTCGCTTTTCTTTCTCTGGCGCTGGGGAATGACTGACTAACCCATGTTAGGTTGCCAAAAAGGAAGTCGGGAATGTGTGTATCCCGATCCACCACCATCGAAGGGGAGTGGCGGGCAGCCTTCCCGAAGCAAGAGCACATCGGCCTCAGCAACACCCGCAAGCCCCTTATCCTCAATAGGTGAAGGAGACGAGGACACGGAGCTGAAGTCCAAGTTAGAGACGATTTACGACGAAGATGAATCCACTGAGCCATGGCTTCCAAGTTCTGCGCAGACGACCCGGAGCCGCCAGGACTCTGAGACGCCATCACAAGACGAAAACAAGAGTGTTTCCCCGGCAGCATCCAGTACTTTTCTCAGCACGCCTCTGCAGCCTGTTGATCCTTCGTTGACAAATGAGGGTCGACCTGATTGGAGCTCCCTCCCTCCTGATTTTCAATATTATCTCAATTGGTTCGATAAAAACGTGACGTATTTCCACTACGGGGTGAACAACGACGTCGAAGATTTCTTTAAGACAACTCTTCCGGTATTGGCAGCGCAAAACGAGGCCCTTCTCAACGCGCTCGTAGGATTTGCGGCGTACCAGGCAACTCTACAAGATCCGAATGGCAAGCTGCAGGATTTTCTCAGATATTACAACAGAAGCGTGACGCTCCTCTTAACATCTTTCAGACGAAAGGACAAGGGCAATGTTGCCCTTTTGGTGACAATTCTTCAGCTTGGGAGTATAGAGGAGTATTTGGGCGATTGGGTCAATCTCATGGGTCATCAAAAAGCTGCTTTTGAAGTTTTCTCCAGCTTGTATACGCCGCAAACAGCGATTCAAACAGCGATTGGAAGAACTTGTCTTAATTGGATTGCTAGGTTTGACATCTTCGTGGCGATTATGGGTGGATTTCCGGCAATGTTACCGCGGGAGTATCTGGAAGAGTTGGTCAATTTCTATTCAGCTCGAGTTGCCGCGGAGCCAGACGAACTGAGTTGGAAAGTGGCAGGCCGCTTGGCCGAGACTCGAAAATTTGGATGGGATATGGCGTTACTTTACGCTCGAGGTGCCCGGGGGCAGATCTCGGCGCCAGCATTTCAACAGGAACATGAGCGACTGACCATCGAGCTGACAGAGTGGAGGGCGAACTGGGATTCAAGTCTCACTGACCCGAAGTACCTCGTAACAGATTTCGGCAACCAACAGCCTGACCCGACCGATATTGTCAACCCGTACGAACCTGGAACCTTGTACAATTTCCCGATATTTACTACCACAGTGGCCGATACGGAATGGCATTCCATGATGATCATGCACAAGTCGCAATCATCGAAAATCGCTTCTGAACACCTCGTGAGAAACTTGTATGAGCATTCGCTCGCGCTGTGTCGAAACTACGAGACAATCGAGTTCTGGCCCCATTCTCCCAACGGAGTGATCACGCTCTTGCAGCCACATATTCAGCTTGGCGCTTTGTTTCTTCCGCAGGACTCGCGCCATCGAATGTGGGCGCGGCGGAAGTTCGCATTTTCAGAACAAATGGGGTATGAAAAAAACATCTTGCCATTGGGGTAGCCCATTCGTTACTGTTGTCCATGATGAGTACTGACATTTCATGACTGGATAGCCATATAATGTCATTTCCGCTAAGGCAAAAAGTAGCAAGGATTTTCCAGGAACCCTCGTGCGCGCGTTGGTGGATGCCCAACGACGAAGGTTTCACTCCCGTTCTGCAGAGTATCCGCGAGTTTGCCGACGAGCGGAACGCAGTTGCTGTGACGGCTCAGCAGGAGAGCGTCCGAGAGGTACGACATATATTCGAAAAGTTGGATTTGAGCGACGATGGAAGCTCGGCTGGGAGTCGAAGAGGAAGCACTTAATGGAGACATTGGGCGATTCCTTTGTGTCGGGCTGTGGCTCGCCATACTATCATACACGTATATCGCCGTACTTGCGCAAGGCTCCGGATCGGAGCTTAAGTATTGTCGATTAACAAGCGGTTATTCGGAGCACCGTCGAAATCCCCCCATCCTCGGAGCAAAAAGAGCTATCAACGGCCTTCGTAGACAGTTTCGGAAGGGTTGTGTTGACAGCTGCACATGTGTGTCTGCCGAAGAGTTGGGCTGAAGAGGATGTCCGAACCCTTTGGCCGCCTACCTTGACTACTGAAGCCAGCAATTGATTTTTATCAATGCATTGGCTGGTCTGAAAATGATTAACAAATCACGGCTGTGCCGAGTTACGAGAGCCACGGGAGAGTAATGGCATACCGACGGTGGAATCTTGGGAATGCCCCGGGATTTGAGTAATACGGCGCAGCCATGTGCGGCTTACTTCTTGGGCTGAGCATGAGAACTGCCCAGTCATCACCGAAACAACAGGGTCACGTACGAAAACGGGACCTGTTTATTGTATTTCGACATGGGCAAAAAGCCGCGACGGATTTTTCGAATCTATTTGGTGGAGGTGGGGTGTGAAGTAGCACGAAAAGTCCACGGTTTTTGGACAGTGAATCTGTAGTAACATTGTAAAGAAAGAACTGGACAACAGAACAAACTTTCTGGTGCGGCAGGCACCGTGTAGAGGCACAGAAAAAAAATAGCATTGTGTTCTACAGTATGTTGACTTCATTGAGAGGCTTCGGCCACCTACCACTGTCCCTAACGATATTAAGATACCTACATACATACATCCATATATACACCATAATTGGTTCATATCGCTTTCTACCTGCAACTACAAGAATAAAATTGACCAGCTCATCGTACAAAATAACCCCATACCCTCCAGTAGCCCCTTGGAGGCATTGCCATCCAAACAAACGCCAACCCTCTTATATATGTGAGCGCCATATTAGTTGTCCTCTGTACCCGCAGTTTCTTTCGTATCAGGCCCTTCATCCTCATCTAGACTTTTCTTATTTGTCGACTCTTTTGCAACTGCTTCTGTCTTGGCGTTGGCAGAAGCGGAAGTCTCGTCTGTTGCACCGCTCTTCTCATCTTCGTCGGAGCTCTCATCAGTGTCGGTGTTGTTTTCGTCGCTCTTCTTTTCCTTTGCCAGAGTTTCTTCTTCGTCGTCAGTCGTTGACGATTCTTCCTCCTTGGCTTTGGGTTTCTCCTCCTCCTCGTCGTCGTCGTCGTCCTCTTCTCCATCATCTTCGACAACTGTCTGATCAGCGTCAGACACATCGTCGGAGTCCGACTCATCGGGGGTAATTTCCACCAAGGGCTTTTCAATTACTGAATGCTCAACCATGACGGGAACCTCGGCAACTTCCGGCTCCTCGGCCACAGTCTCAGGGGCTGAGATGTGGAGGTCCTTCACTTTGCGTGTCATCTTGTCCGTTTCCTCCTCCTCGGCCTCGATGACGGTGGTCACCGCGCTCCCCGTAGACGGGCTACTTCTAATATGTCGTCGGGTGTTCGTGCGCCCGGCGTGGTGGGAGCCGTCCTCGTCAACCCCATTCCCCCGCGGCTGGGCCGTGGGCTTCAGGATGTGCTGGACCATCTTCTCCGGCTCGGGCTCGCTGGGGAGCGTCTCCAGGCCCTCGGCCTCGGGGGGCAGCTTGTAGTTCTCCGCGGGGAGCAGGTCGTAGAGGTCGCATACCGTCTTGAAGAACACGTACAGCCCGGTCTCGCCCTCCACCGACCAGAAGACGCTGCGGTGCTGGAACCAGGCGTGGGCGAAGATGCGGTGGAGCCTCCTGAAGACGTTGACGAGGTTCTTGACGCCGACGTTCTTGCTGTGCGCGTCGCTGAGGACGACGAAGCGGCTTGGGAAGAGCTTCTGGTCCGTCACGACGTTGGCGGCCCAGTCCAGGGTATGGCAGCAGTAGTCGATTGCGCAGCAGCTCTTGGGCTGTTCGTGGACGGCGCAGAGGAATTGCCACTCGGAGGCTCGCATCTCAGGGCAGGTGTGGGCGCTGCATGGAGGGGCGTCAAAGAGGAAGCCAATGATTAGGGAGTTGCACTGGGATATGAGAAATCGGCAGAGTTCGTAGAGCCAAAGTGTCTTGTCAATCCCTTGTGGGGGCTGGGCGAGTTGGAGGGCAGTTTCGCGGTTGATCGGCTTGGTTCCTTCTGCAGTGTGGTGATAGTGCAACGCGGCTAGATGTTCTTGAAGCTGAAATGCAGAGTCGAGCTGTAGGTTGGGTTGTTAGCGTTTCCGATCGCACGGGACGGAGAATTTTCAGGGCAATGATTGCAACGGACTTCTTGCAGAGGTATCAGGGGCGGGCCAGCAGCCATATCGGCTGCTTTTGTGCCTGGGTGTATGCGCCGCTTGGAGCTGGCATCGAGCAGGGACTGCTCCAACTGCGTTGAGTGGAGGCTTGCGGCTGGGCCGCCCGAGGGTGAGTTGGGCGCCATCTGGATCTCAGCGGGCGGGGGAGGGCTGGGGAGCCGCGGCGAGCTTGGTGCGAGAGCCATGGCTGTGGTGTTGGGAGCGACGTGGTGTGATGGCGGAGATCTATTTTGGTGCTTGGTAGCAGCGTGACGGAGACGTGCATGAAGTCGGCGGTACTGGATACATGCATACGGGTGCTAAGCTTGATAAGTGCATATATCCACTACCTTAGATGGAGGGGCAACAGGCATGACGAAAAAACGTACCCAGCTGCGTAAGGAAAGCCGTCACTAGGCCAGAGGTTGTCGCAGGCGATTGAGAAAATATTTTCTGGCGTGGAAACGAAGCAAATTGTCTTATCCGAGCCGGAATTTTTTTTTGTCTTTATTCCGAGCGCTAGTTGATCGTTGTATGCGCCGCCATGGATCTTGACGACGATGCCCCTCCAGAGCTCATTGACACCACCACCAGGGTGGCAGACGATGTCACAGATGAGGATGCCTCAATCAAAGTGCCCATCACCATTGTAACAGGTAAGCTCGCGAGGTCTGCTATCGGAAAGATATCGGACTTTTAACTAAATAAATAGGTTATCTTGGAGCTGGAAAGACAACCTTGCTGAATTACATCCTCACGGCTCAACATGGAAAGAAGATTGCTGTGATCATGAATGGTATGCACCCATCCACCGACTCATTGGAGTAAACCGCTCACTGGTTTTTCTTTTCTTAGAATTTGGAGACTGTGAGTAGCATAAAAGCACCGAGAAGTGGCTTAGGAAAGCATTTTCTTTTTTATTCGCCAGGCTCTGATCCATCTAGCACTGGATATTGAAAAGTCCCTTACGGTGAACAAGGGTGGGGAGCAGGTTGAGGAGTGGCTCGAGGTTGGCAACGGATGCATATGTTGCTCGGTCAAGTAAGTCATCGGTTGCCAAGCCTGTGGGGATTTGAGTCTAATTGGAACAGGGATACTGGAGTAAACGCCATCGAATCCCTCATGAGCAAGAAAGGAGCATTCGACTACATTCTGTTGGAAACAACTGGTCTTGCAGATCCCGGCAATATCGCACCGCTATTCTGGGTCGACGAGGGCTTGGGAAGCTCTATTTACCTAGATGGCATTGTGACTTTGGTGGACGCAAAGAACATTTTGCACAGCCTTGAGGACCCTAGTGGTAAGCTAGAAGGTCACGATGACAACCACGGTCCGCTTATGACGACGGCTCATGTCCAGATCTCACACGCGGATGTGGTTGTGATTAATAAATCCGATCTCGTGAGCGAGGCCGAACTCGATCTGGTCAAGTCGAGGATCGAGTCAATCAATGGACTGGCAAGGTTGCATGTCACGGAGAAGAGCATTGTGCCACAGCTGGAAGGCTTCCTGCTCGACCTACATGCGTATGACCAGCTCAACGAGGTCGACTTTGCTAAGAAAGGTCACAGTCATCTTGACCCAGTAAGTGGAAGTCGCAGATCGAATAGAGAACAAGGAGAACGGCTAATTGTGGTAGACAATATCAACCATCTCAATCCCTGTCGGAGTTCTTCGTCCTGACCAGCTGGACCAAGTCGATGCCTGGTTGAGGTCAGTATTGTGGGAACATCAGCTTCCGGGTGTTGAAGGGGCGCCAGAATTCGAAATCCATCGGTCCAAAGGGCGCCTGGTGTTCAGCAACGGCGAGGTGAAAATGCTACAAGGCGTTCGGGAGATTTTCGAGCTTTTAGATAGAGGTCAAGAGGAAGAAAATCCGGGTCAAGGCAAGATTATCTTGATCGGGAGACAGGTATCAGAAGTCGGATTTGAGGAAAGCTTCAAACGAAGCGTCAAGTAGAAAGTACGACCCGATGAAAGATAAATACAGTTGAGCGCTGCCCATCAGCCGGTCCATGAAGGTTCATCTAAGGTTGGTCGATAAATAAGCCCCTTGTCCCTCGTGCTAGGTCTTCTCCAGAATTCTTGGCCGCCATTGACGCGGGATCCCTGCATGTGATTGGCCAGGCGTGGCGCCGTCGGCGCGGCTGCATTTGTGTCCGACAAGCGACTCCTCCACCACGAACCGCCTAAACCTTACGTACATATCACAATCTCCTACGGACGGTCGCACAGACAACAACGCATTTGCCAGTGCTTGGTGGCTTCGAGATACAAAGTACCACCTGTCGAGTCGATCGCGCACCCTCTAGCTGCATTTTACAACCCCCCTTACATTTCTAAGCGAAAAGAACCAAACATTCTACACGGCCCGCTGCGAACTCAGCGAACCATGAATCGGCCAGGTAGGGCATACCCATACATCCCTCCCCGCTTCCAACAACCTTCATGACCCAATAAGCCTGCCACCTGGAGATGGACTCGAGTGCACTCAAGCTTCGGAACGCCACATCGTCATTGGCGAAACTACCTACCTATAGTCAACGTGCTTGCGGACGCCTCAGCCTTGCCTCTTCAGCCCTTGCACCAAGAGCTGTATGCAGAAACTACACGCGACTCTCGCTGGCACATAGCCTTTAGCAACGCACGAAGCGGAGCGACAGAGTGTTTCGAAACGTTAAGGTGTAGCTGCCTTTAGTTTGGACACGAGACTGAACTCCCATACGAGCTCGAAGCGACGCAAACAAGAAGACCACAATAGGTGCTGACGAGATGAATACTCCAGGACCAGTCCCGCAGCCGATGCGGGGGATTCCAGGTGGCTATGGCGGTCAGCAACAACCTCAGCAGTCAGGAAGATCTGTGCCCAATCGTCTGCCAAATGGAAAGATAGGTGAGGCATGCTTTGTACTTTGATCTAGTCACAACATGCCAAGCTCTGAAAGTTCACTGGAAGACCATCTGGAAGCTTATTGGATTGTGGATTTCCTGCAAAGAAAATGAAAAGACATGGGCTGACACTGGTGTTGAAATAGCAAGCAATAATTCAGGATGGGCATTCGGTGGTGGGGTGCCGATGGGAGGAGTTGGTCTCCAGAATCCCACGCGTCAAATGGGCGGAAACGTCAGCTTCGCACAGAGCTTGAGCGGATCTCAATCGACAGCACCGTTGGATTTGTCGTACGTTTGTGCCCCCCCCCGGAGGAGTTCTGTGTTTTCCCATGTCCTTGACCACGCTAGGGCGTGCTCAGGCGCGGCTGGGCCTGCTGACCCTCCGTAGCCATGTGCAATTGACTGTCAGATGTCGCACTTGGACACATTCTTACATATGCCACTTCGTGCTATGCTCTAGCAATACTGACTACGTCTAACTAGGGAATTCCCGTCACTGTCGAATAATGCTCAATTGCCATCTGCTAACCAAGGATCTATGTGGTCGAGTGCTGGAAGTCGAAATCTGAGCGGTCCAGTCCAAAGAAGCCAGGCTACGCCAATCCAATCACAAACCGGACAGGATGATCTTTTCAACCCCTCAACATCTCGGATGACGTCAACGCATGGTTCCTTCCGATTCGGTAGCCAAGGAAACCCATCGAGCACAAGCCAAGCTCAGTCGAACAGTGTAGATGATTTTCCTCCGCTGAATCGAAGTGGGAATGGGGATCTCGCGCCTGGCTCACTTGGTTTCGGATCGCCGAATGGCGCGTCAGCGGGGCCACCACAAACCACTCGGGGTAATGGACTTCTGAATGCTCTCTCTGCTAACAGCCGGTCGAGCGGTGTGCGGTCACCTCCTGGAGGTGAGAAGACGGCCATTTCCACTGCACCTCATAAAAAAATCCTCAACTAAACACCCATTTATTAGGTCTCACGCGGTCTCAGCATGCGTTCCGTGAGGACAGCCTGGATAAGAACCTGCAAACAGCTGTTTCGCTGAGAACCAAAGAAGGCGAAGTTGCAAACTCTAAATCAAAGGAGGACAAAGAAAACCAGGCCCCAGAAGCTGTTGATCCTCTTGAAGGGATGCCTCAAGCTGACAAGTGGGGGGTGAAGGGCCTAAGAACGTTGATGAATAATTATCCCGACTATCACACTATGGTCGTAGGCATTGATCCTGGAACTTTGGGCGTGGACATCACCTCTCCAGAGTATGTTTTACTTCGCTATGCCCTCTTTGTGCCTCGTGACTTGCTTACAATAAGATAGGCTCATCTCCAACCAGCATTACTCTCTATTCGACGATGCGCCACCTCGCCCTACCGTGAGTGGCAGCAAATTTCGATTACCTGACTGCTACAACGTTACCAACGTGCAACCTATTGAAACCAAAATCGGAAGCTTCAATGAAGAAACTCTATTCTGGATCTTCTATAGTTGTCCCAATGACATCAAGCAACATTTGGCTGCTTCTGAATTGTAAGTTTTTTCGTCTCGCTCATGGGTTCCTCCGTGCTCACCATTTCTAGACATACTCGTAACTGGAGGTGGCACAAGAAGCACCAAGTGTGGCTTACCAAGGACGAACACATGACTCCTCAAATCCTAAGCCCGACGCACGAGAGAGGCTACTACATCGTCTGGGATACGGCTACCTGGAGGAAGGATAGAGTAAGCTCAACTCTGATTTTCCTGTTCAATGCCTGGCTGGCAGTACCAAGTTGAGGTAACTGACGAAAACATTCACAGCGAGAATTCACCCTGTATTACAATGACCTAGACACGTCGCTGAGTCAACCACCGGTATTGTCCTAAGGGAGTATTTTGGAGATCGTAAGCATGGGGTTTATCTTGGAATTAGGCTATGATTGTTGCTTTTTGACTCTCGTACCTACGGGAGTGGGAGGATTAATCTTTGTTGTGAGGCGTTCTGGCCATTTTGGGGTTACGGACCGGTTTCTTCTAGCATGAGCACCAACTAGGGAATGGGTTCACAGAGGCTCCAGGGAAAGGGACACAATGGCTACATGGAACAGGTACATTTGTGGCCGCCCTGCAAATGGACGAGGCGCATCAAATCAAATGAATGCGTGATGTTTTATTCTTGAAAATATTTGGATGCGTGCCTACTATGTGCTAACTGGGCTGTCATCGCCAGCAAAGGTAATTTGATATTCGAATACTGGTGACCGTAGTTTTGGTTCAGTTATCTAAGTTGGGTGTCTCTCAACGTGAGCTGTGACAGTAAAGTACCCACTAGATCATCTAGCTGGTGCCTTGCGACATAGAAATAGGTACATGAATGGTATACATGCAATTACATAACCTCGTAAGCAATCAAAAAGCTAAGACGTATAGAATAAGTCTTATTTCCCTCCAGTTATCATGGTTGAATCTCAGAGGCTGAACGCGGCGGTGCCATGTTTTATGCTACTCACTTAAGGAAACTTAGAGGATTAGCTCCAACTGCCGTCATGCCACATGTGAAATTGCCCCAGGACCCACCGTGCATTTAACCGTGGATTTCCCTGATCATGACACCCAACGACAACGAAGATAGGTGCGAGATAGGACGAGTTAAATCATCTGGATGGGCAGTATTGCTCGTATATTGGCACCATCATATTAGCGACCATTGCGGCCATGCATTCCTAGGGCCATATATCAATATACTGGAGGCCCACCTCGATTTGACGTTCCGCGACACCATCGAAATTCATACCTACCTAGTCACCAACCCTCGTGATCAGCAATCGGCACCTCTAAGCATCTCAAACATCGACTATTATAGCTCATAAGCCAGCTGTGCTTGAAGCGGCCACGCCGAGGCACAATGTCTGAGGACCAGATTTCCCTTCCCTACTTCGTGGTTATTCTGGTCATTTTTGGATTCATCATCCGCTACCTCTTTTTCAATAATGGCAACACGGCCGCGCGACCAGGACGGTCGCAGGAAGCACTCGCAAGGTCAAGAGAAGTAGCTGTGGAGAGAATACAGCAGATGTTTCCCCAAACAGACCGACGAAGTATTCTATGGGACCTACAACGCAACGGCGGCAGCATCCAGGTCACAACTGAGAGAATCCTAGCTGGACGACTTGACACAGTAAGTGAAGCCCGCCAAATTCGACCCCAAGCGATTAGAGAGGGATCCGGGCAGCGTGGCTGACAAGATATCTCAATTTAGCCCCCAGTCACCTTCCAACCCCCTCCCCCGCCAAACCAAGCGCCGACTAGCTCGAATGCCGGGCAATCGTCCACGAGGCAGGCTGCGAAGCCGGCTCAGCCTGATTTGATCACCCGATACAACCTCACCAACAAGATCGACGGAACCTCGGAGAAGGAGGAAAATGATAAGAAAGGAAAGGGATGGAGCTCAAATCGGGATGAAAGACAGGCATCGCTTCAGCGACGGAGGGAGGAAATGATCCTGGCCGCGAGGAGGAAGATGGAAGCCAAGATCGCGGCTGAGAAGTCGACGACCTCTGCCAAGGACGAGTGAAGTGCTCTCGCGAGGTCAAGCCTTATTGTATTCTCACCCCCCCTTTTGCGTCGCAGCCTCGAGTTACCGATGGTTCAGATACGGAGCCGGAATCTTGCTTGCCAAGGCAGTAAAACAGGCGAGGGCTTGGGTTTTGGGAACGGGCAGCGAGTTTTTATAATTTTCAACACTACCTACATATATTACTTGACTCCGATCATCAGTATCACAGAAATATTTAGAAATTTGGGTTCTCTGACACGGTGATCCTCTCGAAAACGTGTGTTCGATGGGCTGGAGGGGCTATCACATGACAATTCAGCCCTCCAAGCCTGGCAATGGTTATACGTGAAGCGGATGGGGGGTTGGCAGCCGATGACATCCTTGCTAGGGTTTAAAGGAGGAGACTTCAGTATCTAGATAGGTGATCTTGGGAATGGGTGATGTACATCGCAAAGTCATGCAGAGCATCAGTATATAATTCCCACCGGTAAGAGTGTGAATATGATATGTCAAGGGGATTAGGAGCCACAGGGCGAGATCTACACTGGGAGAAGACATTGAATGAGGCTGGGCAATTGCGCATGGTTTATATAGGCGTTACGAATATCATACATACCCATCCTCGTCTGCTGGACGGCTTATTATTAGTCCCTTTGACCTTCATACATAAGCGCCCTGCAAATATTCCTTCCCTTGTGGCTGGAGAAAGCGATTTGTGCAACACAATTGCAGAATGCTACCTAAAACTCCCGCCATCTAAGGTAGGTAAGATGTTGTACGCGGCAGTGAGCCTCTTTAGTGGGGCAACTCTGGTGTCCCTCGAAGATACAGTGAGGCACTAGCGGGTACTTATGAGGTACATTGCTGTCCCTTGGTAGCTGCATCATCACAGGCTCCTCTCACACACAGCCCCTCCAAGGCGACACATCAACACCCAACTCGCCCTCGGGTGCGATGTGGATTTCCTACCACCCTCGTCGCATCTTGCTTAGATCCTGCTGCAGAAACTGCCGCGGCCGCACCCATCGTACCATTTATTTTCGGTCTGCGTCGGCCAGATGCGTGCACCTCTGGTTCTTTCAGCCTTCTGACGTCATCCAGGACACAAGCAGCCAGCGTAAGTACCCTCTTGTACCTCCACCACAGCTCTCCGGCCTAGCTCTCTCCAAGATGGGTGTATTAAAAGAAATCTGCCACGGACCCCATGGCGAGAGCTGGGGTGAGATCCGCCACTTGTCGATGCATGTTGAAACCTTTCAAGATCCCCGCGCCCCTTTGCACTTTGCGCTTTGTTCATTTGACATCTTGTTCGCTCGTTGTTGACGAACTCTCGAGCTTTGTTGCAGCCCCACAACGTTTGATTCGCATTGTTGTCTGCGGCCGTTGCGCAAGGCGACCCAAACAGCAGATCCCGAGCTTGCTGACTCCCTCCCACTCTATCCTACCGACTTTGCCCAACTCGTCTCTCTGCTTGCCAGTGCGTCAGCCTGCCACCACAAATACTTTGCTTTCCCACCTCATAACGACTCTCACCTTCAGTTCTCCAACCCTCGTTTTTGAATTGTGTAGCCCGGCCATGGCTTGCTGACATACCTTTGCGAAAAGGCACGAAAACCGGTTCGAATCGCTTGGCCAGCAGACTGGCTTGTCCCTCCCACCACACAACCAGCGTCGGCGATTCTGTTTCGACGACCTCTCTACTGCCACCTTGCGCGCCCATTATTCGGACGAAAAGACGTTGCCAAAAACGCGGCACGCGATCTCTCTACCACACCTAGCATTTCCCCACCAGCAATGTTTGTTTTCGCACACGATCCATCGGAGTAACGAAACAGCAAGATCTAAGCCGTGCACTACTGGCAAGAACGAAGAAGTGCTCGGGCTTCAGACTCTGCCATGAACCCTACCCAGGATTACTATGCAGACTTGGATCTGCCTCCAGATGCAGATGTAACCGACATCAAGAAGCAGTATCGTAAACTTGGTAAGGCTCCATTGCACGCCTACTTTCCTCGGTGGCCTAACTAACATCTTTGTGGCACAGCTCTCAAATATCACCCTGACCGGAATCCTGGACGAGAGCAGGAGGTCAATTCCAAATTTCTCATCATCCAAGCTGCTCATGATATCCTCACGGACCCGCAGAAAAAAGCCAAGTACGATGCGACGCGGACAAGGTCTGGCGCAGGACGATATGGTGGTTCCTCTGGTGTGAAAGGGAACCCTTGGTCCGATGTATCCCAGCAATATCCTGTGCCACCTCGGCGGCGCAACGATCACACACCCAGAACCAACCCATCCCGTGGAGCAGAGCGTTGGAACACTCGATTTTCAGCTGGTGTCCCCCCGACCTCAAAACAGAATGCCTCGGACGCTGAAGCGAAGAAGAATTTCGCAACAGCATTTGAACAAATGCGAAACAACAAGGCCCAAGCTGGTAATAAGAGCAACCAAGGAGCCAGCCGCACATCAGGGCCGCCACCCCCAACGCCGCCCCGGAGCGAGTCTGCGAGGCGCCGTGCAGAGAACGCGTTCGGGACTAGCTCGACCAGAAAGACGGGATATCATCCACGTGGCGCGACAGTTGGAGATGAGCCCCCAGTCACGAGTCAAAACTATTCTTCACGGCCAGACAATCACCGGTTTGAAACTGAATCTTTCGGCACACAAGTGCCTATGGAGGACCCGCTCCGCCAATTCAGAGATGACAGTCAAGCCGACAACCGTCATCGGGCTCCCTACACAACCCATGGTGGTGAGAAGACCAATCTATTCGATGGCCTTAACATTAGCCGTTCTAAGAGTATGAGAGAAGCGGTTCGTCCTCAAGCCGCCTCAAATGGGTCGTTCTCTCCAGACCAACCCCCGTCGGGGAATGCCAGCGACAGTGCTACCGGTAGGTCGATCGCAAGTGCCATATGCTTTGATCCATTACTAACAAAAGTCTTAGCTTCCAAACCACAAGGTGCCAAGGCCGGGAAAAAGACAATGTACGGACCATCCTATTATTGCACCACACCACCCTCCCCAGAGAGCCTCCTTCATTGCAGACGTCTACCGCGACCGGCAGTCGAGGGCTTTGCTTAGAAGACAACCCCTCGAGACAACGGGACGGAAGACATTGCAGGAGGCACTACAATACCCTCTAATTCATCAGCTCCTAGTGGAGCTTACTCTCAATACGGCGTTCTTACGCCTTTCGAGCAAAAGCAGCGACAACTGTTGGACCAGTTGATCAGAAACTCTGGGACCTCATTCCTGCCGAAATCGAGACTGAGAGCCTCCACCATAAATGGCCTTCACAGAAACATGAAGGGTGCTAACCTGTGCTCTCATAGCTTCAACCTGTCAGATGACGAAACTGGAAAGTTCGCCAGGAGTAGCACTGATGATATCAACACCACATTCGTCAACGACGACGGCAAGACGCCATGGCAGTTCGGTGCCACCTCTACTAACCAGCAGAATCAAAATGGCGGAGACAAGACGCCATCGAAATCTGCAGCAGCCAATTCGTCGAGTGCCCCGAAGGCTGGCGAAGCCTCCCAGCCACAAACTGCCTTTGACGCCAATACCTGGGGTGATCAGTTTGGGCCGCACACTTTTGAGCCACAGACTCGAAGCACATCTGTCTCGCCTACCAAAGCCAGCCGCGCGAATTCTAAGAAAACTAGGCAACCCAAATCGCAGCCAGATGTGATCACGATCGAGGACAGCAGTGACGAGGAGGTTTTCTCGTGGACTGGACGCAAAACTCAAGCAAATCCAGCCGCTGTGGATAGCCCCCAAGCTATGGATATAGACCCGCCGCAAGAACCAGTGGTAGAGCAGGCACCAGTCCATGAAGCCCGAAACATACCTGTCGAGCCCTCTAGACCAGAATGGCGGCCTGGCGATTTCGGCGCAAGAGCGGGAAGTGCTGGTAGTAAGAAGGGCCCTGAGACGAAGGTGAACGCTAATGCGGCAGGGTCAGAGGATAGCGAGGAGTTCAAGGCCAGTCTCGCAGACCTAAGTAAGGTAGCGCCGTTTGCTCAGCAGGCATCGGGTCTGAAATCTTTCAAGGACATGAAAGATCACCTACCATTCGAGAGTAAAGCGTCGGACGAAGTTTTCGACAAGGGTGACAAGGATATAACACGCTTAGCATTCCCGCAAATCCCCGTCGCCCCTCGACCATCCCCCTCATTTGCAGTCGAGGGGATCAAGCCTACAGCCTCTGCTTGGCAGAAATACGCAGCCGATTTTGAGACATACCTACGACAGTGGAGCGAGTTTAACAGTAGTGTCATTGACCATTTTGAGGCGCGGCGAAGTAACCTGGTTGCCTCAAGGGCAGCCAACGGATACGACTTCCTTCGCGCGCGAGGAGATGAAGGCTGTGCAGAGTATTTGAAGGCTGTCAGCCAAGATAATGATGTCCGAAGACGCTGGAATGAGGCGTGCGAGAATCACGAAGAGCGATTGCGAGAATTCATGACGTTCAGAGCTAAGATGAAATAAGGGGCGAGCGGGGAGAATGTTTTATTGTACAAAAGAAGTTGAGCCTATGCACGCAGGATGTTCTTTTGCGTCCGACTTGGATGTCTCGACCTGTGGGTATCACGTTTCTGGGCAGCTCACAAAATGCCGTTGCTTGGGACATGCAACACTTGCGCTGAGGAAACTGATGATGACGGGCTGAACAGACGATATTCTGATGCTGGTTTGATAGGGGCATATATGGGAGTGCAGTTAGATTTTGATTTTGATAACCATTGGGCGTTGGGCATAGGTAAACGGATGACTGTTTGCATTTCAACGACCTCAAGCAGAGATTCTCGATGATTTCGATATGGCTAGAGATTGGTTTGGGTGCTTAGAACAAATATTGGATGTGAGGGACTTGTCCTATTCAAAGGGGACTGGCTAGGGGTTGGTGTGGCGGAAATAAAGGTTATGCATTCCGGTCTATATCTATCCTAGCGAAGCGCTAGGAATAGAATTCACAAATGCAATGAATTGTTACAATTTCAAGTAGACTTGTTCTCCTCTTCGCCATGAGGTTGATGTCAGGGGGTAGTATTGCAAGGGGCCACCAGACAAGGCCGTGAAAGGTTGTCTCACTCACGAATGAATTGGCCCAGAACGATAATGATAATTTGATCAAATTTAACACTGCATGCAATAGCTCGTACTTCAGCAGATGGAAGGAGCCCGCGGGGTGTGAGTAGTCGTGCCCTGCCTGAATGGCCTTCGTCTCAGCCTTTCACCTCAGGCGGCAGCTTTCTCACCTCTTCCTCACAACAACACTCGGCTCCACACCATCCAACTCAACTTTGGGCCCTCAAGCAGGTCATCTGCCATTCTCCCACTTCTCACACCAACAAGCTTCGTTTGCACCTTTGCAACTACATCGTCATCTCAACTCCTCCAGTTACCAGTTACAACACATCACAAGATCTGTAAGTACTCGCGAGGTTCGACCACATCAAGTTCATACCTCAAACACATGAAATCCGATCCATCCCCTTTGTAGCCGATCTTCTCTGTTCATCACCTTCTTTCATCGCATTCACTTCATCCTTCCTGGGCTGGGCACTCTTAAGTGACTGGGTCAACACTGATACAGAGCATCATCTAAGTTTCTGTAGCAGGGATTCACAGTCGAATCCGACAACCTACTCGAAATGTCGACCGAAGTTGACAATGGCAAGGGGGCGTGGACAGAGGAGGCCAAGGTAACCCCGATACATCCACCCCCATACCCAAATTAGTGTCTGACAAGTTGCCTCCAGTATCAGTTCTTGCTTCACATAATCCGTCATCTCCGGGAGAAGAACCGCACAATCAACTGGGCAAATATCAAGATGGGCGAACGTTCAACCAAGTCACTTCAGAATCAGTGGACAAAGGTCAACAAGCAGCTTGCTGAACTCGATGCTCAGCAGGGCGATTCAGCGCCCTCTACCCCGAACAAGGCTACTGGTTGGTCCCCTTATTTGCTTGCATACACTTATCTCCCGTCACCGATATTTTTTTGTCAATGCTCCATTTTTGAGGTATGTCGCATGGTTCTGACTTCTGTTCTACCTAGGCAAGAAGGGGAAGAGGGCCAAGGCTGAGGCGGACGATGAGGACGGAGATGATGAGCCAACCCCCAAGAAGCGAGGCAACGGTAAGGTTTCCGATCCAAAGATCGCAATATTAGGGGATTGCAGCTAACGGATGGATCATGGCAGGGAAAACCCGTGTCAAGGCTGAACCAAAGGTGAAGTTGGAGAAGAACGGCGAGTTTGAGTCTCTGTCCTCAGAGGACTAACTCTTAAAACGATGTCCAAATCACCATTGATGCAATGAAGAAAACGCGCCTCTGAAAGTGGTATTTTCTTCGGTTGATCTCTTATTCAATCTAAGAAGATATCAGAAGAAGCCATGGTGGTTTTTGAGGGGGATGGAATGACATTGAAGACCTGTCGGAAACCAGAAAGAAGAACTGTTGCTGTTATGCGAAAGAATATGGCCATCAACCCGCAACTAGCAGGGTCAGGCATGAGACGAGGAATACATTTACAGGATTTGCTAGCAATAGGGGTTTGGAGCTATGAGCTATTTTGTCGCTATTGATCTCCTTTAAACGAATAAGACAAGGTTGCGATTGCGCCTTTCAATTACCTAGTGAACTAGAGGCAATTAATTAAGTTGAAGTCGGCATCAAGCCGACGTAGACAAACAGAGTAATCGGCAGGTGCGCTGGTATCCGCAGTATGTCATAATAATACGCAGTTAGTGCTCCGGGAATATTGCTCCCGAATGGGTCGACAACAACCCGGCAGCTCGCCATGTTACGATGCGCCGCAAATCCTTGCCCTCTCAATGCGAAAGGCGAGAAATCCCAGATGGTATTCAGTATGCGCGAAGCATCAATTCTACATATCCTGACCTAAGTTCAACTCGCCTGCGCTCAGTATTAAACCGCCATGTCCAATGACGAAAGAACCCCTTTGATCGGCGATATACCGCCAACCAGAGGCAGCGATAATGACGAGAGAAGCGTGGACCAAGCATCCAATGTATGCACTGCGAAATGGACACTTTCAACCATCTCAAAGCGTCTTTATGTCTCCCACTTCTTATCTACTTGCAATTCGCGGGTCTTTGAGTTCGGCAGCGTTCTTTACCTTGCGGCGGTCTTCCCCGGGACTCTCCTCCCTTTATCCATCTATGCTGTGAGCCGGAGTGCGTCCGCGATCTTGTTATCCTCTCTTGTAGGGCACTATATCGACACCGGGAACCGGCTACAGGTGGTTCGGTGGTCTATCGGTGAGTGAACCCGACCCCGGCTTACAAGGCTCATTTCCTATCACCGCCACGTACATTTGGGTCGCTGATGGTCGTGGTGTTTAGTTCTTCAGCGTGCGGCAGTGGCAATTTCTTGCACTCTGTTTTTCATCCTGGTCCGTGGATGGGCGACCTCAGAGGCATGGAAAACGGGTTCGCTGGTGATCCTCATCGTGCTCTCATGTGTGGAAAAGCTGGCATCGATTATGAACCTTGTGTCCATTGAAAGAGACTGGGTATTTTCATATCCCGTTTAGGTCCAAATCTAACTCGCCTCACATTCTGACCAATTTCTTTTAGGTTGTTACAATCGCAGGTAATGATCGAGATGGGCTCCAGGGTAGGCATTCATGTGAAGAACGACCGACTCTACGTTGTCTTTTGCTGAATTAGGCATATCTAGTTATGAACTCGCAGATGAGACGTATTGATCTTATCTGTAAGCTCTTCGAGCCGTTTCTAATCGGCATCATGGATGGCATTTCGACTGAAGTGGCTGTATTGGTCAACTTTGGAATGAACGTTGCATCTATTCCGCTGGAATACTTGTTCATCGCCCAGGTAGAGATCGATAACTTGATTTGACACATGTCACAGTACTAACTTCTGGTCAAATGAATAGATATATCAAAAGGTCCCGGAACTTCGGAGGCGAGAATACCAAGAGCCGACATCTGAAGCTCCCGGGAGCGATGACGCAGCCCCTCATCGTATTGTCCAAGTCACAAGACGGATAGGGGAGGGCCTGGACAAGATGAGAAAAGATGTCAAGATGTACTTCAATCACAGGGTCCTGCTGCCCTCCTTCAGCGGTGCTTTATTGTATCTGACTGTGCTGTCCTTCTCGGGTCAGATGGTCACTTTCCTGCTCTCGAGGGGTGTTACGTCCGCTGAGGTTACCATGGCTCGGACGGTGTCCGTAGGCGTAGAGGTGCTTGCAACCTGGGCGGGCCCATGGCTGATGCAACGGATCGGCCCCATTCGGGCGGGCTTATGGTTCGGGAGCTGGCAGCTCGGATGTCTATTGGTAGGAGTATCCATGTTCTGGAGGTATATCGACGAAGCTAGGATCTCGGTGTCAGGGCTGGTTGTCGGTGTCATTTTCAGTCGCCTTGGACTTTGGGGATTCGACCTCTGCTCGCAGTTTATTATACAGGAGGTACGTATTATACACCCTTCAACTATTTCGAATTCCTGGCTGACAGTGTGTGTCCTCACGAACAGGAGGTTGAGATGGCAAACCGAGGCGCATTCTCTACAATGGAGACATCGTGGCAAAATGTGTTCGAACTCTGCTCTTACCTCTCCACCATCATTCTGTCGGATCCAAACCAATTTGGATACCCGGCTACAGGCAGCGTCCTAGCCGTGACTTGTTCTTGGATTCTCTACAGTCGATTTGTGTGGCAGCGCCGGGGGCATCTGCTGCACTGGCCAGCCTGCCTGCCCCAAAAGACGCGGATAGCCGGAGAAGATAGCACGACTGCGCTATTGCGACGACGATCATGGTACTCCACGTAATGCCATTTGGATCACGAGAGCCCCTAAACTTGGCAGCGATGGCAAGTATACAGAGAAAAAAAGAAGGGTGTGGGGGGCAGGCGTTGGAGGATGAGGCTGGAGGGCGGCAGGGGGCATATGCGAACGCACACCTGATGAGGAAACTCATGCATGTCTCACCGATCTTCCCTTGGGCGGGATGTTGACTGCTCATAGGAGAGATAGCAGATGAAATGCACATTCTGGGGTGGGTGGGATGGCGGGGGACCGGGGTGGCGCAGATGTGTGACGGGTGAGACATGATGGGGAGCATTGGGGTGCTTGCAGCCTGGCCAAGGTCGCCTCTGATGCAAGACATTGGGTCGTATAGAGTTGCGCTTAGCATCCATTCCGGATGTAATGGGGAGTCTCGTGGCTGGTCTGCGACCCCGTTGAGGACTGGGCGATATATATTTGGAGCGCGCGTTGGAAATGGACGTGGATCATAGCGCATGCCACTCAAAATGATAATGTGGTTGCCTTTTCTGGGGGGGTTTCTTTTTGTTCCCTTCTCAGCGCTCTCATGACCTATTTTCACTCAGAAGGGTGGATGGACGTGTGAGAGCAAACCTCCCGCCTTAGGACCTCGTATTGGTTTGGGAGGAGCGGCTTAACCTGTCTTGTTCTTGGAGGATGCAAACAACCTGCTGGTATTGCCAAATATGTCAACAGTGAGCTCATTAATTACTTATTCGATTCCTGGTGTCGATCAAGAAATGAGCTCTATGAGGGCGATAGTGTATTCAAGCAGCGAGCTTCCGGGAAGAGCGGGTCCCAGAGATTCCCGCCATACAGGGGTAGCTTCGTAGTTAGAGTAAAGCCTGATGCTAAACACATGTGTAATTTGGAAGCTGATGCCGTTCCCTTCTGCCCAAGGCCCCTCCGATACTGACCGCAACATTTACAGTAATTGAAAGCCTCTTTTGGGTTTCGCAGTTCGCTTGTTATACTGATCCGGCTGCTTATATAATCGCGGCTCAGTCACTGCTCGCGTCTTCCAGCTGGGAAGATCCCCTAGAGACAGCCGCGACAGGGGGCGTTTAGAAGTGGGTGGGCACCCAGGCTGGGCGGTCATAGGGCCATTCACCCATGCTACCTCCTAAATAGCTGCTCTAGGTGGCCAGTTTGGTACTAGACCCAGCACCTAAGGCACCCACCCATGCTGATCCACCTTTTTTTCGTCTTGCTCAACATTGTTCCTGGTCCAAGTTTTCCCCAGAATTGAAAGGCCGACTTCAAACTTGCAGGTCCGACATCACATGTGCGTGCACATAACATCATAATTCCCTCCAACTATCACCGACCATTCGTCCTTCCTTTATGCGCATATTTCCTTCGAATTTAGACATACCTGCCATCTGGTGGATGCGCTTCGCCTCACAAAGTTCGCCCCCGACCTGTCCAGATCTGGCATTGCAACTCTAGACTTGTGTCACGCCAGTCCCATATTCGGGTGCTCCCAAGTTTTTCATCCCTATTTCATACTCTCGGGTTCTTTTCCTTTCTACCAACATAAGAGCTAGCGCGATATCACTCAGACCCCCAAGCTACTGAATCAACGCATGACGGTGTGTTTGATTTAGGGGGAAACGGCACCAACAAACGCTTTCATCAGAACAAACCATGGATTCTACCTTGGAGAAAACTACCGCCCCTATGCGGAGCACTAAACGAAAGGCTTCGGACTCTCCTGCCCGTGTACCTCCCGCGAAACGATCGGTTAATGGCAAGCCGCCGAGCGAAGAAGATGTGGAATATGTGGAGATAGAGTTTGACGAGCAGTCGGAACTCGATGAGCACCTGCACGCTCACCCGGCCATGTATATCGGCACACCGGGCAGCTTGGGAGAGTGGCAGGATACAATACAAAAAGTCGTGCGGAATGTGGTCGCCATTCGATTCTGCCAGACGTGTTCCTTCGACACCGACCCTGCCCTGACCAGCGAGGCGACGGGATTTGTTGTGGATGCTGAGAGAGGGTGAGTAGGACCAACCCCACCGACGCGACTGAAATGGTATGGAATAGGTGCTGACTCGCGATGCGTTTGTCTCTGCTAGGTATATCATGACCAACCGACATGTTGTTGGATCAGGCCCATTCTGGGGCCACTGCGTTTTCGACAACCACGAAGAGGTCGACTGCTACCCCGTCTATCGCGACCCAGTCCACGATTTCGGTATCTTGCGGTACGATCCCAAGGCGATCAAGTACATGACCGTCGACGGCTTGGATTTGAAGCCCGAGCAGGCTCAAGGTAAGCCACATATTGCCGTCATGTTTTAGTACACCTTCGACTGACCATGGTATATAAAGTCGGTGTCGAGATCCGCGTGGTAGGAAACGACGCTGGTGAGAAGCTGAGTATTCTTTCCGGTGTTATCAGCCGTCTGGACCGAAATGCCCCCGAATATGGGGATGGATACAGTGATTTCAATACGTGCTACTACCAAGCCAACGCAGCCGCAAGTGGTGGAAGTTCTGGAAGTCCTGTGGTGAGCAAGGATGGCTCGGCGGTGGCGCTGCAGGCAGGTGGACGATCAGATGGTGCTTCAACAGACTACTTTCTACCCTTGGATCGACCCCTCCGTGCACTACAATGTATCCAGCAGGGGAAACCTGTTAGTCGAGGCGATATCCAGTGTCAATTTCTCCTCAAACCCTTCGACGAATGCCGAAGATTGGGCCTCGCTCCCGAATGGGAGGCCGCCACCCGCAAGGAGTTCCCGCATGAGACGAACATGTTAGTCGCCGAGATTATTCTACCTTCGGGACCTTCGGACAAGAAGATTGAAGAGGGTGATGTGCTGGTCAAAGTCAACGATGAACTTGTCACCCAATTCATCCGCCTGGATGACATCCTTGATTCGAGTGTGGGAAAGACAGTAAAGCTGCAGTTGCAGCGTGGTGGGGAGGATGTTGTCGTTCACATTGAAGTTGGAGATCTCCACAAGATTACCCCCGACCGCTTTGTGACTGTTGCCGGAGCCAGCTTTCACAATCTCTCTTACCAACAAGCCAGGCTTTATGCTGTTGCCGTTCAGGGTGTCTATGTCTGTGAGGCGGCAGGGTCGTTCCGTTTTGAAAGCCCGGATAATGGATGGATCATTCAGTCTGTTGATCACAAGAAAGTGGTCGATCTCGATTCGTTCATTGAAGTGATGAAGGGTATTCCCGATAGGTCCCGAGTTGTTGTGACTTACAAACATTTGCGAGACCTTCACACCCTCAACACCACCATTATCTATGTTGACCGTCACTGGTCGGCAAAGATGAAGATGGCCATCCGAAACGACGAGACTGGCCTATGGGATTTCAAAGATCTTGCTGACCCTCTTCCCCCAGTTGCTCCTACCCGCCGCTCTGCCTCGTTCATCGAGCTGGACCATATGCCCCACGAGGGAGTTGCAGAATTGATTCGCAGCTTCGTCCACGTCAACTGTTCAATGCCGATTAAACTTGACGGGTTCCCTAAGAGTCGACGATGGGGCATGGGGTTAGTTATCGATGCCGAGAAGGGCCTAGTTCTCATCTCGAGGGCAATTGTTCCTTACGACCTCTGTGATATCACAGTCACGATTGCGGACTCAATCATTGTTGAGGGCAAGGTGGTTTTCCTCCACCCTCTTCAGAACTACTCCATTGTTCAGTACGATCCTTCTCTAGTTGATGCTCCTGTCAAGAGTGCTCGGCTTAGCAACGAGCATCTTACTCAAGGCGCGAAGACGTACTTCCTTGGACACAATAGAATAGGCCGAGTTGTGCACGGCTCTACCACAGTGACAGAGATCACAGCTGTAGCAATTCCAGCCAACTCTGGAGCACCGCGCTATCGTGCCGTCAATGTGGATGCTATCACCATCGACAGCAACCTCGGCTCGACATGTAACAGTGGCGTACTGGTCGCACCGGATGGCACAGTCCAAGCCCTGTGGCTGTCCTATCTTGGTGAGAGGTCAGCCTGTAGCCAGCGTGATGAAGAGTATTATCTGGGTCTAGGCACGCCTACTCTGCTGCCAGTTATTTCTGCTATTCAGAAGGGCGAGACGCCAGCTCTGAGGATCTTGTCCGTTGAGTTGAGAGCCATCCAGATGTCTCAGGCACGCGTGATGGGCGTCTCTGATGAGTGGATCAAGAATGTCACTCAAGCAAACCGCTCTCACCACCAACTGTTCATGGTTAGCAAACGAACTTTTGAGCGCGTCGAACACCCGGTTTCACTGCTGGAAGGTGATATTGTGTTGACGCTGAATGGCAAGACATGTACTACTATCTCGGACTTTGATGTGATGTACTCGCACGAAGTTTTGGACGCAGTCATCGTCAGAGAATGCAAGGAGATGAAGTTGCAGCTGCCCACAGTATGCATGGATGATATCGAGACGGACCATGCAGTATCTTTCTGTGGTGCCATTCTTCACAGACCTCATCAAGCCGTGCGCCAGCAAATCAGTCGTCTGCACAGCGAGGTCTACGTTTCAAGCCGCATTCGCGGATCGCCTGCGTACCAGTACGGTGTTGCCCCGACGAACTTCATCACCCACGTGAATGGCGAACCTACCCCCGACCTCGACTCATTCATTGCGGCCACCCGTAAGATCCCGGATAATACCTGTATGTCTCAGCATATTCCCTTCCCTATGCTCCCCGTTTACGTGCTCCATGAATATAAGCTAATGCAGGATAACAGATTTCCGTCTTAAGGCAGTCACCTTTGACTCTGTTCCATGGGTCATTACCATGAAGAAGAATGATCACTATTTTCCAACGATGGAATGGATCAAGGATAGCAACGAGGCGTGCGGATGGAGGCGTGTAACATATGAGGGCAAGGAAGTATTCCAGGGAGAGGCAACTGATGGTGTGCCAGCCCCTGCGGAGGATACCGATATGGATTAGAGGATTTACTGCGAAAACTGCTCGTTTTGCTGTTACCTGCTGGTCATATCTGGAATAATAGAAGCCAAACAACGGCAAAGGATGGTGGTTTCCATCTTGAAAGGGTTTTCCTTTCACTGGGCGTTTTAGTAGGGATCTAAGGGGTTTTCTTTCTGGCTGGTCGGCTTCTTGGTTTTTTATCGACACGATCCCTCAGGGATACAAGGTCCCTTGTCATCGTCGCCGGTTGTCAACAATACACTGCATCGATAGATCCTTTTCCTCAAATGCAGGAAGGGCGCACATGTCCAAAAGAAATATATCTGTGACAAGTCTTCTTGGAGACGAAGAGCATCATGCCGATTCTAGTCATTTGAATCCTCGCCTTATCATTGCGAAAACAGGACCTATAAAGGCTATGGATGCATTCCGATTTAACATCTGAGTAAAATAAAACATACAAATAAGATTAAAAAGTCAAATAGATTAATATAATACACAGCGTGAACTCATTTAGGTAGGCAGGTGTGGTAACATAAAATCATTGGCCCCTAGAGCTTGCATATTTGAGGCTCCTTGGTGTTATCGCCCGCTTGCGTGGCCTAGATGTCGAATCGACATGTATCGAGCAGGTGTAGGTACCCACTTGTGCCGCGTCTAGACCTTGTTGGCAATGTACCGTGTACATACAACGATGATGCCCCTCGGTCGGCCACTGGCTCCACACTCTCTGGAGCTTGTGCCCCGCAATGAGCTCACACCTGCCACCAGCCAGGCAGCATCATGGGTTCCTATCCCGAAGTCTTTATACGGTCGCCTTGAGGAACAAATACCCGGATTCCCTTGTCTCCTTGATAACTGATAGCCGACATTGATATATCGAAGACACCCCATTTGTCTGATATCCGAACTTCCAAGTGTCTCTTTAGGCCTACTGAGCTGGCGCCAGCTCGCTGTCCATCACCATGGCCCCCGGCATGTCCATCGTGGTATGTTGTAGTGCTTGTGTCTGATCCCAATACATTTGTCTACGGAGGAGGTTTGCGATCACAACGAACTAACCGGGAATGTGGGATAGACCAAGTTGAAAGTCCAACTGAAATTGGCGATCGCGCGCCTGCGCATGGTCCAGCAGCGCGATGAGCAGCTGGGCAAAGCGCAACGACGGGCGATGGCCCAGCTCCTCGAAGTTGGAAAGGTCGACTCCGCCACCATCCGAGTCGAGGGAATCATCCGCGCCGACATCATATCCGAGCTGCACGAGCTGCTCGAGCTCTACTGCGAGCTCCTGCTGGCGAGAGCGGGGCTGCTGGAAGGCCCCGTATGCGACCCCGGGCTGGAGGAGGCCGTCAAGAGCATCATATACGCAGCCCCCAAGACGGAGATCAAGGAGCTGGGGGTGGTGAGGAATTTACTGGCGGAGAAGTACGGCAAGGAGTTTGCCCTGATAGCCGTAGACAACCTGGACGGGAAGGTGAGCGAGAGGGTCGTGAAGAAACTTAGCGTAGAGCCACCGAAGCCGGAGCTCGTTCAAGGGTATTTAGAGGAGATTGCCAAGGCGTACGGTGTGAACTGGCCGAGGCGCGCGGCGGAGGAGCCTCCCGAGCTGCTTGACGACCTCGACGACGAGGACGACAGCCCGTCTGGTGGGCAGGCGCAGAAAGTGCTGGAGGAGCCCCTGGCAGCTGAGCAGAGCACGACGGGGGTTGGGGGCGACGCCAAGGTCCAGGGAACTCCCGTGAAGCGCGCACCTGGGCCGCAGAGCCCGCTGACTGTGACACCGCCGAGGATGACGACGGAGAATGTCCATCCCAAGGTGACGTTGGGTTCCGTGGAGCTGAAGCCGACCAAACGGGCAGAGGAGCCGCGGAAAAAGAGTGAGCCAGATGGGTCGGTGCCAGATATTACTGATTTAGAGAGAAGATTCGCCGCCTTGAAAAAGAGGTAGCCGGCGGGATGTTGAGAAGAATGACTGATTTATTTTTTGATATCTCGAGCTGATAGCATATCTGCTTCTGTGTCTTCATTATCCTGAATTGGGATGCCGAGGAGCTTTCACCTGCAATGGTCTGGCTAGAGGGGAAGTTGATTTCATGGGTTTCATTGCTATATTTTAGAGGAAGATGGTCTATTGCGAGGATCATAATGAACTTTGTTATTATATCTCGACCTACTACCTTGCTTGTAAGCGTATATAACAAGGTCGATGCCAAAGAGATTGCTTCAAGTTACAGAACCTCCTTTAACTTGACTGAGGCATTCGGGATATCCATAGCTGCAATCGCAAGCATGATCAATACGAGTATATTAGTAGTGGTCATGGGGCCATCAAATGAATTACCCACTCAGGTACCGGGCAATTTAGCTTTTGACTCTGTGACGGACGGACCTCAAAAGCCCGTCTTTCTTCCCTGACACCTTTTCTCCTCCCCTATCACACCTTACAACACTTGTTTCCATTACGCGTTAAGACGCACAATTTCAGTCACAATGTTGACGAAACATAGACAGTTGAGCAGTGGCAGTGATGATGGTGCAATCACAACCGCTAGACGTGAAGTATCACCGGTCATTGAGAACGAGCTACCGCAAATAGCCCCCAGCGGCAAAATCGTCGTCCTCAATGGATTCCCAGGCTCAGGAAAGCTCACCATTCTTAGGGAGACCAAAGCGCTCCTGCCCGTCGACAGAACCTGCCTTTTAGATAACCACTTGCTCATCGACCCTGTAGTAGCAGTTCTTCCTGACCGAACTGACGAACACTACGAACTACGTCGCAAGGTCCGAGCACCCATCTTCAAGAAGCTAGGAGAACTTGTACAAGAAGGCCATATCATCCTTATGACAGCATGCCTCGCTGAGGATAACGAGAGGGATAGAGCAGTTTTCGAAGAGCACTTGGATATTGTGCGTGGGACTGGCATACCCATCTTCTGGATCAGTGCACAATGCGACCAGAAGATCCTAGAGCAGCGCGTTGAGAGCCCCGAGCGGGACCATGGTGCCAAAACAAAGTTAACCGACAGAAGAATCCTCCGGGACTTGTTGCAGAAACACTCTCTTGTTGATCCAAGCAAGAGCGCTGACGGATCCACGAGATTGGTTTCAAACACCTTGGATGTGAGCGGTCCTGTAGGGCAATCTGTCAGCCGTCTGATTAGCATGATCAACTTTCCATAGTGTATTATGTCGCTACTGTAACATAAGTTGTGCATATCAGAATAGATCAGTTTTCTCCAGATATCGACAACAAGTGTGGCCAAATTTAGTTGTGGTTTTTCTCTGTCATTGCCTTCCAGCCATGCTTCAAAGCCGTGTCTTTGGCACGCACACATTGCACCCACATCATGCATGCTGACGCAAACACCGGCAATCGAGGGTGCTTGCAAGAAATAGAAGAAGAATTATAGGAAGTAGAAATCAGGATACGATATAGACTTAAGTATAGATTATACAACCTGCTTACACAAGTATCTACCTATATATACTTCCTATATACAGACTGTCAGAAGAGCAAAAGTTAGGTACCTTAGGTAGGTACTAATTCTCTGGGCTTTAGTTTGGAGGTACCTAGGTACCTTGATGGCCATTAAATGGGCGAGAGAAGGCGCAAGAACCTGAGGGAAAGAGGCAGCCGCGCGGGCTCCTTCCTCGCGAGCAAAATCAAAACAAACATTGTCAACAACTGTCGGGCAACACTCACCTCAGCAACAGCACACTACAGGTGCCATAGCTCAGCTTCGGGTCGTCGCCTTTGTTTATTATTCCTGACATTGTTTTTAATGTCGGGACAAGTTTTGCTCATTCATCCCACTTCCTTTTGTCGCCAACACCCCTCCCCAGGGCTCAACCTAACCTCTCGCCACCTCCTTTGAACGCATTCGCCATGGATTCCCTGGGCGAAATTATCCGCAATGTCAGAGAGGTATTGGGATTCAATGTGCCAAACATGAAAGAATTGGGGAAAATGAAGCAAGAGACATTGGAGAAGAAGTTGCTCAACTTGCCCCTTGGGATACTAAACACCAGAAGTATCGCCTCAATCTACATGGCATGGATGGCTGAACAAATTGCAAATTCGACTTCCTGGGATGATCCAAGTCCTGTCTGGAAAATTTGCGGTTATCTCCAGGGTAAAAACTGCAGTGGTGTCCTCGCATTGCAGATTTGGAATGAAATGCTCCTAGAAGCTCGCATGGAGCATAACATGGAGGACCCATGGACTGCAAGAATCCACGATCGAGGTCCTCTCGTTGAGAAGATAATCATCCAGCTTCTTGTCCCGGATCTTAGTCAACGATATCCCGCCGGAAACGCCAATAAAAAGAACGCCAATAGAGGGAATGCCAATAGAGGGAACGCCAATAGAGGGAACGCCAATAAAGGTATGTTGGCGAAAGAACAGACGAATCTCCGTGATCCCAATCCTCCCCATTTTCATCTTCAATCACCCTTTTCTCATCCCATTCTCACCCCCGTCTCACCCCACCACCCTGCTGTGTTTCTTCCATCAGCCTGCCCTCCTTGCCTTCCTATCCACCGGCCATTAGATAGATTTGCTAGCCGTGTTATATGTGTATGTGTCTATCCATACGCCCATCACTTTGCCATCTTCCTCCATCTGCCAGCTTTTTTAGCTGTGTCATGAAGTGTGTAAACGTATATTCGTACACCCAACACCCTGCTGTGTTTCCTCCATCAGCCTGCCCTCCAATCTTCCGGCCAAGAGACAGTTTTGCCAGCTGTGTGATATGCGTATACGTACATCTATACACCTCCCCCATACCGCTACCAGCTCAGAAGCCCACGTCTACCTGATGTGTTGTTTTGCATGAGTTTACGTCCACCTTTACACCCACAATACACTGCCACCCGCTTAGAAGCCCACATCTACGTGGTGTGCTATTTCGAAATATTTCACGCTTATGGTACAGCGGCCCTGGCTCTACACCATCCACTACTATTTGACGAATCGAAGGTCTCTCAGACCGACAATACCTTCCGTAAGGCCTGAACGGCGAAGCTGAGAATAACATAGTACCGCTGGGGCGCAGCAGGTCCACGGCGCCTCCCCAGGGCCCCTTTCGACCAACAGGGAAGATGGAGGAGACAGCACGAGCAAAAGTGAAGGCCCAGGCAGAGGAGAGAACCCAACCTGGATATCTTTGCCTCAGTTGCAGTTGCATTCATCACCATGACTGCCCGAAGAGCAACACTAGGATCTTGCAAGAGTCGCGGGACACAATGGTCGGAAAGGAAGAGCAGCCTAGAAAGGAAGGGCAGTCTGAGTATGCCCATTGCGCGGAAAGCGCCTCTGCTGGACAACGATCGGCTTTGGCAAGACAGGTATCTCCCGAAACCCCTTACCACACCTTTCGCTACGATAGCAGCGAGGATTGTGAGACGGAAGGTGCCTCTGCTGGACAGCCATCGGCTTTGGGAGGACGCGCCTCTCCTGCTTCTGAGGATCGTGACATCCTTCCCATTACCACTATGTACGATACCTTCCGTGAGGGTGTTTACCCGTACGATGACTCTCGTCCTGTGGCTCTGGACAGCGGCGCCTCTCCTGAATCGCCATACCACACCTTTCGTGAGAAGACCAGCAATGATCGGACTGTCATATGGAAGGAGTCAGCGCCATCCGAGGGGAGGCTCACACCGTGGAGCGAAGTATGTGCAAGACATCCAGTTGCTAGTTGCCCGAAGCTACTCATCTAACATCAAACCAGGACGACTCGACCCAGGACCAGACAGCCAAACTAGACGACTCGACCCAGGACCAAACAGCCAATACCACGGGACGACAGGAAACCGAAGCCGACAGGATCGCGCGCCTGGAGGCAGATGCCTTCCTCGCCGAGCTTGGGATGGAGCTCGAGCAGACCATGCTTGCTTCGAATGTAAAGCAGCCTGAGGCCGGACACGGCCGTGTTCCTGGTGCCAAGCCTCCACGAAAGAGGCAGAAGAAGCAGCTCCGTGTGAGTGAGTTGGCTACAGAGCCAAAGGTGCCGCTCCAGTCGCAGCGGATCCCTAAGCCACTTGTCCGGGATCCTCCCTATCATCCTGCTGTGGTCTCCCTCTTCAGCAACCGGGAGAATGTCTATGTCAACAAGGTTCGACGAACAACCGCAGCTGATATGTGGGACAAATCAACAGAGAGCAAGGACGGGCAGGAGAAGAAAGATGGGAATTAGAAAGACGGAGAGAGAGTCTTTGACCCAAGAAGACGGCAAGTTGCGTGGGGCATTAGTTTTCCCCCTTGATGACCTATCTGCCTTTGATTTTACGAAATGGCGAAAATAATATACAGAGAAGGAGGTTTGCCAGATGATGGCCCCTCAGATGGCGCATGGATATCTACTCGTTGAGCAAGGAGTTGGTGGCATTTTGGCATTTTTGAGGAGTTGGGGGTCTGAATAGCTGGTTGATTCCTCCTGTTCGAAACATGGCTGCTCAGTTATGCTTCCATTCTATGGTTCCAATTGCGGTAGAGCAGTCTTCGATTTTAGTTATGTGTAGAGTTCAATGATCACTTCGTCCTTTTGACGCCAATACGCCCTGCACAGCTTCGCGTCTGTGTCTAAAATCCAAACCCAAGCGCTATTAACTAAAGTAAATGTGTGTTTTTATGAGTGAGCGAGCGAGTGCATTTGCATGCATCCGCGAATCACTCCAGCTTGTCTAGGTGCTCCAGCCTCGTCAGGACGACCTGCTTGCTCGTCTCCTCGATCTCGCCGGCGAGAAACACCTCGTCGAGGATGGCGTAGACCTTGTAGAAGTTGAAGACGAGGTCGAGCTCGCAGACGTTGCCGAAGAAGGCGTCGAGGACCTCGACGAAGAAGTGGATGGCCTCGAGGTAGGCGAGCTCGTTGTCGTTGGTGTCGACGCAGGCGCAGAAGAAGAGCCCCGCGTAGCGGCGGTAGACGATCTTGTTGTTGCGGAACTCGACGAAGTTGGACTGGTACTTTTGGTCGCGGGGGGCGACGAGGCGGTGGACCTCGCCCTTGAGCTTGATCTTCTGGTCGTCGCTGTAGGGGGCGTACCACTTGGCCAGACGGGTCTTGCCCCTGGGAGAGAGAGGCGGGTTAGCGATCTGGACAGGAGAGGTTGCGCACGCCGGGAGGGATTGTGGAAGATGGGATGCTTCGGGTATGTGTGGACGGTGACTACGGAGACGGGACGTACTGGCGATTCTGGATCAGTATGAAGGAGAGCATTGCGGCGAGTTGGCGGTGGTCGTCGTGTGGTGGGATGATGCAGCTACACTGATGCTGATGAAGGAGGTCGTGGTTCGGGGCTGGTGGATACGGGCCGTTGCTCAAGTCTGGGGTGGGCCGGGCCACTGACAGGCTGTGAGATTGTCGACCAGCGGTGGATGGGTTCGCGCTAATTTCCATGTGCATGCTCAGTAAAGTTTCGTGATTGACTTTTCTAGGAATTTCATTATAACGGTTTTCTGTTGCTTGGTACTTCTCTCCTTTCATGATTCCAAAAGTCTTCTCAGCGTGGTAAGTTGGTGATCTTGCAAGTGGTGACATTGAATTTGAGACACTCAAACCTCCTGCTGCTGCTTATTGTCAAGTCTGCGCTTAGTATTATTATGTTATTGAGGGCTAATAATCAATTCTAGAAAGTTTTAATATATTGGTTCATACGACTTTATTATTTTTCTAGTCATTGTAAAAAAGGGCCTTCTATGAACATCCTTGAGTTTGGTGTCACGATTCTTCTGTCATCTCTCTGCTTGGCATGACTAGTACAAGACTGACTTCAACTACAGCGTGGCAGGGAGCACATCGATCTCATCACGCAGGTAGTAAATTTGAAAGCAGTACTCATTTATTTCAAGAATCAGCTGGATCATAATTTAGAGATTTCATCAGTTGGGGATTTTTTCTGATACGTGTTTGTATTTTTGATTGTATTTCGAGCAATCTGCTGGGCTAGACGTGTATGAAGATTTGTATGAGTTGTATGAGGCTCATCCACTTAACGAGGAGAGCTACCCATGTTATAAAATGAAAAGGATAAAATAAAATCCCCCAAAAAGTATAATTCCGCATTAGTTTACCGAAAGAGAACTGAAAGAGAGGCACCTGGCACTGCTCTTTTTAAATCCTGTCATTGTCGTTTCCATCATACACCTGAAAACTCGCCCAGTTGTTACCATCCAATTGTGTCGCTGGTTATTTCTTCCACTGGCCAGCGTTCTCAACGCCCTTGCTGACATCATCTGCTCCCTTCTCGACGCCGGTGCCCAATGAGCCCAGGGCATCACCGACGGGCTGGCCGGCAGATCCAGTGGCGCCGGTGACCGTATCACCAACTCCACGACCGGCCGCTCCAGTGACATTGCCGACTGTTCGGCCAAGACCACCCACAAGGTTGCCCACGGAGCTGGTAGCGGTCTTGGCGGCGCCTGTTGCGCCGCTGTCTTGAGAGTTCTTATTGTCGCCGAGGAGAGTCATGTTGGCGGGTATTCAAAGTGATGGGAAGTAGATTGTTAAGACGTGTTCTTTTGATGAGAAATCGAAATCGAGCTTGATTTTATTGTTTGCATTAAATGATATCGATCATCTACGGGCTACTCTGCGTCCTTCTTATAGCCATCTGAAGCTGTGAATATGCTATTGTGACGTCAACGATGATAGCTCTTCGACGTGGAAGTTTTACGTCAGGGACCCTGATTTTCGATTATCTTCCCCGGTGTGACGTTGAGAAAGCTTGGTATGATGTAGGCAGGCATATGCAAGAAATCGGATCAATCTGCAAGTATTATTTACCATCTTGAGCTTGGGAAGATGATAGACTGGGTGGGTTCCTGTTCCGTACTAGTGCGCCCCGTTACAAGTTTGAAGATACCAAAAGCAGGAAGGAGCAGCTCTGGTGTTAGTAGAAAAGAGGCAGCAATAGTCTGGACATTTTTGTCTCTCAATTAAATTTCCTGTTTTTTAGCCATCAGCCCTGTCCGCGCCCGATTTCGATCGCTGATGTGCAGCGTGGCGCTCGACAGGTCACCTACCAAGGAGGAAGGCATCGCTGATCTTCTGCTCAGACCAGCCGAGGCGAGGCAGTCTTGGTCCCCTCCCGATCGGCAGCAGTTGTGCATTGGACAGTCATGTGGAACTACTCCAAACACCTCGAGCCAGTCGCATGACCTTGAAGCCCTATCAGAATAGCGATTGGAATGGTGGGAGCGCTCCAGGTGGGAGAAGACTGGACAATTCTTCAACTGGAGGGCGGGACCTAGTTTGCCGGGAGCATCGCGAGAATTAATCCCACGAGGTACGTAAGTACGCTGAAACTGGAGGTAGTTCTAAATGCCAATAAATTTATTTTACCCTGCGTCTCCTTCGGCTCCTCTTTTCGTGTTCAGCTTTCGTTGCGGAATTGATGCTCGGATATTCCTCCCCAGGCTAACGTGCTTCTATAGAGCATCCTGTCGCTTCTTGTGGTAGGCTATTCAGTTCAAAACCCCTATCATAGGTAGCTTCAATAGCGATGGTTGCTTTATTGTATACTTCATAAGCTGCCGTTCACAAATTGATAGCCATGGCGGTGGCGTCGCCAATACGGAAGTTCGTCAAGTTCGTCTGGGGAGACTGGCAGACGAATGAACTATGGCAGCGAATCCTCAAGACCTCCCTCGCCTGTGTCATAGCATTATCTTTTGCTGTGATCCCTGAGCTCGGGGCTGTCTATGGCTTGAATACCTATCTTATACCCATGGTCACAGTGTTTGCCCACCCTGGCCAGAGAATGGGCAAAGTTATCGAGTCTCTGGTCATGGCCTTGTTGGGATCACTGCTGGGACTGGGCTGGTCGCTTCTCGGTCTTTTCCTCTCGACTCTAGCTATTGGCCAAAATCCAAGCGCGGCTTCAGCAATCCGGGCAATATTCATGCTTGTCTCAGTGCTCACGCATGGCTATGTCCGCTCCCAAACCCCTCGTCTTTTCGCCTTGGTATGGTTCGAGCTCATTTCATCTGCGACTATCCTCCTCGGGAGTATCACACAGGTCACTGTCAAAGCCTTTACCAGCGTATACTATCCAATCCTCACGGGTTCAGCTATCGTGCTTTTTGTAAACTTGTGCATTTTCCCCGAGCATGCAACAAGTTATCTAGGAGCTTCAACTATCAACACATTGTCAGAGTCAATGGACACTCTCGAACGAGCCTCCCACTGGTTCGTGACCCCAGGGGGTGATTCTGATGAGGCGAGAGAGAAGGCGGCGAAGAGTGTAGGTCAGGACGCCAAGAAGAAGACGGCGCTGGGCGAATTCCTGGATGATTTCCCCAATCCTTTTAAATCTTCAAGCAGCGGAAAGACACCCCCGGCCGACATAAAACTTACTACCATGGCCAGTCTAAGCGCTAAATCCTCCAAGCTCAGAGCGCAAGTGTCCCAGTGTAAATCGGCACAAAACGAGGTCAATTTCGAGTTTGCCGTCTCTCCCTTGGCCCCAAAAAGTCTGAAGTTGATAAGCAAACGCGAAATATCCAGTCTTGTTCAAAACACCATCACCTTGATCGGTGCATGTGAAAACAAGTTTGTGCTCCTCAGTAATACCGAAAATGCGGTGACGGAGGAAGGTTCTGATTCAGACACTGAATTAAACTTCAGTGAATCTCTGGATGAAGAAGCACTTGATCCTATCGCCACAAAAGAGCTTCATGGTATCCCCGAGGATGATGATGAAGATCGCGATGAACAAATCGGCAGCGTGAAGAGGTTGGACGATGATGACTTTGAACAGATCATCGAGGACGTGAAGCCCTTGAGAGAGATTGAATCGGCAAGTTCGGAGCTTTTAGAATCCATTTTGCGTCGGATTCGTGAACCAGTGGAGGATTTCGACAAGGGAATTCGGGAAGCAACAGATTTATTGATAGCATGTCTTGCATACTGCTACGATGTGTCCAAACTCCCATCAGGTGCCCCGACTCCGCAAGGTATCCGGCTGGAAGAGATTGATATTCGTATCGACAGCTTTACAGAGGCCTTGGGGGCATTCGATACGAGATGCCCAGAGGAGTTAAAGTTGGCTGCTATTGACAGTTCAGGAAAGAACATTGATTTGATGCCTAGGATGGAAATGTTTCTTGTCTCATCATTTCTATTAGGGTATCGCCAGGCCGCGACTCACGTCCTTGAAATGCTCCGCCATACTCAGGCACTCGTCGAAGAGAGACTAAAACGCAACAATAGACCAAGAGTTTGGATCCCTCACCACACCGACATTCGACAGTGGCTCTATACGTCTGGAGAATCGGATCCCATGGTGCTCCCGGAAGCTGGCCGGAAAGAACTGCGTGAGAGCAAGTCGTCAAAAGAGGATCCAGGAGATGACTCCTCAGATACTACTGTAGAAGAAGGTTTCCTTCCACGCCAGAGAGCGGACGAAGAGAACACAGTAGGAAAATCTCAGGAAAAGGAGACCTCTTCAAAGCCTGAATTGAAGTCAAAGGACTCTAGGAAAGATGATAAAACGTTGGTGGGAAAGGTCAGGGGCAAGCTTGCTGACGCACTGGAATGGGCTCAACGGTCAGAGGATGTCAAGTATGCAATCAAACTTGCCCTTGCTGTCTTCATCGTGAGCTGGCCTTCGTTTGTCGCTTCCTGGAGAGGGTGGTACGCAGAGGTCCGAGGAATATGGGCCCCTCTACAACTCGTCCTTGTTTTCGAAGTGTCCATAGGGACCTCGCTATTTGTCTTCTTTATACGACTGCTCGGCGTCATTTTCGGCTGCGCAATTGGCTTGCTATCCTACGAAATGGGCCGAGGTAACCGAGTTGCCATGGTTGTTATCCTCGTCTTAGGAGTAGTCCCGTCCGTTTACATCCAACTTGGAACCAAATATGTAAAGGCTGGCATGGTTTCAACTACAACAATGTGCGTTGTGGCACTAGGTAGGTTGTGATAACTCTATGTTTTCGTGATTACTTGCTTACGGACCTTTTGATTTATAGCTACAATAAACCAGACTGGAACGGCCACAGAAAACTTCTACAAAAGACTTGTGGCTTTCCTTGTTGGCTCAGTTGTCGCAATATCTGTGGAGATTTTTATTCTTCCAGTACGAGCGAGGCATCGTCTGGTGGACTCGCTCTCTTCCGCAGTTCGCCAGGTCCAGATCATGCATGCTGCCGTCTGGGTCGGCATTGACTCGCCTCAGGTGCCCAACTTTCGGTCCCATCAACTGGATTATCGCTTCTCTCACGCGAGGGAGAAGGCGCAAACAGCATTAGCGGCGGCAGAGATGTTTCTTCCCTTTTGCCGCAATGAACCACGGCTTAAAGGAAGCTTTAAGCCTCTTGAGCCGATCTACAAAGAAATCATATACGTCCTCCACCAGATCATAAACAGGATGGACAATGTTGTGGATCTTCGAAAGGCATACGGGTCATCAGTCCTCGAGGATCTGCACATGGAAGTTTATGCCTACCGAAGAAATGTGGCAGCCAGCAATACTTTGATCCTATTTTCAGTCCAGGAGGCCTTAACGGACTGGCTCCCGCTGCCACAATTCTTGCCATCGAGCCGTCTCGCCCAGGCTCGTCTGGTCAATCATGTACGCGAGACACTGGCATCAGCCGATCTATCTCATCAAGTGTCACCGTCTTTCAGTAATAGTGGCGCAGATGATGTTGCTGTTGTAGACCAAGCGGATTTGGATGAGTATACAGCAAGAATCATAACGGAGCGCAAGTTTCTCTCGTGGAACGCTAACGCGGCCGGCCACATGGAGATCATCGAATATCTCGAGGAGCTCGTTGACCTCACAAAGTTGCTGGTCGGGGTGAATGCATTTCGGAGCGGCCTGCTGGAGAAGCCGAAATACAAAGATTACGTGCAGCAAACGAGGGCTGCCGAGGCGGAGCTGAGCAGGCTCGCGTCGCGGAGAAGTCGGCGCACGTCGAAGGCGACGGCTGATGGACGGGCGGGTTCATCGACATTGGCGAGGGCCGCGGCCGTGGCTGCTTCGGTGCAAAAGTTCAGGCGGCGGACGCAGGAGCTGAAAATGAGGAAGCAGGCATCCGCTACGAGTAATCCTCAGGAGGGTTCTGGAACACAGGCAGCGACTGGGGCGAGCAGACGAGAGGCTGTGGACACGGAGGGAGATGCTATCCCTATGAGCTTGCGGAGAGTGAGAACGAGGATTGAGCGGGAAAGCGTAGTGGTCAGACGAAGAGGTTTCTCAACAGGGGCCATGTAAAGAACACAATATAGAAGGGCGCTTTACTACTCTGCTTTAACGAATCAAATTTCAAGAGCCTAAGATAAAGCAAATACGAATTCGCAACTGAAGTCTGCCCTACAGCAGATTGGTCTTCGTGAGTAGGCAAATAGTGCGAGCATACAAAAATCCGTTCTTCTCCAACGCCTACTGTCCTAAACTAGGGCGATAACAAAGCCTAACCATTCAAACCCATTTAAAAGATTTCTCCTGAAACTCCGTCCCCTTAAACTCCCATGGTAATTCTAATTCGTAAGACGAGAGCCAATCCAAACGTGTCCAAATCCAATGACAAGACAATTGACAAGGTCTCTCCTGTTTCTCAAATGCATCATAGCGACTAAATGATGTGCAGAGGAGCGTGCTGAGGGAGCCTCGTGCCGTTGAGCATGGCCCTCGACCTCTTGGGCCGCTGCTGGAAGCGACGAAAAGCCTCCTGGACGTGCCTCGGCTCGATGGGCCGCTTCCCCTCGCTGGGGGGATCGAAGAGCCCCTGCTCGAGCTTCCTCTTCTTGGAGCCGGCGTTGTCGCCGCCGCTCTGGGCGCGGGCGATGTCCTCCTGCTCCTTGACCTTGAGGGCGATCTCGGTGAGGACCTGCACCATCTCGAAGGTCAGGAAGCCAAGGATGTCGACGATATCGTCCGAGGGCTTGCTGTCCGTCACGATGCCGAAGCCGGCCCACTCCCTGAACCGCTTGCCCTTGCGGTAGGTGAAGGAGGCCTGGCGGTACTCGGACCAGGTGACGTACTCGTCCTTGGTCATGACCTTGGTGCGCTCGTCGGCGCGGCGGAGGCGCTGGAGGGTGATGAAGTTCATCTCGTCCTCGTCCTCGTCCTCCTCGTCCTCGCGCTCGGGGACCTCGACGGGGTAGAAGGAGGACTGCTCCCAGGGGAGGCCGACTTTTGCTTTCTTGTTCTTCTTGGCCTGGTCGTCCACGGGGCCGCCGACGACGCCGCCGACAGGGTCGTCGCCACCGGCGATGTCAGCCTCGGCGCCCTTGTCATCCGAGTCCTTGACGTTCTTGCGCACGTCCTTCCAGGAGAGAAAAGTCCTGAGGCGCGAGACCTTGGCCTGGTCATGGCGGATCTGGAAGATGAGATCGTTGATGCCGATGGACTTAGATCCGCGGCGGGAAGCAAGCTCTGTGCAGGTTCGGAGCTTTTGGTGGCACAGTTAGAGACAAAAGCTTAAGATCGCCCACCCCCATTCTTGGAAAAGAGGTGAGAAGAGAAAAGGAGGGGGAGGTTTACCATTTCAATAACCTGCTGTCGGACAATATCTTCCATAATGCTAGTTGTCTCGACAGGAGGTTCGGCGGTTTCTCCAGAGACATACATCATCTGTTTGAAGGATTCCATTAGTTCAAGCTGAAAGGGGCTTTTCCTTATGCCGTGATCGAGTTGGGCGTGTAAAAGGTCAGGGAAGAGGGATTCAGCCATTGTGGCAAGCAGTTGATATGACGTGCAGCTAATGAATTATGGTGGTTTTGAACGAGATCAAGGATAATGGATAAGAAAAATCCCAGGAAATGGCGAGGTGAATGGTAATGGAAATGAAAACAGAGAAGAGGAGGTCGTGATATTGTGAGAAGTGGTTCGTAAGATGTGGTGTCAACAGAAGCAGCGTGGGCCAACTGCTAACACACCGGCGCACATCAGGCACATGCGGACGGACCGTCCAAGTTCGCTGATGCCCATAGATACGTAGCACTCGCAACGGGAGCTCTCAGTCCACCAGCGGTGCTCTCTTCCGTTTGCACCTGGCCGTTTCTCCCCCGTCACCAGCGCAAGGCTTGGCTCAACAACCTCCATTGCGCCGGTTCTGGCCACCCGGTGCGTGCTTGACTAGACACGTTATGCGGTAGAGAAGTAGAAGATGCGGCGGCCGCATATATTGCTTATAGTAAATGGTGTCAACATACCTGGCTGATCTCCTGCCGGTACTTGTACTGCTTGTCGGCCATCTTGAGCAACGTGGAGCGCAGTCAGTCAGGCACAAGACACGGATTCGAACAGGGACAAATGATAACGGAAAGAGAGTAAGGATAGAAAAGACCCAGATATGATATGGAACAAGAATATTTCACATTGCCGCTTCCCCCAACAGGCAAGCGGGTCGTCGCAATGGTGATTGATGCACAGAGATGGCTGTGAATCAAGCGAACATGGGCCAAGAGACTCGAGTCGCGGTTGAGTTCGACACTGGTGTGATTATGTAATCAGACACACCTTCCCCCTGCAAGCCAACAGTCTCATTCTTTGTTAGATATTCAGTCTCAAGACATCGAACTCTATTCAGGAATCGTTTGAATTGTCTTGTTTCATATCGTCATGGTGTTTGATATTGTCCCGATGCATTAGCTACCCGGGCTCATATTGCACACATCTGGGTATCCCAACCACACAAGAATGCTCATATGCTTAGCAACCGTCAGCCTTGCTCAATGAGATACAGCCGGGTCACTCTTCGGCCAACCCACTGAACCCATCTCCTCTATAGCCCCAAACTATAATGTAATGCGCCGCCAGGAGTTGCCACTCTTCCACCTCATCCAACCCTTCTAGACTGTCCACTCGTTCCTTCTCCTCCTGCGTAACCCACGAGTTCCAGATGTCTTCCACCGTCATGTGTTTAACCACCTCGAAACCAGCTTTAGACAGCCGGTCCACCTGGTCTTTGGCCTCTTTGTAGACATCCAAGGTTGGCATCCTGATATGCCGTGCTGCAAGGTTGGACACCATGACCTGACCAAAGGGATCATTTGGTCGGATAGGTTCATAGATAATGGTGGCAAGACTGGGGATCTGTGTTGTGAAGAAACTGATCACACCGTTGGCTTCTTGAGGAGAGAGGTAGCAGAGACAGCACTCGGAAAGCAGGAGCGTGGGTACATCGGTACGCAACCCCGGCAACGTCAAAGACTCTTCATTGCCGAGTAATTTCCTAAGGTCAAGCCCATGGCAGTAGAACAGGCCTCCATTCGAGGGTTGGCTGGTCCATGAGCTACTGGCCTCCTCTGGCTCAGCCGGGGGGACGACAGATGCATCAGAGAGAACACGCGAGAGAAGAGGAACGCCCTTTACAATACGGAGTTTCTTGCTGCAGACGACTTCGAAATCAATTTCGTGATAGATCAGACCGTGGCAATTTTGCTGGGAGAATATGCGAAATGGGCGGGTATCGGTGCCGGCTCCTAGAGCGACAATCTGCTTAGGAGACTCGGCATCCAACGTGGAGAGGAAAGCATCTATAAGTCGGTCTAATCCCGACGTGCGTGTGTAGGTGCCTGTAGATTTACGACGCATCGAAGAAAACAATCAGTTGGGCAACATTCTCTCATCACCAGGCGCACAAGGGTCTAGATGGCGGGCGCTGTGCGGCAAGGGTAGCGCACCTCTGTTAATAATGGGGAGTCGCCTAGGAGGCGGCCCATTGGGACTCTGTACGAAGAACTGCGCACATGGATCGTGAAGATAACCCAAGTCGACGGCGCTTAGTCTCGACACTGCAGCATCGGTATCTGTGCCCTGGATGACGGCATCGTGGCCCTGGCCAGTGCGACGAGAGGTACCAGCGCCAGGCCCGCCACGGCTCCGGCCTCCGCGAGCGCCTCCTCTGCTGCCCCGCAGGGATAAGAGGTTTGGTATGGACGAAGCAGACTTGTCTGGTGGGTTCATCCTTTGTTGCTGCGGCTGGTTGCTGGGCGGGAAGAGGAAGCAAACAGGTCGTGAAGTGTTGGAGCAGTGCCTGACAGCTTGGGCGGTTAGTGTGCAGGTGCTACCTAAGTAGCGCTGTAGCTGCCCACTCAGTATTTTGTATGGATGCATTTTGGAAGGTACCTCAGATAGACTCAGGCCCTGCAGCATCACCACATGCCACTTTAAATTAATCACTGACAAAGTCCACCGTCTCATTGTTCCTACATTGGGAAGACCAAGCGATTGGACCCCACCAACGTGAATGGGCCTGCCAGGATAGCTATTTACGATTCAGACACAAGCTTTGAGATGGTGATGGTGATGCAGGGTTCCCTCACCACGGACAGAGGATGAAACCCGTTTCGCATTATGTGCCAAAGGCAGACTGGTCGCGGCCACCACGAGCCAACAGCCATCGATTCGTCTTGAAGCATCAATATCAATCCACACCAACTCGTCCCGGCTTGCGTGTATCCATGCAATAGTCGCCCACTGGTCTGTGGGCACTCTGCTCCATCACCTGTTTCGTCGTCATCGGACTAGTCGCATCGTGGGGTGCTGGAGATGTCCCCGGGGCCGAAGCAACGTAGGCAGATTCAAGCCCGGTCATTCGGTGCTAATGTGATTGATATGGAGGCTTTCACTTCAATAGCCAAGTACCCTACACAAATGTGTTCAATAGGCTGCCTGCACATCGTGTCTATATATATCCCTCTAATTACTAACGCTAAGGCGGGCATGCGTTTATACGCCGTTGGGGGGTGAATTCGGCCAAACGCGTGCTCTGCCCTGTGGCACTTGGCGCTTGAGCCCCCTGTACGATCCCTGTCCAGGGTCGCTGCATCGGGTTTTATTGTGAGGTGGTTGCCTTCAGTGCACTGCCACTGTCTCTTGGGCCATTCCTGCCTGTGCGGCGGGGTAGGGGGCCTGGCTACGTAAGTCGTCTTGCTCCCAAAGTCCCCTTTAACACTGGTCGTGTCAGCCGCCCATCCCATAACTGACACTCATCCAACCAGTTGCGGCTGCCTTCCTTTGCCGTCCGTCCCTTCCCTCATCCGCCCATTCTTACCTCATCATCCCTCCCTGTTCGTATATCTGTTCGCTCTCTCGTTCTAGCTGATCCCCTTCTCTCATCTCCCCTCATCTGGTGTGAACCGGAACTGCGTTTCTCCTCCACTTTGGTTTCCCAACACCAGCGCCATTCATTAAGATCCCAAACTCTCCGCTACCCACTATTTGATTGTGTGACTTACATTCACGATGCTGCAAAACATCGGATCTGCCATCTACAAGCGCTCCCTCGAGGCTGCGGGGGACGAGGCTGTCTTGGTCCAGCTTCCCTGGTGGACTCCCATCGTCTTCTTCATAAACGTGCTGCTGATCGTGCCCATCGTTTTCTGTGTAAGTCTTCCCCCGTCCGTCCCACGACAATACTTCGTTTTGGATTCAATCTAACCTCAGCGCCTGAAGCTTGACTATACTCTGCAAACCCTCTATCCTACCTTTGTCATTATCGAGGATGAGAACGCTCCCGACTTCGAGCCTCTGGTCCCCAAGTCTCCCAAGAATGGCAAGTCGGGCGATGAGGAGGAGGATGTTCCTGTAACTCCGGTACCCGTCTCCAACTCCATCAGGTCCATCTACCGACTTCTCCGAGCCAACGGCGGCTTCTTCGCCAACTTCCGTGGACTCTCCATCTATCTCGTTGAACGCTTCATCACTGTCATCATCTTGCACTCCGCCATCAGATGCTTGGGTCTCTACCTTGGCCTTATCCTCGGTCCTGTTCTCCATCTTCTCTGCAACCTCCTTCTCGCCCAGCTCAGCACTGCCTGGGTGCACATTGTCATCACCCCTGCATCGCCGCTTCGCTGGTGGAGGCGCCTGCCTGCGTTCAGCACCACCGTCAAGGCCGTTTGGGGACCCATGTTTCTCTTCAGTATTGCGTCCTTCCTCGCTGAATGGGCACCTTTCGTGATCGCCAAGGCTGTCCACTTCCCTCTTGGTTTCCACGCTGCCATGGTCGCCCAGGACGGACAAAAGCCCACCCTTGGATTTGCTTGCTTGCTCCTCGTCAAGTACTTTGCTGTTCTCGCCGGCTCCATCCTTGCCGTTATCCTCCTCATCGTTCCCACTAGGATGATTCTCGTCCGTGTCCAGGCCTCGCTGCTCCCTGTTGATGAGGATGCCATTGTCCCCTTTGACCGCTCCTTTGGCGGCCGCGTCCAGACTGCTCTTGTTGGCGGCCGTGGATTTGCCACCATCACCGATGTCTGGTCCACCTTCAGCCGTGCTGTCATGGGCCGCTTGGTCAAGCTCCACGTCAAGGTAATTGTCATTAACGTCCTAGTCGGCTTCGTCCTCGGTGCCTTTGTCGTCTTCCCTTCAGTCCTTGCCGTCACCACCTACTCAACTGTGGTGAAGGCCTAAGGGATCTGTCACAAACATATGGAATCAAATATATGAAAAGAGAGAAAAAGAGGAGGGACATATTCCAGGGCGAAATCCATATCCCTAGAACCAGGCAGGCTTGGACGGGCGAAGGGATGCTTAGAGTATCATCGAGTAACAATGGAATATCTAGCAGAAACCACGCATTTGTTTGTTTAGGTTTGGTCATTTTTATTTAATGGGTTAGGTACAGTCTCAATAAACTAAAGCTTGCTTTATCTCGCACAAATTTTGCCGTCACTTACGCCCCTCGTATACCATTCTGAGCGGATGCTGTCGATTTCTTCAAATCCTATAAGCTGTTCATCTGTAATCATGATAATAAAAAAAAGACAAAAGAAAAACTCCCCCATCCTTCTACGACTCCCCTCACATATAAAAAATCATTTTCCTGTCCGTTGCAAGACCCTCGCTCTCCACACAACTTTCAGTCAGTATATAGTTCCCTCCCCCGTGTTCCATTTCCATCCCAAGAGCACGTAAATCCAATCCGCAACAGGCTGCCTCCCAAAGTATGCATTTCCACTTTCGCCGGCGCCATACTAGGGATACCATGGCGCATGAACTCATACCATGTCATCTCAGAATGAAGCAAAAATAAACAAAAGGCAAGTAAAAGGAAGAGAAAAAGGGGGGGGAAGGACAAAACATAAAGATTCGTTCATTGCTGCGTGGAGTGGAGGGTTAAGGGGGGGTATTTGATCTTTTTCTATCGTTATCTACTCAAAAGACGCCGAGGCAGGAATATATATAACCCCGTTGGGCGGGGGGGGTATTGGGAAAATAAATTGGAACTGTCCTCCTTCCTTCGTTAGGATTTATTGAAGAACCCCCAGCTGGAGCGCTTGTTGCCGCCGTTGTCACCGCCCTGGAGGGACTGGATCGTAGGGATGGCGGGGGTGTCGCCGCCTCCACCGCGGAGAGGCTTCGCGATCCGGCTGCCTGCGCCAGCGAAGCTGAATGCGCCGTCCGAGTTGTTCAGACCCCGGGTGCTTCCGGCCTTGGCGATCTCAAGACGCTCCTTGACGGAGGCGAGTTGAGCCTCGAATCTGTAGCACGCAGGGTTAGTAGGTCTATAAGGGGCAAGGTGGGAAAGGGGGTGGGGGTGGGAACATACTTGTGGTTGGCTGCGGCCATCTTCTCCTGGCTATCTTGCAAGAGGCTCTCCAGACTCTGGATACGTTCATTGCGAGCTATCAGCTTGCGCTCGGCAATGGCCACCTCCTTCTTCAAGGCTGAGTTCTGCTCAACCAGCTGTCGTTGGACCTGGGTGAGCTGCTCCAAGTTTCTCTCCAGGAACGCCATCTTCTTCTGCTGGGCTCGGTTGTTCGATGACCGCAGGACGTTGTTGTACTGCTCGCGAGTCTCGTCCAGGGAGATCTCCAACTCCACAACTCGTTCACAGCGGTTCTGCAGATCCCGCATGAGACTCTTCTTCATGACATCGAACTCGGCGATCTGTTGCTGAATCGTCTTGCCATTGGCCAAGGGGGTGGCTGCGCCAGTCTTCACACGCTGCTGAAGATCTTCAATGAGAGTCTTCATCCTCGTGTTCTCGGCTGCCTTTTGGGTAATCTCGGATTTGAGCTCTTCCACGAGTTGGGTCTCGGTGTGCGCGCGGCTAGAGTAGACATGCTCCAGGCGTGCCTTGACCTCCTCAATGTCTGCTTCACTCAGGTTCCTGGTCAAAGCGTCCTCATACTCTTGTTGCAGGGCGAGAAGCCTTTGCTCCAACTCCTGCCTTCGGCGGCTATCCAAGTCACTGCTAGAAGAGACACTGTACATTGAAAGCTCTGCTTGTCGAACAATGCCCTGGGTCTCAACCAACTTCGAGCGAAGTGCCTTGAACTCGTCGGGTGCAATGTGGTCGCCGATGGTGCTCTGCTCATGCAGTTTATCGAGTTGAGCAATCGCCTCGGCAATTGACTGGTCGTTGTCACTGAAGACTTCACTTCCGAGGTCAAACCCGGCCATCATCTTGGCCATCTTCTCTGCCTTCTTCTTCTCCTTCTCGTCCAGAGCCGCGCCGCTCTCCTTGGCACTCATCTTCACATCCAGGAGTTGTTGCTTAACCTCATCAAGCTCGGTGGTGAGCTCCCCGTTAGCCTCCTTCAGTGCATCCATTGTAATCTGGGCCTCCTTGCCCTCGAAGTTCAACCGCTCAAGTTGCATCTTGAACTCGTTGACCTCAGAAGTCAGCTTTTCGTTCTCCTTTCCAACTTTGCTGTCATGCTCCTTCAGGTACGTCAGCTCTTCCTTGGTTTCACGCAACTGCTTCTCAGCAGCTGAGGCTTGTGATTCCTTCTCGGCGAGCTGGTCCTGGAGCTCATTCTCGCGCCGTAGGAACTCATCTCGCTCGTCCTTGTCAACGGGTATGCTAGGGGTTCCTGACCGTTCTGAAATAGCCGGGGTCTCTGAGCGACTCTCGGCGGTCAAGCGAGACGGGGTGGAGGGACGAGGTGCCCTAGCCTCAGCCTTGGAGCTTGCAACTCCATCTGCGGACCTGGGCGGGACCCATCTCTCCTTGGGGACAGCTTCGCCGGCACGCCACAGCTGGATTTCGCCCTCCAGGTTGGAAATGTAACTCTCGAAGTTGGTAACCTGGCCCTGGGCCTTCTTGAGGAGGGACTTGAGCTCAGCCGGACTGAGCTCAGCGTTGACCTTGGCCTTGTTCTTGATAGATTTGGCTCTCGTACCGAATCGCAGGGTGCCTAGAGTTTCGGCATCGTTGTAGGAACTGGGCGAACAGTTGATGATGAGGGTAGTGCGACTGTTACCACCCAGGGACTCCTGGAGGATTCTGGTGAGTTTCGAGTCTCGGTATGGAATGTGCGATGATTTCCCGTCCGTCAGCGCATTGATAACCATACCAAGCGCACTCAAACTCTTGTTGATCTTCTTGGCCTCCTCCAGCGTCTGGCCGCTGGCGCCAGTCTTCCCCACCTTTTCGCTACCCGCCAAATCGACCAAAAACAGCTGACCGCTCTTCGCTGACCCCGTCTCGACATTCTTCTGGGTGACTGTGATGACGAAAATGGAGTGTGATCGAGAGGATTCCTGGTTCATGTTGGTCGCAGAAACGGCACGAGCAGCTCCTCCCCTCCTCATAACCTCGTACACCTCCTGCACGCTCGAGACATATATCTCGAGCAGACCCTTAACATATACTCCTCGATTCTTCTCCTCGTGGACTGGCAAATTGTCATTCTGGGGAGCCAGCAGATCTCGAATCCTCTCCATGTAGATTTCCATGTAGCTCACCCGCACTGTGTACTCGATAGTGCTCGGACTCGTCATGATGCTGGCGAAAATCTGCTCCACAATGCGCGGAATAACACCTCTCCCTTCGTCGTCGTCGATGGAACCCATCATAGTGTACGATTTACCCGCTCCGGTCTGACCGTAGGCGAAAACAGTTCCGTTGTAGCCATTGAGAATATCATCGACGGTCGGGCGGATAGAGAAGTCGAAAATGTCCTGCTGTTTACAGCTCATATCAAACACTCGGTCGAAAGTAAAGCTTCCCTGCGCTTCCCTTGACTATAGAGGCTCATGATTAGTCTCCGAAACGAAGCTCGGTAAAGAAGCATCAGGGGCAAGGAGGGGAGCTTTACGTCAACGGTACATGAGTCCTCTGAATCAAAGGCCACGATAGGCTTGCCGCCCGACTCCAGCTCGACCTTATTTTGAGGCCGGAAACGGGCGACAACCTTAATACTATTTGCGGCAGACATCTTGGCGGTGGTGAATTCACGACAATCTTGCTATTGCTGTCATAGGGTGCCGTCGTGGGGGGGGAGAAGGCCAGGTTCAGGGGCCGGTTTTGCACGAGCCGCAAAACGGCAACGAGAGCAGCGGACGGGGTGCCGCACGATCGAAGAAAGCAGCGGCGGCAGCTGAGGACAAAATAAGAAATAAAAAAGAATCGAGGCGAGACAGCACTGCGCAGGTTGTGCCGCAAGGACGGGGGGTAGTGGATACAGATATGATGATGCCCGCAGCGACAGGGGAAGCGAGGTCGGCAACTGTTTTGGTGTCGAGGGAGGGTTGATACGGAGCAACAGCCAGCGGTGGGTTGTTGACGCGCTGCATAATAGGGAATGGTGTGGTGGGTGCGCGTGGTGCAAGATGACAGGATAACGGTGCCTGATGTGGGTGGAGTCCCAGCTGCCCGGCGGGAGCTTTCCTGGGATCAGGCCGCTGAGAGGGCTGGCGGGCAGCGCGGGCAGCGAGCGCAGCGCCGTGTTATAGCGTCTCACCCATCCCTCCAGGGTCCGTCCAATCGCCGCTCACCGAGCACCAGATTCAGTGGCGGCCATGATGATGATGCAATGCGACGGCATATTTGAAACTCATGCAGCGAAATGAGGAGCCAGGTGCAGTGATGCAATAGCAGAAAAGCAAAATGCTGTTGTGATGCGGCCAGACGCCAGTACCTAGTGCTCAAAGCGAAGCAAACCTGCTAACTGATCCTCCCATAGCCGAACCGCGTGGTATAATCAAGTCCCAAACACCAAATGAACGCCATCACGACAGATTTCCGTTGCTTCTCTGAGGGGCAGGGGGCGCCACATGTGATATCTATGTCGGGAGCACCCAGGACCGCTCCTTGGTCGACCTTGAGACTGCCAAGACAAGCCCAGTCACCCTCCCTTCAGTCCTCCCAGCTCTTCTCTACAGTCTCTCGTACTCTCTTAGTGTATTCCTTTCTGTTGTCTTTGTACAGGTTCGACGCCTCGACATTCGCGGGCGACCCAGTATTGGGGTCGTTTAGTAAACTGAGATATGGCTTGTAAGCAAGACTGGCGGTACTCCGGGTATCAGGGGGTGCGGCTCAAACCTTTGGATGCTCGTGAGAACAGCGGCGACGTCGTATGTAGGACTCCATCTATTCTGCAGGATATCCAGGCAGAGCTCGCCGGTGGCATAGACGTTGGGGTGGAACATTTGGCTGATAAACTTGACCTGCGGAGGCTTGTTGGGGTACTGCTCTTCGAATTGCATAACGAGTCGGAAGGTGCCATCTTCAAACGGAGTGTCCGCAGGGCCTATGATGACGGCGTTCCTAAACGGTGCCACAGATGGTGAGTCTACATGTACTTGTGTTGCAAACTTGTGTTGAAATCATCAGACTCACCATGTCATTACATTATCGGGAACTGGGGAGGCTGAAACACCAGCGGGAGGGTCTGTTTGCATGCGCTGGGGCTTCATCAGCACTGAAAGCATGTGGACGAGGGCTCACAATGGACCAACCTTGAAGTCACGCATCAAGCGGCGCCGGGCTGCGGTCGACATGACTAGGGTTTTAGGTGGCAGGGAGCGGGAATTAAGAAAAGGGAGAATTAGAGAAGCACCGAAGTTGGAATCTTGGCTAGGGCGAAGACAAAGAGGAATGAAGTGTCGTTGTCGTGATCGTTGAAGTTTAAGAAGGTGGCGTGGAGTTAGATAGAAGACAAACGCTGGCTAAGACTGGTAAGTAAGCTGATGGTCGAGCCCGCCGACGCTCAGGCCCAGCCTAATGAGGTCAGAGGCCAATGGCCACAGGGTGTACATAATCACGGGTGCTCACGTGACGCCCTTGTTGTTTGTTGGCCGGCAGTGGGTGTTAGTGCCTCTGATTATTATTAATTGCGACTAACGCCAGCTCGAACCCCGCGCCTTCAGACGATGCCGTGCCGAGTGCCCTCGGTGTGTGAATAGCTGCGTAGTAGGAATGGTGACAGAATTTGCCCGAGCCGTATCTAGTAAGCAAGCGCTAGAGGCCAGAAACAGGGCAATTCATCCGTCCTGATTAAGCCCGGATGGACAATCATCTTCCCAAGGATCGAACCACCAAGATCAACCAGATTAGATGCGACCAGGATCACGCCGGCCGGCTGTTGTCAGACGTGCCATTGAGAAAACCCACCGCAGCACACTGTTAAGAGAGCGCTGATGGCAGCCCTCAGCCTCGGATCCGATAGATTAATGGCTCCCGTACCGTACATTATGGTTTGGCACCGGCACAGCAGCGTAGTGGCACCCGCTAATACCCCAGACTCGCCTCGTGTATCCGTATCCGACAGCACTTAAGCCGAGGTGTACCGAGCCTGGAAGGGAAACCTTCACGGCAAGCTCCAACCATCATAAAGCCCGTGTCTCACCTGCCATTCCTTCTCTCTCACAGATCTGTTCCGTGTCTTCCATTTTACTTGTCTTCTCGCCCGACACTTGCAAAGCATATCCCACAGCAGCAATCATGGTGGCATCGCAGCTCAAGTCTGCGAGGATGGCGGCTCACCTGGCCAAGCATGTGAAAGCCGCCCGAAGCTTCTCCAGCACCACAGCATTCCGCCGCGAGATCCAAGACGCATACATCTTAAGCGCCGCCCGAACACCTACTGCCAAAGTCAGCATACTCCCTTGATAGCTTCGTCTTCCGCGTGGTCCGTTCGCTCGACTAACGTGCTGCAATAGTTCAATGGCTCATTTACCACCGTCCCCGCGCCCAAGCTCGGAGCTACAGCAATCAAGTCGGCAGTCGAGAAGTCTAATGTGCCCGTCGAGAAGATTACCGAGGTCTATATGGGAAACGTCATCTCGGGCTCCATAGGCCAAGCTCCAGCACGCCAGGCCGCCATCTTCGCTGGCCTGCCGCAGTCGGTTGAGGCCATCACCATCAACAAGGTATGCGCCTCGGGTCTCAAGGCGGTCGTCTTTGCCGCGCAGAACATTCAGCTTGGACTGGCAGAAGCGCAGGTTGCTGGTGGAATGGAGAATATGACCAGAATACCGTACTATATTCCTCGCGCAAGCAACTTGCCACCTTTCGGGCACGTCCAGTTGGAGGACGGTTTAATCAAGGACGGACTAACGGACGTTTACGACAAATTCCATATGGGCAACTGCGCCGAGAACACCGTCAAGAAGTATGGCATCACCAGGGAGGAGCAGGATGCGTATGCCATTCAGTCGTACAAGAATGCCCAGGAGGCCTGGAAGGCCAAAGCTTTCGCTGATGAGATCGCACCCGTCACTGTGTCTAGCAGGAAGGGCGAAACCATCATCGACACCGATGAGGGCTTTCTCGATGTTAAACTCGAAAAGATCCCCACTCTTAAGCCGGCCTTCGTTCGCGATGGTACCGGAACTGTCACAGCCGCCAACTCATCAACTCTCAACGACGGCGCCAGCGCACTGGTCCTCGGCAGCAAAGCTATTGCTCAGCAGTATGGCAGTGGATCGAGGGTCTTGGCCAAGATTTGCGGCTATGCTGATGCAGCCATTGCACCCATCGACTTCCCCGTCGCTCCATCTAAGGCTGTTCCCCTCGCTCTAGAGCGGGCCGGTATCACCAAAAATCAGGTCGCCGTTTGGGAGTTCAACGAGGCATTCGCAAGTGTGATCCTCGCCAACCAGAAGATCTTGGGACTGGAAGGTGCCAAGGTCAACCCTCTCGGTGGAGCCATTTCACTAGGCCATGCTCTTGGAAGCTCCGGTTCACGTATCCTGACAACCTTGTTGCACCAACTGAAGCCTGGCGAGTATGGTGTTGCGGCTATCTGCAATGGCGGCGGCGCTGCTACCGCTGTGGTAGTCCAACGGGTTGAGTCCGTGTAAGATCCGGGCGATATGAAGAATAAAGAGCTCATGATTTTACGTCTGTAAATAGATTTGTCCATATTGCTTTATTTAAAATTGACGAGCGATAAGAAACCGTTCGTTATCTCATCAACAAACAGTTCCTCGCTTCCAGCACGTGCTGTAGGTGGCCGGTAGACAATAAGAATATCCGTACACCTCTTTTTCGGTGGGGTTTTTAGAGGATTTGACAGTAGACATTTCTTCAATGAACAGAAGTGAGCTGCTCCCTATTGTCCACTTACTCTCACCGTACTTCAATAGCAAGAGGAGGCTGGCTCAGATGTAGGTCCGTGCCCCACAATTTTATCATCACCACCGCGTCTTACTCGAAAAGGAACATGTTGAAACGACTCCCAATCCATGACTTCTCCATCGCAGTACCATCATGTCTCTGGTGATTCAATTTCTGTCCCAGATCCGGAATTTCATACGCAAACAAGATGGGGACTCTTTGCAATCCTGGTTGCAAGTCGGCCCCAATTCACCCAGGCAGTACCATGAGTTGCGCGCAGAGCTTCGCAACCAATATCGCCAGTCCGGCCTAGACAACATCATTCAGAAATGTCTGCCTGACGATGAGGACGATGAAGTAGAGGGCGAGGCCACGCCATGGCCCAGTCTTGTCACTTTCATCAAGGAATACTTTACCTTCTGGAGGGACGCCGACTACGATGCTGATCTAGTCCGCACACATCAACTGTTGAGTACTCTGGTGAGGTAGGTGGCCATCGAAAAGCTGAGGGCGTCACGTTCTACACCACCATATATTTTTCCTTATTCTTCAGTGAATTTGAGCTAACCTTGTCATTCAGCTCCTGCGCCACAGCGTTGACGCATCCAGCATACGGAGCCATGCTACTCAAAACAAGCATGTCGTTGTCAGACGTCCTTGCTCGACTGACAATGACGCTCAACAGACGTCCCGAACTCACTCGCCAGCTGCGTACTAGCAATGACGATGAGAGCCGTAAATCTATTGCTGAGTCTTCGGCCGAGATCATCCAGAAGATCTTCACCGCATGCTTGAATGACCGGTCTAGTGATCGATCAAGCCCTCCCAAGGGCAAAAGGGTGGCCATCTACATATTTGCCAACCTTGTCCTCAAGCTTCTATTCGCTGTGAGTCCTAGACACAGAATATTTTCGATAACTCTTTCTAACCTATGCTATTCAGTGTCGGCGAATACACCTGGCCAAAATGATCTTCTTCAACCTGGGTGCCAACTCTCCCCCACTATCCCTCTACCCAGCCGCCCAACGCGTTACATTTCTCTACTATCTCGGCCGCTTCAGTTTCTCAAGCGGAAACCACTACCTCCGAGCAGCAAACTGCCTCGAGGCCGCCTACCTCCAAACCCCGCCTCGCTTCACCTCCCACCGCACCAACATCCTGACCTACCTCATCGCCGCCAACATCCTCCTGGGCCGCTTCCCCTCCGCCAGCCTCCTCCAGCGCCCGGAGTCCAGGACCCTCGCCCCCATCTTCTTCCCCCTGTGCGCGGCCCTCCGCGGCGGCGACTTCATCAGGTTCCAGGCCCACCTCGCCGAGCACGAGGACTGGCTCCTCGAGAAGGGCCTCCTCGTGCCCCTCACCCACAAGCTCCGCCCCCTCCTCTGGCGCTCCCTCGCCCGCAAGACCTTCCTCCTCACCTACGTGCCCCCCACCGACTCCAGCTCCCGCAAGGCCGCCACCCTCGACGTCGCCGACCTGCACGCCGCCGCCGTCTACGTCCAGCGCCGCCTCGAGGGCTGGGTCCCCAGGCCCGCCGACCACGCACACCAGCCCAGCGTGAACCCGCTCCTTATGAAGGCGCTGGCGAACAACATGCAGGAGACGGACACAAGCCTCGTGCCCCCGCCCGCTGGGAAGCTCAACAGGCTGCGTCCCAACGAGGGCTTGGTATGGGGCAACGCCGAGGTGACGCTCGACCACGTCGAGCTGCAGCTGGCCACCCTCGTCGAGGAGGGCCTGATGCACGGGTTCATCGCCCACGGGCAGGGCAGGTTCGCCATCATAGGCGCCAAGGCCAAGGGGCCCGTCGCCGCGGGCTGGCCGAGTGTGTGGCAGTCCATACAGGAGAGGAGGTACGAGGAAGATTACAACCCAGATGATGTGCCTGGGTGGGTTCGGGCGTGATCATTCAGAAAACTTACCTAGCTATTCCAGTCATGTTTAACACATCAGTGCGTGGCATAAAGAAAACCACAATGGCCTATTAACAATATCAAAATAATCAAGACAATAAGACAATGTTAACCAAATAATGACCATGATCATGTACTCATATCAGACTGTGATTGTCAAACAAAAAGCATGTAGAGTTTAAAACTCACCCACGGTATGCAAGATGTACCTGATTTCCAACTAGGTAACGGCACGCTGGACTTAATCACCGGAGGTAGTTCACAACACAAACCGCAATGGGCCAAAAAGATCAAAGAGGCTAACAGGTATTGAATGCTTCGTCTGCATTTACACTCGAGGACACCCTCCGATCCTCGTCAGAAAGGATGGGGGATGATGAAACATCCATGTCCTGAGCTACTAATACTAAAAATATGTCACATATATACTAAAATTATTCACAAAAAGTGATCAAAAGGATTCCCATAAAAGTACACCTTGTTTTTTTAAGCGTGCATGTCCGTCCAAACATTGACATCGTCCCAGAAACAACCATCATGCCTCTTCTGATATGGAAAAAAAAAAGTGTACCGCGGGTAGAAAGAGGATGAAATCCTCTCACGCGAAAAAGGGGGGGTATTTATTGAAGTAGATACAACAATGCTGGGCCTGTATAGGCAAGAAGAATGTAGTCCCAAGTGGGAGAACGACTTGCGTCAACAGACGCGCCGTAAAATAGACACTATCACTGATGTGTTTGCCTGCTATGTAGGGTTGGCAAAGATATTTGGAGATAAAAAAGAAAAGGTCGTAAGTTTCAAAGCATGTGCGGAGAGAAGAAGAGCAAAAACAGCCATAACGCTTCAAACGTTGTAAATATAAGCCGAGTAAGGACAGAAAATGATAAGATTATGTCCTAAGAGAGCTGGTATGTTGCACTACAAAAAGTAGGCTGCGGCAACAAAAGCAACAACGAGTCCAGCGAGAGCAGGGCTTCCAGACTTGCGTTGAGCAATGCCCTTCTCATCGGACTTAGTTGCAGATGCCTCCTTTGTGGCTTCGGTGGGTTGAGCGTTTGATTGGGCATTGGTAGCTGTGGCTCCTGAGGATGACGAGTCATCATTCTCATGGAAGATACCAGGCTTTGCGCTGATCTTTGCCCCAGTTGCGGACGGTGTTGGCGAGCCTGTTGGGGTGCTGGATTCTTCGGTCGAGGTCGGGCTCGAGGTTGAGCTTGCGCTAGAGCTTGGAGACGAGCTGGACGATGACACTGTGGTCAAAGTAGATGAAACCACAGAAGACGACGACGACGACGACGAAGACGAGACTGTCGAAGAGCTCGTGCTCTGTACTGTGGATGTTGCAGCAACACTTGGTGTGCTTGTAGACTTCTTCTCCTCATCCTTTCCTCCCGAGGAACTGCTGCCGCCAGGGGCAAAGGCAACAATATTTGCCGTCTTCCCCTTGCTGACTGTCACGACGCAGAAACTTGAGCCGCCTGCGCCGGATGACTTGGTACTCGACTTGACATTTCCACTTCCCGAGGTAGGGTCAATCTCGCATGGAATGCCATTGCAGCCACCGTCAGGGCATTCAACCCTCAGTCCAAAATCGGGAACTGAACCCTTTAAACCAGAATCTTCCCAAATGGGGTTCCAACCCAGCTTCACAAATGTCTGGCCACTCGCGTCAGCGTTGGCACCGGCAACGTAGGGACTCCAGTTTCCAATTGGGCTCTTGTCATCTCCCCAGATGCATCCCTCCGAACCTGTACCAGGAGGGTTGATATAGAAGCTATTTTCAATTGTTAGCAACTCCACTTGGCAAACAATCTCCCTCGCAACACTCACTGTGCGGCAGTTGAACACCAGTAGCTGCTTTTAGGAACAGCAATAACTGCGCTTGAGGAAACGACCGTAGGGATAAGCATAGCCTCGTTGCCAGGAAGAACAGTCTGGCACCACGACATGCTCTTGCCTGCCTTGTTGACAGCATTGATGGACCCAAGACCATCAACACAATTAGGCTTATCCTTGAAAGGCTTCTCAATCTGTCCATTCTTGTTGCAATAAAGACCGCCATTCTAAGAAGAAAATGTTAGCAACTATGCGAGAAGTATGCATCAGGGTGCGGGCTGTACCATAGAGGCAGGGTAGGTGTAAGTAGAATCAGGATCCCACTGTGCCATGACCATGCCTGACTTGCAAGCAAAGGGACAGTATGATCCAGGCTTGCACTCCTGATCAGGGCTCATAGCCCATCCTGCATTCTTCGCGTTGGGAGTGACGGCGACGAGGTTCGGGTCATCGGTGGGAAACTGGCATTGTCCTCCTCGGGTGGCCAATGAGGTCTCCTCCGGCGCGTTATGAGAATGGCGAACCTCGAGATCTGTATCCAAATGGCGGTGTTGGTGTACCCTCTCGTGCGAAAAGGCATCGCAGGTCGAGGACAAGGCAATGGCGAAGCCCAAAATGGCGCGCGCCGACGATAGTGACAACTTCATTTTCGCGATATAACCCCAACAACCCTTTAAAATATCCAATGAATATCCGGATTAACGGCAAACTGTGGTGCCAACTGCGTCGCGCGAAGAATGATCGGCGACAGACTGCAAGCAGCCCTTGGCGTCCAACAATGACAGCTGGAGTAGTGGTGTGATCGCCCCGAGGCAGCGTCGAGCGAACGTAGGTAGTGGTCAGTGAGCGAGTGACTGGTGACGGCGAGAGACGGACTCGACGATCAAAAACGGATCAAAGAAAGTGAATAGCGAGCGACAGGTTTAAAACGAAGGACAAGTGATCACCAGCAACGAGCGGTAAGAGAGAGTTCAGGGCCTCGCCTGGGGGATACCGCCTAGGTAAATTGGGATGTTGGGTTTAAGCTCGCTAAGAACCAGCATCTCAGGATCAGAGAGGACGACGGACAGCTCGGGCATGGGAGAGAAGCGGGCACCAGGCGAGGATCCCCCATTCATCAAAGGCCATCACGCCGTCGACAACAAGCTCGCTGGCCCCATGCAGGTTAATGAGCAGACAGCCAATCCGAGGACACACTGGAAATGAGAGCATCACGGTGCAGGGATCCACATCAACCGTTTCGGCACAAACTGCAAGGGGCATCTTCGAGGGCCAGGTGGTTCAGAAGCTTGGTGCATGGAAATTTCTCTCATCGCCAGGGGGGACAGACAAGGGGGAGATGAAGAGCAGCTCTGGCGATGCTTAAACAGGCTAGAGCGTCGGCCCCTCTTCCTTCCCCCCACCAGCAGCAGTTCAATCCAAGCCTGGAAGAGGAAAGAGCCTACGCTTGTTCCTGGAGTAGCACCTGGCTGTGTGGCCACTGCCCAGACTTGGCCACTGCCCTGCCTGCACGGGCAAATTGCAGCAGCAGGGCTTATGCGCCAGGATGGAGCTAGGAGTCGTCAACACCAAGACCAGTTCATCACATCAGAGACATGAAAAAGCAAAATCACAGCCACCGACTGACTGACAGGCGTCTAGTGTTACCGAGTGCGACCTCGGCAGACCTAATTGCCCTGACGCACGCCTCAGAACGGCAGGCAGGCGCATTACCCTAGCTGCAGGAACACTATCCAAAGCACCTTGCGCAAGCATTAGTAGTCGAGGCCTCCCCCCTCCTTCTCACTATCGTCAACCTTACATACCTTAGTATCCAACAGGTCCAGGCCCTCTGGATCTAGACAGCGCTAATCAGGCCAGAAAGAAATGAGGATGAATGGGAGGTCCAGCTTCTGGAGAAATGCCCCTCACAGGTGCTGAGCTCCCTTCTAAGGTGGCCACCACATTGCGACGGCGCCGTTGCGCTATTCCTGATCTGCTCCTAGCTACCCGAGCTCTAGCTTGATTCGGCTAGCTTAGTTTGGGCGCAATTGGTACCTGCATGATATGATTGATGGGCCGTAGATTGGCTCAACAAAGAGCCTGCAGCAGCCAGAAGCAGATATGCCATTCAGCCACTGAAATCATTGATGCTTCGCTGTGGCAATTCATATAATTGCGCCCATCAAATCAGGTCCCATGGCTCGTCAACCATCCCACCATCGCGCCTAGCACTACCATTAGCTGATCACGAGGGTATCATCCACCCCTGCCCTATGTCTGTCAGCGTTCTCCTCTATTTGCCATTGACTCAGGCAGCTGGACGAAGGATGGCGCCGGCGGGTAACGTGAATCAAGACATGTTCGACTCATAAGCCGGGTAGGTACTCTCTTACTGCGAACCAATGAGCACAACCTTCCCTTTTAATTGTTCCATATGCTGGCACATAAGACTGTGCCTGCGTTACCTTGCATGCTGTATATTGAGAAAATGATCGGGAATCCAATATTGTTTATTGGTCTCTGTATGGAGCCTACTAATTACATTGTATTTGGGATCTAGAGTTACATATTCTCTCGTACAATCGCGGTCTGCTCTGGGCCTACCAACCGCGTTCTATCCTCTACTCTGCTAGAGCCCCTTTTCGCGATGTCCCACTACTCTAGCAAATGAGTCAAATGACATAGTCATGGAGTGTCTGCCAGCCGTCTTGCTTCGCAAATGGTCATCGTAGTTCAACATCTCCTTGTAGGGGACCTTGGCAGCAATCTCCACCACCCGTGTCAATGACTTCTTGCCCCGGAGAGAAGTCACCGATTCGTAGGGGTCTGGCGGCGCGTAAATTTTAGAGACATCTATCAACTCATCGGTTGCTGCCTCGGCGGTTCTGTCGTTCACCTCCAAAACACTACCGCCCGCCCCCGCTGTAATATCGTGCTGGACAGTACCAGCAACGGCCTCAGGACACGTGATGTGCACGAGCATCAATGGCTCGAGGATAGCGATTTGGTGCTTCTCAAACGCGTCTCGGAGCGCTGCCTGGACTGCAGATCGCGAGGCGCCACTGAAATGCCCGCCTGAAGGGTTCTCAAGCATCCCTTCGGATGTGTCGAGTGTGACTGAGATCAAACAACCATGAATGGGAGATGCTCGCCTTGGTCCTCGAGCTGTTGCAGCAAGAGCGCCGTTCAGCAGATGATGTCGTGCTTCCTCCAGGTCGAAGGTAAATTCCTTCGAATTATCCAGCTCAGGCACATCGATCTGATAAATGTTTCCATCTTTTTCAATTCCAGACTCAAGCAGGGAGCCGTGCTCATCAGGCTCTATTGGTCTCAGTGTAACTGTACAAGCAGCCTTGCCAGATTTGCTTGCAACGGCACGATCAAACACAGTATGATGGGGCTGCGTTTGCTCTGTGAGAGTCTCTTTGTAGTCAACTTCGATAGGACCAAACTCGGCATCAATTTTGTATTTCTGCCTCATGCTGTGCAGAGAAACATCCAAATGCAATTTTCCCATTCCTTGAATCGTAAATTGGTCCGTCTTTGAATCCCGGCTCCAACGAAGACTCGGGTCTTCTCGAGATGCATTTTCCAGCGCAGTCTGGAGCTCTTGCGCAGCAACATTACCGAACGGTTCAACTTGCAGAAAGGCAACGGGTGGTGGAATCTCCGGCGGACGGACCTGAATATGTCGCAGGGCCTCTGGAACACCTTTGTTGTTTACTGTCGTGATAAGCGTATCTCCAGTCCTGGCCTTCTTTAACCCTCTCAAAGCTCCAATCTGTCCGACGGCAAGATCCTGGATATCCTGAGTCTTGTTTGCTGAAATTTGCAAGATTCCCATCGGGCGTTCCAGCAATCCTAGGTGCGTATTGAATGTAGAGGCATTTCTACCCATAGTGCCATGGTATACACGCACGAAGCTGATGATCCCCTCTTTCGGGTGGTCAAAGACCTTGAAGACTGATGCGACAGATGCAACTATGGCCTTAGATCCTTTCTTATCCTTCTCTTGCAGCGTTTCCCTCAACTTACGCTTCGTGGCACCAAGTCGCACGTCTGCGTCTGGTCTCTCAGCTGGGTTTGGAAGGTAGTCAACGATCGCATCCATCAGAGGCTCGACACCAATGTGGCGGAAGCTAGACCCTGCAAACACCGGGATCACACTGCCGTCTCCCTCTCTAATGGCTCTTCGGATCGCTTGTTTGAGGAGGGAGGCTGATATATCTTCCGTCTCAGCAAGAAACTCCTCCATGACTGCATCATCGAAGTCTGCTAAACCCTCCACCAAACGCTGTCTTGCGAGTTCGATTTCTTCCAGAAGACTTCGGTTAGAGCTTCCTAGGTGTTCTTTGAGGGTTGCTGTATCATATTGAATCTTGTCACGTTCTGATTTCCATCGGTATCCAACACGATCCACAATGTCAATGACACCGACAAACTCCTCCTTCTCCCACCACGGGATTTGGCAGACAAGAGGCCACCCTTTAAGTCTAGACCCAATCTCCATGACGGCTCTTTTGAATGATGCACCTTCGCGGTCAAGCTTGTTACAGTACACTATTCGCGGGATCCGGAATTCATGGGCTGATCCCCACACACGTTCCGTATGAGCCTCGACTCCTTTTACGGAATCGATGATACAGACCGCACCATCCAGAATCGGCAGGCATCTGTCAACCTCAAATCGAAAGTCTTGATGCCCAGGGGTGTCGATCAGATTCACCGTCTTCGGCTGCGTTCCGGGGGGACAGTTTACTTCCAAAGGCCAGTGGAAAGTAATGGCTGCTGATTGGATCGTGATTCCTCTTTGCCTTTCAAGGTCAAGAAAATCAGTGACAGTGTTTCCAGCATCGACATCACCCACTCTCTGAGTAACACCACTATAGTAGAGCATTCGCTCTGTGGTGGTGGTTTTGCCCTACACGTCCCATTAGCACGCAAGTCATCTTCATTCGGTGCTCTTCCGCAGCTCACCGCATCTACATGGGCAATTATTCCAATATTTCGTGTATTTTCAAGCAGCGAATTTGAAGACACACCCTTGTTCACCTGGCTGTATAGTCTCGCGATCACAAGCTGCCCATTAAATGAGCTCCGTCTGAGCGGAAAAAGGGAGGGCCGGGCCACGAGCAGCCGACAGCGAACCGCAAGCATCATCTTAGCCAATGGTACTTGGAACTTCCCATATTGAGTAACAAATTGCGACTCAATTGGGTTTTGGGGTCAGAATATGGCCAAAATGATGTTCGTGGTGTTGCTGCCACTGAGACCCAGTTCAATTGGAAGTTTCTGTGTGGCTGAAGCTGTGACGCACGTGGCTGCAGGGCCTGTGGCTGATGCGCATTGCGAATGCACCGGGAGCTATTCTAGGCTACAACTAAGGGATCTTACTTCCATCTCTCCTCTATTTTCTGTTCATCCTCCTTCAACACCAACCAACTCTTCTACACTCTCCCCTACTCCCATCACGATGGAGCTCTCTGATATTTTCCGCATTGTCAACTTGGCAGTTGGTGGCTTGACCGTAGTCGGCGGTGTCTTCCACTTCAGTTTCTCCCTGTAAGTTTCCATCATCCCTTGGAATTTCGCGTCGCGATCAAGCAAGATCCCCGGCGCTTCTTCGATCATACATACTAATGCATCACCGTCAGGGGGGCCATCATTCTCGCCATTTACATGATCGTTTTTGGCTTGTCCATTGCTCTGCTCGGTACGTTGACGTCCCCAAGTCATCCTCGACGAAAACGAGCCACTCCAACTAACTTCTACGATCAGAATTCCAGATCCCTGCCCAGGTGTCGCATTACGCTCCATTCCTCTTCTCCTTTGCTGGACGAGGTGTCTGTAAGTGCGCTCCCATCAGCGCCTCCATTGCTCCCTAGCTTACACAGAGTATAGTCTATCTCCTCCTCAGTGGTCTCCTTCTCGGCGGTGGTATCATCGGCACCATCGCGGGAATCATTGTTGGCGTCGTCGGAGTCGGCTACATCGCCCTCGAGTTTATCCCTTCGATCGAACCCCCGAGCAACATGCGCGAGGCAGATGGCGGGTGGGGCGCCGAGCAGGTCTAAAAACCTACGTCTCCTATGCGCTTGAGGAAGCTGTGTGCCACGTGTACGCATGAGGCTCCTACTCAGCGTATGGCGACGACTTCTTGGACCTATCGCCCAAGATAATGTATTATGGACCTCAGGGGGGGCAACATAAATAGGAGGTGTGCATTTCGGCAGGGCTAAAACGCTCGCGACAGGTACCGAACCAACAATACACCTAGCAGGTTATACACAGGGGAGTGGGAGACGGAGTGGGCATTGACAAAAGATTGTCCAAGCCCCATATGAGAACATGGGAGGAGTTAATTGTAGCAAGATGTTTCACGCTACACGAACAGGGGTTTTAGATGACAAGCATTGTTGTATAAATTGAAATCAGCATTTGCCCATGCGCAACTGCCCTGACTACCTCATAACTTAGATCTCCCGATATACCACTCTCCAAGCTGGCGCGCATTTACATATTTACAGAATAACCGGGCAGCGACTAAAATTAGGATTTTGGGTAAGATTTGAATATCTCTACAGCTTGAACAGCCGTCTGGATTACGATCACAGCCTGTCTGTGCTATGTTGCTGCCGATGTTCATGATTGTTCAATAAGCTGTTGAATGGGGACGTCATAGCACGTTTAGGTCTCGCCTATGGAACTGTATACATCTCTTGAGCAATAAGCTATCGAGAGATTAGCTATTTCCTTGACCTAGTACTTTATTAGCCCAATTCCCCCAGGCGATGCCTTGAAAAGTGATACGTTGCCGATTGCCTCATCAGTTCTGTTTGTGGTCTCGGGTAGGTGACCCGGTTGGGTGACGGGGTTGACAGGTGCAATATTCCAGCAAGGCAGCCTATCATCAACTAACAACCGTTGAGAGCGCTGGAATAAAGTCATGGGGAAGCAAAATCCAACAAAAATCTTGGCTTCAAACCATCCACCTCGGGGCAAATTATGACGAATGAGACGTCATCAAAAGGGGTGATCGCTGATCGCGCAAGGCTTCAACTTGTCTGGTATGCCCTCTGACGTCATCTCTGCCATCCACGTTAGACGAAGATGTGACACGGGCAAGGTGAACATTGGTTTAGGATGGGAAGATGATATTTGTTCAAAGGTATAAATTTTCTCACTCTGCAGAGCGCGGTTGTATTCTCTCTTGTATCCTAACAAATTAATTCATTACAATCAAAACCTCACTTCCTTGCCCAAGAATCAACACCTGACTTTCTTACAAATTTCATCACATTCACATACAACATGACCAACTTATCGTCCAACAACGGCAAGAACACAGCCGGAGGCCAGCTCGGCGACGCCACCAACTTCGTCACATCAACCCTGGGAAACACCGTGGGAGCCGTTGGGAGAACCGTCGGCAATGTCACAGGCGCTGCCACCCGAGGCGTTGGAGACACTGTAACGGCTGTCACTGGTGGCTACGGCAAGCCCGTTGGCAACGCTGTCGGTGAACTCGGAACTGGCGTGCAAAATGGCCTCGGAGACGTCAGCAAGGGGGTAGAGAATGCTGGAAACTGGAAGAACAAATAAATTTTGGGTGGATAATCAGGCCTGGATGCCGCCTACATTTGCATCACCAGTTACCATTTCAATTCATGTAAAGAAATATTGAGTCTTCTTAAGTGCTCAAATGCCAAATACTATATCCTTTTATTCAAACGACTCGCTGTGGTCCCGTGAGAAGGTCAAAAATAACAAGGCACATCTCAAAACCAAATTGCATGTGTACCCATTCCATCACAACATTAACCAATGTTGAACTCATCAGCCGTCGCCTTCATCAGATACTTGCTCTTTTCCGTGAATAGGTCACGTCCTGGTCTTGACGAGTCTTCTTCCGCGTCAGCCGTATATTTGCCCTTGGCACCCTTGGCGCCCTTCTTCTTCGCCTTCCTCTCGATGCCAGCTCCAATACCACCAGGCGGGTCTCTCAATCCGAAACTCTTCGCGAGGTGTCCCAGATGCAACTCACTAATATCGAAATGGACTCTTTCCTCCTTGATGTGAGTGGCGTATGCTCGAATATGAGACTTGAATCCATTGCGTGCCAGTTCCAGCTGTTTGGAATCTCCGAGAAGCCTCTGCTCAATGTGAAGCTGGAGAGTCTCGGCCTTTTCATGGTATGTCTTTCCGTCTTCAGGTTTCGCTGTTGTTTCTATCGGAAACTCGAGCTTGGACAACAGGCCCTTCTCAAGAACGGATTCGCACGATTGTGCTGTGGGTGGAGTAGATGCCTTGAGGAGCTCGATATAGCCTTCCTCTGTGCCTGGTAGGAGAAACAAAGCGGCATCTCCGGGTCGACCAGCGCGAGCAGTACGTCCAACACGGTGGATGTGGTCAGAGAAACTGAAAGCTGGATCATACTCAATGACCAGGTCAACTGAGGGGATATCAAGACCACGAGACGAGACATCAGTAGTAATGAGAACCGAAGGCAGCTTCGATGCAGCAAAAGACTTTATGGTAGCAGTTCGAACAGGTTGTGAAAGGGAACCATGCATCCTGTGCAGGATCACCTCTGGGCTCGCCGGCGATGTGATATACGCCGCTTTGGACACGGTCCTCGACAACACTTCCGCCTCTTTGGCTGAAGTGTCAGGTAGGTCTTTTTTTGCTGGGTCTCTCAAGAGCTCGTAGTGGAAATCCACGGAGTCGGCGCAAGAGTGAAAGATGATGGCTTTCATAGTACGTCCACGTCGAGAAAAGGCAAGCTTGAGGTAGGATATGAGCGTAACCAACCGCAGCTTGGCAGGGGCAATGATGTATGACTGATGCAGTTGGGCTGGGGCTTTGAGAACGGCCTGATCGGTGGGTGCTGTTTGGTCGGCATCTTTCTCAGCAGCAAGGAATGTTGCGTCTGCCAGACTCATTTCTCCGAGCTTTTGAACATTCATTTTCATCGTCGCAGAACATAATACTGTGACTCTCCGGTCCGGAAGCGAATCCAAGAGGGTTCCGTTGGTCGTCTTCTCAGCGACAATGATTCTCTTGAGGGCATTGATGGCTTTCTTGAGATCTTCCTCAAATCCGAGATCCATCAAGCGATCACCCTCGTCCAGGATCAACCATCTCACCGTGCCCAAGTTCAATGCCTTTGTGTTGTCGATGTGATCAGCCAGCCTTCCGGGAGTTGCGACGAGAAAGTTGACACCCTTCCGTATCCTTGCTTTCTCGGCCTTCTTGGATTCACCACCAGTAATGGAAGTCGACACCAACCACGGAAATGGGCGGATGAGCTGCTCCAAAACAGAGTGTGTCTGCCTTGCCAGTTCTCGGGTGGGTGCAACAATTATAGCAAAAAGACCCGAGTCCCGATGAATCTGCTTTCCATCCCCCTTTCCACTGAGCTGTAATACCCGGTGGAGAATGGGGAGCAGATACGAAAAGGTCTTTCCTGAACCCGTTTCTGCTTGTACGAAAGCGTCGCCGCTGCTGGATATCAAATGTGGGATCACCTTGTTCTGAATTGCTGTCGGCCGCTCTAAGTTCATCTTGGAGAGCTCATCCACTAACCGAGATGCCAATGCCAGAGTTCCAAAGTTTGCAACGTCACTCAGGGGGGCGTTGGTTGCTTCGGGTGCTTCCCATTCTGATTCCTCCTTTTCCACAGCAGTTTTCTGCTCTGGGTTGAAACTAAAAAGGCGAGAGATGACCTGGCGAGACCCTTTGTTGCCATCGGACTGGCCGCGATGGCTGGAACGGCCACCACCAGCATTATCGTTTGTTGAAGGCTTTTTCGGACCTTGGCTGCCATGCGACGGGTTGCCCGGCTTCCAGCCCGAGAACTCACCATTGTCATTGGTCTTATACCTCTTGGGGGGTCTCTCTGAAGCCTCTGCATCTCCCTCGTCCCTGGGGGTTTTGGACTGCGAACCGGCGAGTTTGGCTGATTTTTCCGCCCGCTTCCTGTCCCTCCAGCGCCCACCCGTAAATTTGGTTGTTTGCGGCTTCAGAGGCGCTGAGCCAAGCTGAAAGTTCAATATCATACCATCGTCAGCCATTGTGAGTCTGATGTGCTCTCACGTGTTGAGGCGGGGCAGCAGTTGATGCGATGTGAGATGGCCATGGTTGGCGTCCGGAAAATTTTGGGTAGACAACTCTTATCGGACGCAAAAAAAAAGGCCCATGTCCGATAAGATTGATTAGATTAGATCTAAACCACCAGCATGCATGAAACGAAAAATTGTCCCATGTTCTGGCAGTTTAAAAGATTTAAATTCGCTAGCTGTATCAGGAGAAACAATTTATTTTCTGATGTATTAGTTTTACCAACTTGTCACTCGGCTATGCTGCCACCGTAGTAAGTTAGGCCATCGCATTCTGTTACACCCATCTCATTGAGAATACCAAACGAATAAACTACAGCATTTCTGCCACACTGCAGGAAAATAATAACTTAATTTACGAACCGTCACAGTGAGCCACTGAAGGCAAATTTAATTTTGGCGAACTTCATCGTAGCAAGGCAAGGAAGGGAACTTCAGGTCATCAGGTAATTGCGGGGTGGTCATAATTGAGCAGCTACCAGAGGCCAAGATCCATCCTCACGATCTGAATCCGATAACCGAGAAGTTAGAATCAGAGACGAGAATCATGTCCAAATCCCGATCTCGTTAGAACATTGTGGCGTGCTCTGTTAGATCCAGAAACATATAAGTATCTAATTACTTGCCTGCTCACCCACAAGGGTTGCCTATCTACATACCCTAACTTCCTGATATGTACGTAATGGCTAAAATTTCATTTGCTAGATTCATCTGGGACTTCACGCATCGCATTCCTCCTAACGCAGCGGTGTAGGGGATGTACACCGCCCATTGTGATCACCGACTTGGCTTGCATGTCTACCTACCTACCTAGGCACAATACCCTGTAGACAGAAAAATACAATGTCTGCAAATTTCTCAGTCGCTCGGAAGATCATTGGTGGTAAAGATCCTAGATTCCACTGCAACGAAGGATAATCTGTCTAGGTATCGGCGTATAACGCTGAGGGCCAAATCGCATTAACTTCCATTTTCATGCACGTCGGGAGAACAACTATAAGCTCCCGAGAGGCGCCCGGAGGGGGGTGGGGGTGTAGAAGCAGACGAGGCACGGGGACCATCTTGCCGTAGGTACCTCTAAATTTAGCGTGAGATACCTATTGGAGGAGATAGGGACTCTGATTAAGGTGCGCGACGGAATCATAGGCTCGACCGAAGCATACCAACACCCCCTTCACCAATTCTCCTACTGCTCCAGTGCAGATCTTGTTGGTGATATGGGGGCTCCGAGCTTAACCGAAGAAGAGCAGGAGGATCAACTCCAACATCAATGGGCATCTGTTAATAGAGGTAGCTAGAGAGCTTATGACGGCGGTATAACTGATGTCAACGTTCGGAAAAATCCGTCGGGAGCGTGAAATCTATTTGCTAGGAGAAGCTACCAAATAGGAAATGAAACAACGTGTTTGTGTTACTACTAACGGTACGCTTGTTTGCTTCTGAAGGTTCTGGAAACATGTCCTCCTTTCACTGTCTACGAGAGACATCAGCAGCGACTGGCGACTTCATGGTTAATCGCCTTCAGTGTTGGTGGAGTTGTAGACCTAAATTCTTCCGAACCTGATGTCTCACCATGTACAAACACTGGATAAGTCTCACGAAGTCCCCGAGACTGGCCCACGAAAGAATTTACATGTACGTTGACGGAAAATCTCGTAGGCTGTCATTAAAGAGACTACTGTCCACTCTAACATTCGATGCATAGAGGGAGGAAGAGTACAATGCGAGCGAAACCTTCATCAAACGCTGCCGTCTCCTATGCCCATATTAAGTAAGTACCACGTTGGGCTATCTGTTTGTGTCACATCAAAAATATCTTGCCAGCCCGGCCCTTCGTTGGTCTAGGCACAAACATAGACCTATTACTGGGAGCTGATAGGACGCTGCGTTGGGATTATTTGCCTTGTTTTGGAATGGCCCCTCAATGAATAGGCTAGCTATAGAGTGTTTAGCGAATGGGACAATTGGGCGAATCATCAAAGAACAGACAATAATCTTTGCCAATCCTACTTATTAGAATCAGTCATTCGATTTTGTACCATCCTTTGTACATCGACAAGTGAGGGGGGGACGCAAGGTCCCACCAACCCGCCGTTCTTTGTGCAGATGGCCCCAGGGCTCGCTTGAAATGGAGATAGCGCCTTTTATTTTTGGCTCTAAAAGCACGATTCCAGTTGAATAGATATTTGCAAATATAAAAGTCAGCTCCTTTTCTGGTGGTGGGTGATAGGGGAGGGGGCGATGGAACCCAAGATCAAGCTGGTGAACTTTCTGAGGATTCTTCAGTCTGTCATTGCGATAATAATATACTGAATGCAACTTCATCTAAGACATACAACGCGAGCCTATGATATCTCGGAGTAAAGAAAGAACGCAAATACCAAATAACTGGCTTGAATCTCATGATCCACGAGGACTGCCAGAGCAGCTGCCCATAGGATTTTCATCCCTTGGTTTCACAGAGCAAACTTTTACTTCTTATTTCTTTGCTGCCTTTTGAACATATATACTCTGCATCAACCATATTTCTAGCTCTCTAATGTTTGGGACACGATCGAGGGTTCTGGCAGCTGCTCGCCTCGTGGCTGATGGAGAAACGACCGGCTCAGGTAACAGTTTCTCTCCTAGCATTCATATGGGCTAATTTCTCACAAAAGACTATAGCGACACGAAAAAGGATCCAGCCAAACCTTGTCGTCCTTGTACCGGGACCCAGGCCTGTATGTTTACTCTTTTCCCGTTAAGAAAGCAAGACTGATGTGTGAGCAGGAACAGAAAAAGCACAAGGCCCCCGCTGCACCGAAGCCTCGACCTAGAGAAAGCCCCAGAACCAGCAAGACAAGGCCAGTCGGGCCGCGCGAGCTCGTCCTAGATTGGCTTGAAGAGTTGCCAGAGTTTCCACTGCAGAGCGGTGATTCGCAAACTGGCTCTCAGTTGCGGGAAAGACTATCTGCCATGGCTCAGTCCCAGCCGACAATCTCTGCGTTATATGCATGCATGGACATTGATCAGCGTTCCGTCATTTCATCAAAAATAAGCTACCAGGCTCTTGTCCAACGACCAGGCTACCGCAACACGCTGTTCAAAAACGGTATCAGGGCCGTTCGGTCAGAGGAAGAGCTGCCCGACCATATCAGCAAATTGCTGGAACGTATTCTCCCGGAAGAGCCTTTGCAGGTTTGTGATCTAGACCAAGTCAAGTACCATAGACTGAGGAATATGGCAATCGAAGGGACAAAGGAAGAGGATGTCGGAGAACTCCTAAACTTCGAATCGTTATCAACCGTAACGAGAAATCGACTTGATCTCAAAAGAGGCGTCAATCGATTGTTGGAGAGATTACGCGTCCCAAATAAAAAACCAGATGATAAAGTCAGCACCCCTAAACCAGATTATCACCTTGGATATGGGCTTAGTGCGTTTCCAATCGAAAACCTGGATGTTCTTGACCAGCTAGACAGCAGCGAGATCAAGTTCCCTTTTCTGGAGATTGAATACAAGGGAGACGGGAGCAACTCTTGGGGGCGGCTATGGGTTGCCACGAATCAATGCCTTGGAGGAACGGCAACATTTCTTAACATCTTGGACCAGTTCAAGACACAGCTGAATCAAAGGTCTCTGAAAACTCAATCTGAAGTCCTTGAGTCGATAGTATTCAGTGTCGTTACCAATGGGACGGAGGCAAGGCTCTTCGTTACTTCCTCAGATGGGCAAGGAGTTTTCAAGATGTTTCTGATCAGAGGGTTCTTGTTTTATGAGGACCAGGGCTTTGATAAGCTGAGCGCGTATCTGACTAACATTATCGAGTGGGGTGCGGACATTCGTCTGGGTCATATTAAGACTGCATTGAAGGCGTTGTCGGATTCCTTTGAGGCGGCTGAGAATCTACAGATCGAAAATCATGGTTCGAACATTGGAGGAGAAAGGGAAGAAGGTTCCCCAACTCCAGCGCCGCAAGCAGCAAACACTGTTGCTGACCGGCCGCTGACAAATGGACAGGATGAGCAGCCGGCGCAAGTACGCGGTCGTGGACGCCCAGCAAAGCGAAGCCAAGAGCAGGTGAAGGGGAAGGTCGGCAGACCTCCGAAGAAGCCACGGCCTGCTTAGTGGCTGGGTATATTCTTGCTGCGACGTTGATATTCATTTTTCTGAACTCTTTTGAAACACAACCTGGTTATTCACATATCCTAAAGGCCGATACAAGGCTTCTAGATTCTGAACTAGTCTGTTATGTAACACACTTGTCCGTCACTGTAGCAGGTTGTGCAATGGCCCAAGAGTCTTAGAGTCGGATAGAGCAACTAAAGTAGCTATTGCCTAACTAAAGGGATTCCCCTCATAGACTCAAAGTGACGCTTGAAACCCGCATTCAGCAGGGAAAGTAGAACCGGAGAAACAAGGAAGGGTCATCGCTGTATGCAACCTTCGGAAAGCCAAAAATAAGGCTGCTGCAACGCCCCGTTGCTCTAAAAAGTTATACGAGAGGCATTATTCCTTAAGCAGATTACGTCAACAAGTCTGACAGGCGTTCATCTTCGGAGATGCGAGGCTGAATTCTCCATGCCGGATAATTCATCTTGGGGTTGTGCGAAGTCCGATCGATCTTATCGAGGACCAATGGCTGGTGACTCATTGTGAAATCCTGTCTCGGAGCCGATCTCTGCATCTCGTAGCGAGGCAGTAGCTCCATCTAGAATTTAATTTAAGCAGTCTAATAACACCAGTGGACTCCGAATGAGATAATTAGATGCATAGACACGATCCCATGATCAGGCCCCTGTTGATGACTGAGGTTGATTTTCCAATGTCCGTTCGGGATTTTGAACAGTCCCGAAACTCGATTAGTCTGCCGTTGATTGGTGTGCTAAGCCCTGTAATTCGGGAGGTGGGTTCATTCACTTTGATTGATCAACACTCGGCCTATGGCATTGTGCAGTTAGTCAGCTGCTGTGCGTGAGTGGGAAAAGCCCGAGGCCATACCTCCGGTCGTCCTCGGATGAAATGGTGGACACGATTGGCGCTGCACGCCGCCCTGCTAAAAGGGACGGTTCCCAGACCCGGGGATCCGGGGCATCCGACACTTGACGAGATATTATCGTCCCGGGCCATGTGATGCCGGTTGATGACACAAGCAACTCTTCCAGGGTCGCAGGCTGTGGAGAATGATGATTGGCCCCAAGACCGCCTGCCATAGCCCCCCATGTACAATGATGCATGTTACGTCGTGTACTCTGGGGTTGGCATCCAGACACATTGCAAGCTCAGCAAAGCTATTCGCACATGTCGATGCTCGCCTCGCATGAACGGGTCGGTTATTAATTACCCGGGACTGGCCACAGAACAATTAATTGAGGCTGGCATTTCCAGGACAGACACATGACAAGGGGCTAGGATGTGTCTCGCGCAAGCTTGCTGTTCCCTGTCTTTCTAGAACGAGCCGTGCTCTTCCACAAGAAAAATTTTCATTTCCTCGAACTGAGATGCATTACTGACCTGGTAGTACGTGCATAGCGCACTGGTTGTAAGGCGAACGGGAGGCTTCCGACAGGCCGAGCTGGGGGTCCTCCAGGATTCCGGCTTCTCCCTATCCTCCACACCCCTGGGATAGCCTAGCTAACTGCCTGCGCTAGGGCGGCCGGTTTCTCCCACAAACCCCTGGAATCTGGATTCGCACAAGAGGCTGCCGGCTAGCCTACTTTTTTTTCTCCAACATCGCTGAAATGGATGTGTCCACAGACACACCCACCCACACACGCAAGTCGAGCTGGAGCCTAGGAATCGAGGCGAAGGGGGGTTGCAACACGACACACGCGAGCGCCTTGGGAGGAGCTGACGACAGCCAGTAGCCTATTCGGACGCTGGACTCTGGGGCTGCGTTTCGATTGAGCGATCAATGTTGGCTCCTGCCGACTAGGGTTACGCCTATCGCAGATTTATGTATGACGAACGTCCAGTTTCCAGCTGCACCTGCGCGCGCCCAGATACAGACAGATGTATGTGAACTTGTGGGTGTGTGGGCTCGCGAAAAAAGCAAGCAAAGTATAAATCTTTGCTAGGCGGTTTGCCCCTTGAGGGGTCAGAAACCCTCAGTGTCCACCGCCTGCGAGCGACTGTACTGAGACCGCCCAGTGGACTGCTCCCCATAGATGGATCATAGATAGGTGGCTTGGTGGCCAGCTTGGCCACTGGACCTGAGTCATATACACCACGATGTACTGGCGGTCTCAGACACAGCGCGCGCCAAACAGAGGGACACATACCTCTTGCCGTGGGTAAATACAAAGTAGTAGCGCCTGTACAGCCGGGTCCTGAGGGTCCCCGTGCATCTGTAGGTGGGTGTGCATGGGGCTGATGAGGGGCGCCGTCAGCCATCGAAGCTCGTAGGTCCGTGGCCCGTCCGCTAGGAGTTAGGCGATAGCCCCCCATGCTGGCATTTGCCATGCGCTCCCCAAGCGGTCGGAATCAAAGAAATACCTGAGGCCGCCCCTCCAAGCCTGGGCTGTTTCCCCATTCATCCATCTCAATAATATTTCACACCCTCAATTGGGCGACACGAAATCAAAATATTACAACATCGAGGTCACCTTGGTGTTTTTATTCTTATTCTGTTCCTTCCCTAACCTTCCGATATAATACCCTGGACCCGCGCGTTCGTTTGACGGCCATCTCGCTGTCAAATGAACCTGCAATCGACGTTATATTTTCTATTTCACGTAAGATTGCTCCTGACCGCAAGCTCGCCGCATCACACCATATCATTGGAGAGAAGATTCGAGGTCGTTTAGTGCAGCATTGGGAATCCCATTCGCCTTTTCTCACCTTGAGATCTGTGCAGCTTGAGCTAGTCTTTGGAATTGGGTTGGTTTGCTAACGTCGGCTAGTCCTTTAACCCTCCGGTAATCACCTAAATGCCCACCATTTATTCCTCGCTTTACACGAATTTTATCCGCCAAGGATCTACATTCGCCAAATCTGTTACCGCACACGGCTACGCTCAGTCTGTCGTAGCTGCGACCCAGCCTCATATCCTCAATTCCCAAAACCGCCCGGTTTTCCACCGTCGTCATAAGAACCCTCTTGGCCGCCTCTCCTCGCTCCAGCTTCACTCGGCGTTCCATTCCGAAAGGCACGCCACTTCAGCGTTCCAAGTCGAAAGTCGCGGTCATGGTGGTTTAGATGCGTACTTCGAGGCACTGCAGCAGAAGCAGGAGGCCGACAACGAAGTTGATAATGAATGGATTCAGTATGAGTTTCCCAAGCGAATCGAGTGGAAGCCAAGTGCTTCTGCCGTCCTCGAGGGAGATAAGGAGGCACGAGAGCGTGAGGATGCAGGCAATGAGCTGGAAGCCAGTCGATCCTTCACACCAGAAGAGGAGGCTGCACTTGCACACATAGATGCGGCCCTGGAGAGAGAAATCGAGGCCCGAAGTCAAAAAGATGCCGCTGAGAATGTGGGATCGGCTTTGCCTTCTCGAGCTCATACACCCGCATCTCTGGCACGATCAGCTACCCCTCCAGCTGATCCCCAGTCTCAGTCTTATGCTGATCATCTGTTCAAACTTTCCTCTGCGGGTCGATATGCGGAGATTCCTACTGTCTTCGAGGCCATGCTGGCCACGGGTGTCCAGCCCATTGCAGGCGCATATAATGCCTTGCTCATGGCTGCTATCCACATCCCAACCAGGAGAATCGAAGTTGTATCCAAGGCCTTGGATGTCTACGCTGATATGATCCGTCGTAGAGTTTCGCCTGACAGCGACACCTACGATATTTTGGTTGGGCTTCTGGCATCCCGATGTCTGGAGGTTACCGAGTTGAAGGCTAACTTGGAGGACAAGAGAGTCCGCTTCGGTGGTATGGACGAGCCTGGCAAGTTCATGTTCGCCTCTCACGAGTTTGAACATGCCATCTTGTGTGAGGATGATCGTCTGAACCTCGCTATCTCGCTCTTCGATTCCTCCGTTGACAGGGATGTTGCCTTCTACACCGCCGAAACTTATCACCAACTGATCTCAGCTTGTGCTCAGGCTGGTAGGGTTTCGGATATGCTCCGTCTTTTCGAGCACATGGAAGCCAGCGAAACCATTTCTTTTGCGGCAACCTTCCCCACGATGATCACTGCTTTCGCCTCTTCCGGTGATCTCATCAGCGCCGTCGAGTGCTACAATGAGTACCGGAACCTGGCAATTGCACATGACAGCGGAAAGGATACCCTTCGGGATCGATTGGATGCCCATGTATACGCCGCTGTTATTAATGCCTACGTGATGTCGGATAAGATCGAGGGTGCCATGAAGTTTTTCAAGCGAATCGTTGATGAGTATGGTGTCCGTGCCATTGACATCAAGGATGCTCTGATCAGCGCTGGCTTTGTCAAGGGGTTTATCAGCAGGGGAATCTACGCTGAGGCTTTCTATTGGGCCCAGTCTGTTGACGCCTCTGTTCGCCCCGAGTCCATGACCAAAATCGCTACTGTCTCTGCTGACAACGATGACAAGGCGACAGCCGTTGATGCTTTTGATAGTATTCCTTCGAACTTCCATGGCATTGCCAAACCTGCGATCGCTCTTCTTGCCATGAGCGTCCGTGCTGGAGATGTTGCAGAGGCCAGCAAGTATTGGCAGGTTCTTTGCCAAGCTGACATGCATGCAACTGATGCATACATCGAACCCACTGCCATGTATGCTGTCGCTCTGATTGGTTCGGGTCAGGTCGCTGAGGGACTGACCCAATCCGAGATGATGTTCCAGCGTATTCGCTCTGCCGAGGTTGAATCGCGACCTGAGGTTGCCGAAGAAATCGACGAAGCCATCGATTTCATCGCACGCTACATGGAGGTCAGGGGTATTGTCGATCCCCGCTCTACGATGCCGCAAACTTCTACAGGTTCTCCCTTCGAATCCACCTCGACTCCAGCTAGTTATGAGGATACGTTCGACCCTTATGCCTACAATACCGACTTCAAGGGCTCGTCGCTCATCGCTGACGATCTTGAGGGAAGCCATGGTCGCAAAGGTCCACGTCTTGGAGATGCCCTCAACCGCTTCAAGAACATACGCCGAGCCGGAAGACACCCTAGATACATCACTTATGCTAAGCTCATTTCCGCAGCTGCCCGCGAGGGCAAGATGGAGATGTGCCAGGATATCCTATCCATGGCCCGAACTGATGTGCCTTTGATGTCTCAGTATGCTGTTGTTCGCTATGGCTGGTCGTCTATCCTCGATGCTATGGTGGGAGCTTGTCTGAACCTTGGTAACCGAGGCCGAGCTGAGCAATATCATCAAGAGCTCCTGGATATGGGTGCCGCCCCATCTGCCAACACCTTTGGTTTGTACATTACCACGCTCAAGGACTCGACCAAGACTTTTGACGAGGCATCTGAAGCTGTTCGTATCTTCCACCGTGCCAAGGCCGAGGGAGTTGAACCAAGCTCATTCCTCTACAATGCTCTGATCGGAAAGCTGGGTAAGGCCCGCCGAATCGACGACTGTCTTTACTACTTTACGGAGATGAGGTCGCTGGGTGTCAAGCCCACATCTGTGACTTATGGTACCGTGGTCAATGCTCTTTGCCGTGTTAGTGACGAGAAGCTCGCTGAGGAGCTGTTTGATGAGATGGAGTCGATGCCTAACTACAAGGCTCGCCCCGCCCCATACAATAGCATGATGCAGTTTTTCTTAACCACCAAGCGCGACAAGAGTAAGGTGTTCGCCTACTATGAGCGTATGAAGGCAAAGGGCATTGCTCCCACTGCGCATACTTATAAGCTTCTCGTCGACGCTCACGCTACTCTGGAACCGGTTGATATGGATGCTGCAGAACGTATCTTGGAGGAAATCCGCACATCTGGCCAACGACCCGAGCCTGTCCACTACGCTTCTCTTATCCACGCCCGGGGCTGCGTTCTTCACGACATGGAAGGTGCTCGCCGGGTGTTTGACTCCTTGATCAAGAACCCTGTCGTGCCTCTCAACGCAAGCCTGTACCAAGCTCTCTTTGAGGCTATGGTTGCCAACCACCGCGTCGCCGACACCGAGTCTGTACTGGCCCAGATGCGCAGCCAGCGTGTGGAGATGACACCCTACATCGCCAACACACTGATCCACGGTTGGGCTGCTGAGAAGTGCATTGACAAGGCTCAAACCATCTACGACTCTGTCGGTCGTGAGAAGCGAGAACCTAGCACCTACGAAGCAATGACTCGAGCCTTCCTTGCTGTTGAGCAGCGGGATCAAGCTAAGTCAGTCGTCGGTGAGATGCTTACTCGTGGCTATCCCAGTGCCGTCGTTAACAAGCTGCTGGAGCTTCTTGGTGGTGGCCAGGAGTCTCTTCCAGCGTGAGATGAAGTACGAATGACATGACAGCTGGAGCCTGTCAACGAAAAAGAAAACTAAGATATTTTTTGTAATCTACTAGTCATGTTTGATACCCCAGCACCTGTTTTTTCTTTATTTCCTTTGTCTATGGGGTTCCAAATGGCGGGCAACAGGCTGTAGATTAGCCGAGTTGATTTGTTTGATTTCTTTTGGATGCATAGTGGCATGTTGGTACCGGATACAATTATTTGGCATGGCGTTTTGGGACCAAGAAAACGGTTCGCTACGAAAGAAGGGTACATATAGCGACTTTGGGCGCAAGTCTTGTGTGTTTTTGGGAAACACCTATAGACAGATCTCCACTCGGCATAATGCAAAAGAACATTGAATGTATCTGTGTAATCTCGATTGACTTGTTGCATGAATGAGTGTATTGAAATAGCTGGGATGAAGACTTACCAAAACTTTGGCATTGGCCTCGACGCACAGTGCGTGTGCGAATTGAGCAACGCCGCACTGTCCTCTCATAACCCCGCCATGAAGCTCGTCAGGATGAGCAGCTACCTTGATGTATTGATCGTCACAGCCTACGTGCGCGGCCATCCTCCAGTATTGTCCTTCTGGCAAACTGAAACCGGCCCAAAGTTTCATTTAATTGTTAACTCATTCGAGGGACACCCGGCGAACCCTCATTATTGTCCGCTTGAACCATACCGATTACACCCTCGAGCTCTCCACCTCTGCATAAGAAGTGTATGCGCATTTTCACCGTTGGAACTCAATCAATTGACCACCTCTTCATAACTCATTGAGGAAGCCTCAAGCAGACGTGAAAGCTGAGAAGGAGCGAGCAACCAATCCAGACAGAGATTGATTAAAGATGCCCACCCAGAACCCTACCGTCGCCATCTCGGCCCCTGGCAAGGTCCTCCTGGCTGGAGGCTACCTCGTGCTGGACAGGCAGTACACCGGTCTCGTTTTCGGCCTGAGCGCGCGAATCAACGTCATCTCCGGGGAGATCCATACCGGGCCTGGCGTCCAGCTGAACGAGATCGTCGTCGACAGCCCACAGTTTCAGAATGCTCAGTGGCGGTATGGCTACCACCTTGCACCTGAGGATGGGGGGATCAAGGTGACGCAACTCCAAGTGTAAGTGGACATGAGCGTATACTCTCAATTGAGAGATGGAAACTATCAAGCAGACCCCCGAATTCTCAAACAGGGATGAGGGGATGCACAATGAGCGACCTGTACCACCAGGCTCAGATATGAAACCAAAATTTTGTATTGATTTTAACTCCATCTCCAGGGGCACGAAACTCAACGCCAACCCTTTCGTCGAGACCACGCTGAGCTACGCCCTCACCTACATCAACAACAAGGCGGCGGGGCTCAACTCGCCAACGACCATCCGGCCCGCCCGCCTCATCATCCTCGCCGACGATGACTACTACTCCAACCAGGGCACCGCCCAGGGCCGCTTCGCCAAGTTCCCCGTGGCGCTGAGCGAGGCCCACAAGACCGGCCTGGGATCCTCCGCCGCCCTCGTCACCTCCCTGACGGCGTCCCTCCTGGCGCACTACCTGCCCGTGGAGCTGTTCGACCTCGCCTCGGAGGGCGGCAGGCGGACGCTGCACAACCTCGCCCAGGCGGCGCACTGCGCGGCGCAGGGCAAGGTTGGCTCCGGCTTCGACGTCGCGGCCGCTGTGTTCGGGTCGTGCCTTTACAGGCGGTTCTCGCCGCAGGTGCTGAGCGCTATCCCGGAGCCGGGCACGCCCGGGTTCAGCTCCAAGCTCGTGGACGTGGTGGACGGCACCGCGTGGGACGTCGAGTTTGGCAAGGGCGCGCTCGGCATGCCGGCGGGCGTGGCGCTGCGCATGTGCGACGTGGACTGCGGGAGCCAGACCGTCGGCATGGTGAAGAAGGTGCTTTCGTGGAGGGCGTCGGACGAGGAGCGGTCGAAAAAGCTGTGGGATGATCTTCAGTCTCGGAACGTGGGGCTCGGCGAGGCGCTCAAGTCCGGAAAGATGGAAGAGTTGCCCGAGAAGCTGCGCGAGGTACGCGAGCTCGTCAGGGAGATGGGCCAGCTGAGCGACGTGCCCATCGAGCCCCAGAGCCAGACGGAGCTGCTTGATGCCCTCAGTGCGGTGGAAGGTGTGTACGGTGGGGTGGTCCCGGGGGCAGGCGGCTTTGACGCCCTGGCTATTTTGATGAAGGACGATGCGGAAACCAAACAGCGGGTTGAAGAGTTTCTGGCCAAGTGGAGTCAGGAGAAGGATGCCAAGGTGAAGCTGCTCAAGGTGAAGGGCGAAATGGAGGGGGCCCGTCGCGAGAATTTGGAGATATATGAGGGGTGGATCTAAATGGGTATCTAGGGAGGTTTAACAAAAAAAGACAGGATTTCGTACGAATTTATCTTGCTGGAATATGATAAGTATATATAAAAACACACAATGAAAAAGCACACCATGATCTATTCAGGGGGAATTTCCTTATGCCGATGGCATCAAAGCTAAACTAAAAGGGTATAATCTCCAATACATTAAGTGGTTTATAGGCTCCTATGCCTCTTGTTCTTTGGTACAAAAATTCTAAATCGCCATGCTCTTGGTTGCAAATTGGTTGAAGGAGAGTAGTGAACTGAAGCAGAAAGAGTAAATGAAAATCAAGGCAAATCGCCAGTCCAAGGGAGATTTCGGCCGGGCACTCCAGCAACAGCGATCTGTCTTAGTTGGTGGTGAGAGACGAGGTTGAAGCTCCGCTGGGCGACAGGACGGTCATGATCGGCGAAGGCGGGTGCGAAAACAATGCGGAATGAGCAAGAGGGATCGACTCGACAATGCCAATGCGGCTGGCTGCTGCTTTATCGCGAAGGATGGAGAGTCTGAAAATCACAATACAGTTAGTCCTGAGAAGGGTAGATATATTTCGGGGCCGAGATTCGAGGCAACTAAGGGAAACGTACTCGTCTTCGGAGATGCCTGGAAGGCAAACCGGCTCCCTCTTCAAATTGAATGGAGCGGACTAAGGAAAGAAATGTTAGTAAAAACAAAGATAAGGAAGGTGTCCATGACGTACGATCTCTGGGATGTTCTTCTGCTTTCGCTGGCATCTGCCAAGGATAGTCTGGACGCGGCAGCAGAACATTCTGACGTCGTTCTTGATCTGCATGGCTCCTGAAAAGGTCCGGCGAAGGAAAAGGAAAAGGAAAATGCCGCTATTGCGAGATGGTTAAATAAAAAGACTGATGATGTCGTGAAAGGGCCAAGATGTGGCTCGTGGGTTGGTGTGCTTGTTCGTCCGTGTAGTCGAAAGGGAGTATAAGAGATAAAGAGAAGAACTTTTCGCTCGAAATGCTAAATTTGGACACGAGAAAATGTATATACCCCCTTTTCTTTTTTCAAGATTGCTGAGGACAGAAATATGAAAGGAAATGGTCTAGAGTGAGTGCGACGGTTGAGATATAAAGAATGTGGGTTGGACCCTGAAGCATTCCCTGGGGCGAGAGACAATGGGAGTAGGACTCCGTGAGCGAAAGAGACAAAGAAAGGAGTGGAACCTTGACTTGAGTCGAGATGGAGCAGTGTTGCAAGAGAGCGTTTGAAACTAAGGAGCGAAACGGGTCGATGCCGCGAAAATCAAGATCTGTTGTTGGAAGCCCACCACTCGACACAACAAGACACAAACAACATCAACAATGAGTGTGGGAGACGCGAAGGTCATATACTATCGGGAGTGTGCCATTGGCGAGCGAATCCGGCCTGGTATTGCCTGTCTGTTGGTTAGCCAGCCTGCCCTCCAGGCAACCTAATACCCAGAACCCTGGATCCGGTATGCAATGTGCACATGTATGAGCCTGGAAGGGAAAAGGAGCCAAAGAAGGGCAGTGGCAGGGTGGCACGACAGGCTGGAGGCTTGGTTGCAGGAATGCACAGGCTCGGGAGAGTGGATGTGGAATTGGATGTCTTCTGCCGACATTCCTGGGTGACCGCCTGCGGTAGGGAACAGTACTAATATAGAAATCACTAGCCGCACACAATGAAGGAGATCGCTTGCGTTCATTTATTAACATGGCGTTGAGGGCGGGCGCCCTTGCGTGGAGACGAGCATGTCTTATTCAAGTGAGACATGACACACGGTGCAACACAGAGAGCGTGAGCCTAGATGGACAAGGGATCCAGTCTGTGGGTAGTCAAGGGGATTGGTTAAATTCACCGCCACGTTCGGAAACGGATCGAAATGGGGGACAACTCAATATTGGCAATGGTGATGTAGAAGGAGTAGATATTCATTGTCCTGTAGCTAGGCGATGGACCCCAGAGCAGACCAATGCATCAGCTTGTTCGTTTCCAGGCTGACGGGCAGGCGCAGATGAATATTGCAGACAAGTTCCACCAGGCATCAGGGAGGGTGTCACATTGACTGGACTCATATGTCATCTGTACGACAGCAGGACGATCTCTCGCCAATCTGCCAACCTTGCTGCCTTGCAGAATTGGATGGTGAACCCCTACCTAGCTCATCCGAGCCCGGCCATGTATAGAACAGATCGACTCTCATGTAGATTGTGTGTCCTATTTTGGATGATCCTTAATGTGGAAACTCTTTGACTTGACAAATTGTTCGAAGCCAAATTTGCCCAGTGTCTGTCCCTTGCCTGAATTTTTCCATCCAACCCATGCAAGATCCTATGGTTCAGGTCAGTCAGTCAGCCAACATCTCGGTTTCGGCGAAGTGAATTGCAGATTTCGGGGTTTTTTTTCTGTCCAAGGACTTACCGGGCTTGGGAAGTCACATCGGTTGACAAATACAGTACCAGCCTCCACAGCCTCCGCCAACTGATATCCCTTGTCCGTGTCCTTGGTCCAGATGCTGGCGGTCAGACCAAACTCGCTGTCGTTCATTTGCGCAACTGCCTCCTCGTCGCTCTTTACCTTTACCACGGGGATCACAGGCCCGAATGTCTCTTCTGTCATGACTCTCATCGAGTGGTTAGCATTGATAAGTAGAGTGGGTTTCACAAAGTTGCCCTTTTGAGGCAGGTTGCTGAAGCTCTCATTTTCCGGTGTGGCGTCTTTTGCACCTTTGTCTAAGGCATCCTTGATGTGCGCCTCGATCGTCTCCTTCGATCTCTTCGAAATAACCGGCCCAACATGGGTCTTCTTATCGAAAGGATCGCCAAGCTTATATCCCGAGAGCACCTTTTGGACCGCCTCGACAAATTGGTCGTGGATCTTCTCGTCTACGTAGATTCTTTCCAGGGAGCAGCAGCTCTGGCCCGAGTTGAAAACGGCACCATCCACAATCTCCTCGGCGGCCCATGGAATATCAACATCCGCTCTGACATAAGCTGGGTCCTTGCCACCCAGCTCGAGGCCGACTTGCACCACTCGGTCGGACGCAGCCTTCTGTACAGCCAGACCGCCCGCAACAGAACCCGTAAAGCACACCAAAGCCACTCTCGGGTCGCGGACAATAGTCTCCATCGTGGTAGGGGATCCGCTGTGGAAATACTGCAAGACACAAGATGGGAGGCCCGCCTCGGTAAAGAACTTGGCTACCTGCTCCACAATGGTCGGCGTCTGGGGTGATGGCTTGATGATCACACTGTTGCCGGCCAGGATGGCTGGGATCAGAGAATTAATAAGAACCAGATAAGGGTACTTTTTTCGGGGGACGGGTGCATTAGCCGAGATCCTTCTTTCGTTCCAAGACTCTGGTGCGACTTACATTCCAGGTGGAGATGATGAGGACCGGACCAACTGGGCACTTGCGAATAAAGCGCTTGAAACCTTTCTCCGGCTCTCCGTCTGTATCCTTGAGCACCTCGTCACTTATTTTGAGCAGGTACTCGCCGCGCTTGACGGCAGTGGTCACTTCTTTGCCGGTGTACGCGATGGGGCGGCCCATCTGTACCGTCAGCTCCTCCGCAAGCTCTGCTTCATGGTCGAGGAGAAGCTTGAAGAATTTCTTGACAATCTCCTGGCGCTCCTTGAGAGAGGTCTGCCGGAAGCTCTGGAATGCTTCACTGGCAATTTTGGGGAGCAATTCCAAGTCTGCAGGTGAAGCGCCATTCCGGGTGAGGATAGGCTCGCCTGTGGTAGGAGAGATTGTTGTAATCACTTCGACCGACATGGTGAAGTATGGCCGATGTTGGACTCTTAACGACGGAGAAGTCTAGGAAAGGCGGAATGAAGAAAAGGATATCTCGAGTGGAGGAATTGTGTTTGTACGATGATAGAGATGCCCCGCGCTTGCTCCCCACGTCACCATTCAAATGATGGGTCCTGCCTGATAAGCTGGTGTTTGTGTAACTCAGTCCTGAGAGCGAGATCAATGGGAGTAGTTTCGTTGCTCGCAATTATCTTCGAGAACCACGGGGACGGTTTTACTGAGAAAGAATTAGTCAGGCACCACAAACTCTCAAACAGTACATGAAGGTGATATAGAAAACTATCCCGCCATTATATCATCGATCTCATCCTGCATCAACTCAAGCCCAACCGCCACTGTGGATCCCAGCACGACCCCTCAGTGTAGCGCTTAGTTGCATATATGGCTTTTTGGAAGGCCCGATATATGAATTTTCCGCATACTACGTTGGATCTACCAACTTTTTACTGCCATTGAAGAGACCCTGCATTAATCATTCAGGATACCACAAGCGCCCTACACACACGCCGCCATGGGGAAAGACAAACGCAACGAGTTCCTTGACGCCTCGGATAGCGAAGACGAACAATCCCAAGGCTACAACTCCGAAGATGATCTAAGAAAAGGAGGCCGCAGCACCAAGCGCCGGAGAATCGACCATTCCGATGATGATGAGGCCAGCGACCTCGACGGCGGCGTTGCAATTGACGATCAGCCTACAACAAAGGACGATGAAGACGACGACCAAGACGAAGAGGCTACGAAGCTGCCCTCGGATCAAAAGGCGAAGAAGAGGAAAGCTTCAGAACTTGAATCAGAAGTACCCGACATCCATCGAACCCTCACCAAGAAAAACCTTGTGTCGACAGAGGCGGCGGTCAAGAAGTCCGGGGTCATCTACATGTCGCGTATACCCCCATTCATGAAACCTGCGAAGCTACGATCGCTCCTCGAGCCGTACGGAAAAATCAATCGCATCTTCCTCGCCCCGGAGGACCCAACGGCGCACGCCCGCCGCGTCCGCGCCGGCGGCAACAAGAAGCGCACCTACACCGAGGGCTGGATCGAGTTCGTGAAGAAGAAGGACGCAAAGGCCGTGTGCGACCTCCTCAACGCGCAGACTATCGGCGGGAAGAAGTCGTCATACTACCACGACGACCTGTGGAATCTGAAGTACCTGACCGGGTTCAAGTGGCACAACCTGACGGAGCAGATCTCCGCCGAGAATGCGGAGAGGGCCAGCCGCATGAGGGCCGAGATCAGCAAGACGACCAAAGAGAACAAGGAGTTCGTCAGGAACGTTGAGAAGGCCAAGATGCTGGACGGCATGCAGACCAAGGCGAAGAAGACGAAGCCCGCACAGGCTGCGATCGCTGAGGAGGAGGCCCAGGCCAGAGGGAGGACGTTCAAGCAGATACCCCTCGCCAATAAGGGCAAGGAGAGCGAGAGCCAACCGGAACATGTCACAAGGGTTCTGAGCAAAATCTTTTAGGGCGAGGATGCGCATGCCCAGCAGTCAACTACATCTCCCCCCGGTAGATGCATTGTTTTTTGATGTATCGGCAATGGTAATTTTAGGTGGAGCGGCGTTAGCAAGAGTGTTTTTTTAATGGGGCGATAAGAAATTTGAACGCTTATCAAACAGGCGGGGCAGAATATTTTGCTTTGATAGTCATTCTCCCCCCCACCAAATGAACATCATATTCCATCACCCAGTTCACAAGTGAAATCTGAAAGAAATCGGCATCATGTCTATGGATATTGACGATGCGCCCGTGCCCATCAGTGCACAGCAGCAGCAGCACTCTGGGGCGACGTGAGTATACTTGCAACCAACAACTACAAGTTTGTGTGTGGCTAACACTTCCCTTAAAGCATCCTCTGCTGTAACTGTGGTGCCGCCATCGATGGAACCACAGCAACCGGCGCGCTTTGCTACGACTGCGTCAAGCTGACCGTCGACATTTCCCAGGGCGTCCAGCGTGAGGCGACACTACATTTCTGCAAGGACTGCGACAGATGGCTATTACCGCCCGCCAGCTGGGTCACTGCCCTTCCCGAGTCCCGAGAACTGCTTGCGCTGTGTTTGAAGAGACTGAGGGGCTTGAACAAAGTGCGAATCGTCGATGCCAGCTTCATTTGGACAGAACCACACTCGAGACGTATCAAGATGAAGCTCACCATCCAGGATGAGGTTCAGGATGGCATGCTCCTTCAACAGACCTTCGAGGTGGTGTTTGTTGTACACACCCAGCAGTGCCGAGACTGTCAAAAGTCTTTCACACCCGCTCACTGGCAGGCTTGCGTCCAGGTCCGACAAAAGGTCCTTCACAAGCGAACCTTCCTTTTCCTTGAACAGCTCATTCTCAAACACAACGCCCACCGGGATACGCTGAATATCAAAGAGGCCAAGGACGGCATCGATTTCTACTTTAGCGCCAGAAACCAGGGTGAAAAGTTTATCGACTTCCTCAACTCAGTTGTCCCAGTAAAAGTAAAATCATCCCAAGAACTCATTTCGATGGATATCCACACCTCAAAGAAGTCATACAAGTTCTCCTACTCGGCGGAACTTGTCCCAGTATGCAAGGACGATTTGGTGGCACTCCCGATCAAGCTTGCAAAGCAAGCTGGAAATATTTCACCTCTCCTCCTGTGCTACAAGATCGGCACTGCCGTTTATCTCATGGACCCGCAGACTTTGCAGACTACAGAAATCGCCTCATCGATATACTGGCGGGCCCCATTTACATCCCTCGTAGACTCTCAGGAGCTCGTTGAGTTTATTGTCATGGATATCGAGCCCACAGGTGTCCAGAAGGGCAAGCTGAGACTAGCCGAGGCTACAGTGGCTCGTGCCTCTGATCTGGGCGTCAATGATAGAACCTATTTCACAAGGACACACCTTGGCCACCTCTTACAACCTGGAGATTCGGCCATGGGCTACCTTCTTAGTGGTAGCGTTTTCAACAACCCTGAATACGAGGCCATTGAGCAATCCAACACATATGGCTCAACCATCCCCGATGTCGTCCTCGTCAAGAAATACTTCCCCCGTCGCCGCAAGAACCGCCGCCGCAACTGGAGACTCAAGCGCATGAACAAGGATGAAGGCGAGTTGCTTCCTAAGCAGGCTGACCAGGATCGCATGGACCGTGAGTATGAGTTGTTCTTGCGCGATGTAGAGGAGGACGACGAGCTCCGGGCCGCCCTGGCGCTATACAAGCAGCAAAAACAGGAGGAGGAGATGAGCATGGCAGACACGGAGGCTGAGGATGATGACGCGCCACAAGTCAATATGGAGGAGCTGCTAGATGACTTTGATGAGCTAAATATGGACGACGCTTAGAAAATGAAAACATACGCTTTGATCTTCGACCTGACGAATTACGAATAAAACCATCTTTAGGCATGAACTCGTAATATCTCTCTGAACCTCTTCATAAGAATGAGGGTGAGGGTATTGCATCTGGTGATGGCTTGCGCACCGGCTTTTCTGTAGATCTTCGAATATTCTCTCTTGATTTCTCTCTTCGAATTCTTCGTTTGTTCAGGCCGAAAATGTCATCGTCGTCATCTTCATCATCTTCATCATCCTCTTCTTGAGCTATGTCCTTCGTTGCCTGTGGCGTAGAGAATGACGACCTGACTGTCGAAAGTGGCCGCCCCGAGGGCGTACCAACTGTACCAGATGAACCCATCGTTGGCGATGAAGACTTGTTGGTGCTGACTGCCCGCTTTGACTTGACATTCCCAGTGGCCCGTGGCGTTGCACTCACGCCAATTCCCTTAGAGTCTCTGAGAGCTGACGCCTCCCGTCTCTGAGGCGGCGAGTCTCCAGCGGACCGGTTCTCGCGAATGGGACTGCTGGAGAGCTGTGAACTAAAGCCCGCCGCAGCTCGTGTGCCAGACGCTGCCTGAGGAAGCGAGCGGATGACCCTTGCATCCCTCCGGGGGGCTTCCATCAGGCCTTGCAGGCTGGTGCCCATCCAGGGCAGGTCGCGGCCATGGTCGTTGCCAAGCAGGCTGCGCTGGCGAGAAGCCCGCTTCAGAGCCTCACTCCGCTGCTTGGTAACCCTCGTCGGGGTTCCGACAGTCGGGCGCTCAATTTCGCGAATGGTCGCGGCGTTCTGGGTCTTGGCCTGCGCCTTCAGGCGCTGATACTCTGCACGGTGAAGGTGAACCGTGAACCGCTGAGCAACCCCGAGGAGCTCATCGTCCACCATCCGATACCTGTCATCGTTGAACGGGCCAGCAATCATGAACCTGAGGGTGTGGTTAGCGGGACGTCCAAGGAATGGAAGGCGGTGCTCTTACTCCTCTTGAGGCGGCTCCGGTGGTGGAGACGTAGACGGGCTGCGAAGACGGTTACCTGCAGACGACTATGAGAATAGCTCATTCGCCGCGAAGCGTGAGGCTACTTACCAGGTTCCGAGAGCTGAACCGAGGCACGTTCTTGGGCGCGTTCTGGTCGCGTGCTTGGAGGCGGCGCCCGTTTGATGGGAGAAGCGGGCTTTGGGCTACTTTTGGGAGTTGCGGATTTCACGACGCTGGGGACCTCGGTCCTCTTCCAAGGCAGGCGTCGCCCCATTGCTTGGAATTTCAGGATGTGGTGGCATGAAATTTGGTGAATCGACTTCCATGTAGGTAGTTGGATGAGTGTAAGGGTTGAGGTTGGTTTGCACGGTGCTACTAGGCAGCCGCTGGATAGTGCCTACTGGAGCCGCCAGGTGCTACAAGAGTTCTGTAGAGCAGGAAGGTGCTACGCTGGTGCTACGAACTCCCTCTAAGCATTTTCTAATCAAACTACCTAAATCTAGAAATTAGATGAAATGTGAGTATACGAAATATTTTTATTCGGATGTGTAGATGAGTATGCGCTTCAGGTGACATATGCTTTGGACTGCGCTTATCTGGGCATGGCTCATTGGATGCGCGCCAATCATGAGCTTCAGGATGCAAGGTACGGCTGTGACTGTAATCACATGCCGTCACAAACTACCTATCAAAGCCAACAATAAACATGTAAATAGCATTAACAGGCTAATGTCCTCTTCGATTTCAGCATAATGAATATCCTCAACTAGCTTTAACGCCGTTGTAGTTGGTAGTCAACATGGGCGGATAGCGCAACCCATCTCACTGGTGACCTGTAGCGCGTTAAACTGCCTACCCTTGTGCTTCTATCAAGAAGCACGCCATGTTCCACAGAAGACCTTATTTTGACCGTCTTTGTGGAATTGTGGTTACGAGAAACAGAAAATGGGCTGTCTCATTGACGAGTCATGGAGCGGATAATCCTCTCCTCACCGAATCTTCTCTCTATCTAGGCCACATGGAGAATCAGAAGATGGCTTTGCAAAGATGGACAATCCCGAGACATCTGCACTGGTTTCTTGGCTGATAACCAGAGTAGCTGAAAGCTGATAGTTCCAGCGCAACTCTGCGGAAACTGGTTCCTTATCTCTGCGACCTTCTCCCGTTGGGGATAAAGCCAGTCGGTGACGAGTCCTCGTGGGCAGGCAGATACGACCTCTCGCTATCTGTACACCGACATATTCGGACTTGTCACTCCGCAGGAAGGTTTCAGACGGAGTGAACCAAAAAGGAAAAGAAATCGCATACTATCCATAAAAAAAAGAGAGAGAGAGAAAGCGGTATGCCTAGCAGCAAAGTGCAGTCAACAAAGGTTCTCAGCTTACACGGGGGACATTCAAACCGCCAGAATGCAGGCGCCCCAATTGGAAAAAACCCAGATAAGTCGAGCCCAGCAATGTACCTCTAGGTACTGTACTTCGAGATTCCCCCATCATTTAGCTCCAGAAATAAACGCGGCCTTCCCGCCGCTGTTATGCGGCAAATAGTCCAACAGCGTGTCGCCGTACGTTGGGCCATACGGGTAGCTTCTGACGTTTTGAGCCAGTATTATCAAATAATGGTTTCATCGCGCCCCAAGCCTGGCAAGTCACATCCGCCGAAAACTGCGGGTTGGGCTCAGCGAGGGACGAGAACGAGACGGGGCCCGACAACGGATGCAGCGGCGAAGGAATGACACACAGTCTCGCCCCTCAGTATATCATACTGTGAGTATCGTGAGGGGAGAATCCGGGGAAGTGGACGGCGGAGCGGATGGGCAACCCCGTAAACCGGACCCACACGTGTGTCGTGCGATCAAATTTCTGGCATTATGCCGGAGCTGTCGGCGAATATACCGACTTGGCAGCCCGCCGGAGCTCATGGCGTTTATCGCCAGGGTCACATGGCCGGTGGATGGCTGAAGAGCCCTTGCTAGCTAGGCTTGAGCTTCGATAAGGACAGGGGCGAGGGACGAGGAAAAGCAGCTGATTGTTTAATTGTTTGGCCTGATATGCCAGAGGTGCTAGTCTAAGGAGAGCAGGAAAGAAAGGAGAGAAGAGCCCCCGTATATCATCATTATTTGTGAGTAGGTAGGTATGTAATTGTCTGGTGCGCAGATCCGGAACCAACTGCTATGGTTTTGGTTCCGGTTCCGCGCTGCGAATAAACAACCCCAGACTACGGGTGGAGAGTATCCTATGTGTTAGATGAAGTCATTACTCGCATTTCCCCATCATCGACCGATCGTGAGACGCAGGCCTAAGCCGCCATAGAAAGTTGTTTTTTGATGCCAGTCCTGAGACTAAATCTCATCTCAGACTCACAATCAGCCTCCCAAATATCCAGAAAAAGGAGAGACATGTCTAAAAGAAATCGCCAAAACAGTGAAGAGAAACGCCAAGACCACAGTGCCGGCCAATTGTCCCAAATCCCATCATAAAGAAGCAACATGATCCCATCAATCAATTCTTTTTTAGGAACACAAGTCAGTTGACGACGCATTTGCGGTTTCCCAAGTAGGACTTCTGCGTCCCTATGAACTCGATACGACGTGGTGAACAGCGTTGGCGAAACGGTCAACGTTGTGGATATTGAGGCCAGCCATGCTGATGCGGCCATTCTTGGTCATGTAGATGTGTGCCTCCTCACGTAATCTCTGGACCTGCTGCTCAGTCAAGCCAGTGAAGCTGAACATGCCGATCTGGTCGGTGATGTGGTTCCAGGTACCGGGAGTGCCGAGCTCCTCAAGCTTACCGCGCAGGGCCTTGCGCATGCTGATGATGCGACCGGACATGGTGGACAAGTTCTCCTCCCACTCGGCGAACAGGGCGGGGTCGTTGAGGACGGTGCTGACGATGCGGGCACCGTACAGGGGAGGGTTGGAGATCTCTGATCGCTGGAGAATAGCCAATTGAGAAGCTAGTCTGGTAATGGTGGTGGTGGCCTCCTCGCCAGGGGAGGTGATGGCGTGGAAGCAGCCGGCACGCTCACCATAAAGACCGAAGTTCTTGGCGAAGCTCTGGGCGATGAGCAGCTCAAAGCCCTGCTCGATAAAGTAGCGGACAGCAGAGGCATCCTGGGCAAGGTTACCGGAAGCAAATCCTTGGTAGGCAGAGTCGAAGAAAGGGAAGTGCTTCTTCTCGCGGATGATCTCTGCCAGCTCCTTCCACTGCTCGAGTGTAGGGTCGACACCGGTGGGGTTGTGAGCACAAGCGTGCATCAAGATGATGGAATGTTCAGGGGCATTTCGGATGGCAGTCTTCATGCCCTCGAAATCAAGACCCTTGGTGTTCTTGTCAAAGTAAGGGTAGGATTCGGTGGGGAGACCGACATTGTTGAAGATTTGGTGGTGATTAACCCAGGTTGGGTTGGACACATAGACCCTGCGGTTGCCCTTGTAGAACTTGGCGAGGAAGAGAGCGCCCAGATGGACAGCTCCAGTACCGGAGATGGTCTGTATCGAGGTGGCACGCTTCTCCAGGAGTGCAGGAGAGTCAGCGCCGAGCATCAGCTCTGCGGCCTTGGAGGTGAAGGAGGGAATGCCGGCGATCGGGGCATATTCGTGATCCAGCTCGGGGTTGTTTCGGAGAATTTCGTCGGCCTGGGAGAAACGTGGGGTTAGCACCAACCCCATGGAACGGAACAGGCACGCACATCCATCGTGCATAGGCGGGGAACACAATCGCCCATGGCTGAGATGCAACGGGAAGCTGGCAGGTCTTTAATGGAGGATGTAATTGGTCGTGTTTTCCAAGTTGAGAGAACACCTCACACGACCACCACCACGTTCGCCCATTGGCCAACCACATCTTGACATCATCGCTTTGGGTTGGTTGAACAGGTATTTTTCAACCCCAGCACAGAGTGACACAACGGAAAAAAAGAGGGAAGACAACAATAAAAAAAGAAAAAGAAAAAGAATCAAACTGTACCTTCTTGACTACAGGCAAGACCCAAGGCTTCGCATTGTCGTCACGATAAGCACCAATGCCCTGATTGTCACCACCAAGGTTAGCAAGAGAAGCGCCACACAGCTCTGGGAGGACAGCCGTACCAGATCAATCTTATCGGGGCTCTGGTCGGCCTTGTAGGCTCGCATCAGGCCAAAGAGGGGATCTTCGGGGGCCTGAGGCACGACCTCAGTAGGGAAGTTGGTCGTCGCGACCGTGGAAGTCGAAGTTGTACTCATGTTGGGCGGTTGTAGGTGACTGGCAATGTTCTGAACTCTTGACAACGAGGAAGTGGCTGTTGGCCTAGATATATGGGGCTGCTGCTGTGGCATGATTGCTCAGGTACTGAAGTACTGCCTGCCGGTAGGTATGGATGGGCCTGGCTAGGGTGGTACAAAAATCGGGAATTCGGGGATGGCCCTAGTTCCCAGACGAGGATTTGGAAATAGGGGATACCGTCTCCGATACTGCAGGTATTCCTTTGCTCCGTGAGCGGGCGCTGTTAGCAATGCCATGTACTGTGCCAAATAGGGCGGATGTAGGTGTACTTGTTGGTACGTAAGGCGTTGGCTGCTATGGAGCACAAGCTAGGCGTCGATTCTCGTACTGTAAAACAGCGCACCACACTGGGCTGGGCTGGGCTGGGCTGTCTTCTGGGGGGCGCGATGCGAGGGGGCACACAAATCAGGTGAGTTATGGGCTCGGATCAATGGGGCGGCGTGAGTTTTAAATGAATCCAAGGCTTAGAGCAGACCAGAGCTTCCGACAGAGCTTCCGACCGCATGCTCGCTAATCGGCGTCTGGGTCTGAGATGGACCAGCGAGCATGCCGAGGCTGGCGTGGGTTAGTTCCTCGGGCTGCCATCTCTACGTACTAGATCTAGAGCTTTCCAGGAGCTCTCCGAGTACTTTCCTGAAGTGAACACAACAGAAGACAGGCCTTGGGCCAAGGGGGAGGTACATCCATCTGATGGTCCCTCCCAGATCTGACTGGGTGGGCGAAAGGGACGGACGGGGTCAAGTGACTGCATGTGCTTTTTTTTTTTCGCTGGATCCGGCCTCTGTCCGGTCTCCACTAAGCGGGATCCCGACATGGTACCTCTCATCTTGCTTTACCTCATAGTATCCTCAACGTGCCCGTGCCCACTGTCCAGCCCGTTTTCCAGCCCGCGTCCAGAACTGCCGTGTTGAGTCAGGAACGCATCAGCGCAAGACCCAGTCATCACATGCATAGAAGCTTACTCCTGGTACATGACGTGGAAATTGCTGAGCCCAGGTGTGCTGCCCAATATAGATTAGCGAACCACGCCCATCATACGAGGGCAGCCAATATGTCGTCATATGGCCAGCCCACCTTCGTCTCGAGGCAGACCGTGCTTTATTAATGGAACCGATCTGTAACTGAAACGCCTTCCAACGAGGTCGTGTGCACTTGATTTCACTGGTCATCCATCTGCCACTCGCGCTCTCACATGCATCGCAATTGTGTATATCATGTGTCGGGTGTGTGTCTTGAGGGTGTGCGAATGTGAGCATTTGCGAGTGAGATGGATGACCTACATTCTCAACAACCCAGGATCCCATCATTTCCCGGGGAAAGGGAGGAACCAAAGACTAGGGCGCATAAGTAAGATGTAGGTAGGCGCTTAATATGCGCTGAGAATGTCACTTCCACATCCCGCCTGTTTACAATGGGGATGCAACAGTCCCGAGTTGTACCAAGTTGTCTATATGTGGGATCTTACGGTGAGGCTTCTTCCCTGAAACTCCCGTCGGTCTGAATGCAGCAACTCAACGCAGTGTTGCCATAACTTATTGGACAAATGCTCCCTTTGCAAGGCTCACTGTCAATGCGAGCATGGATTGCCTACGTTTTGAACCATGAAATAGGCGGTCAGTACCTATACCTTTATGTTACATACATACAAGGGATTGCATTCTATATGATCAGATCCCATAGAACCAAGAAGGCGCACAGTCCACTGGCTGCATAGAAGGTAAACCGGGCTGCGCTCGGGCGCTGAGTTGCTTTTTTCAATTGCTTGTTGCCACCTTCGACATTCTCTGTTGTCAAGGACGAGTCTGCCACCAGCTGGTCGATATGCTCCGTCTGCGTTGCGAGATGCTCAATGAGTTGCGACTGAAGGTTGGATATCTCGGCAAGCGACCTTTGCGCAGTCCTATCAGAGTGAAAAGAATAACCGGTCAGCAATGTTGCATGAACAACCATGATGAAAATATGATGACGGTGGCAACCTACTGTACTTTCTCATGCATACTCTCAAAGTACTGCATCATATCCCGGTTGTCCTCCTCGAACATCTGTATCTGTTCCGCGCTGAGACCTGTCGCTGGATCGTCGTGCACACCCTCAGCTTCGCCTAAATTGTTGGAGGCCTTCCCGGCGCTGAATTGGGCGAAGTCGGCTAGCGACGGCGCCTGAGAAGCAAGACTCCGGTTCATTTCCACCTCGCGTGTGAGCCGGACTTCCATCATGACTTTTTGGGTGTTGCTGCACTGCTGCAACTGCTGTCGTAGATACCAGATGACCCCCTCACGATGATGCCGGACCTCCTGGGCCCGGGACTCAGCTTCCAGGTGTTCCGGCTTCTTGCCACCGACGATGCCCCCAGATGCCCAGGACCCGAGCGCGCCGAGGTTGCTGCCGTATTTCTTCTGGATGCTATTCGTCTCGGTTTCATATCGAATTTTCTCTGCGCCGTCGAGCGCCTCGATGCTCCAATTGAGTTCCCGTAGCATTTCTTTGGTATCCTTGTCCACAGCTTCCCGGTCCCGGTCCGACATCACTGAGGGGTAACCATCGGGATTCTGGCCATGCCTGATGCCTTTTCGAGGTTGCGCTCTGGCCAGATATGCGCGCCGTACAGTATGGAGGTTCTGATGTAGTTTGGTGATGTGGGAGTTCTAGCCGGAAGCGAAGTATTAGGACATGGTGATACTTTCTGCAAGTTCAGGCATGGGTACTGACAATCCGGAGAGCTTCCTTCAAGAAGCCGTCAATCTTTTCGAGGGAAACGGTTTTCCTTGTTGGGGGGGCTTTGCGCTCCCGCAGGAGCTCGTCGAATTCGAGGGTAACGTTCATCGTTGAGGGGCACCGATGGAGATATGAATATAGGACAAAAATGATGTTTGTTTCTTGGAAAATAGGTTCCCGTGCATCTTAGCTCTTAGTATCTGGTGTTTGGATCTTATCACCAATTCGATACGAACAAGGTCAGTATAACGATGATGCAGTGGACAGCTTGGAGCTCCTGAGAATCGCTTAGTCAGCGATATCTTCATCCCTGCCTCTATCTGAGTGGCATCTACCCCACAAAGCCCAGGCTGCTTACAAGACACTAAAAGAAGCTCTGGTTCACGATATCTTATCTTGAATTCCCCTCTAGCCGCAGGTATTCTTTCGTTTACTAGACGATGCTCGGACCATCATGATATGGCCGCCTGTGTGATAAGATACCTAGCCAGCTCTTATCAGACCGCTAGTGACATTTCCAGTATGTTGCTTCAGAACCTGGATCAAGACGTTCTAGTTACCTTATGATTGAGTAATAGGCGTAGTTCCATGACCAGCTATGTGGAAACTTGCCCCATCTGTGAAGACTTGCATTCTTAACCTAGCTCCTGCATGTGCCAAGCAGAGACTTCTCTTAGAGTAAAATCAGAAATTTTAGGCATCCCCGCATCAACTTCCGAAGAGCACCACATGGGTATCGGGATTATCGTTGTTGACATCACTAGTCAAATCGGGATTCGTAACCCGACCATTGAATGGCATAAACAGCCCCGAGCTCGGCAGGCTCCATGATATCGGTTGAATACGGACGCACATGGACGGACTCTGACCGATCCTCTCATCTAAAATCAAATGGCGCCTTGCGCCTCTCCTCAAAGATCCCCAGCCCCGCTAATGTGGATAGAAGCACCGTGCAAGAAAGAACAGAGAGATACAGCAAAACCATATCGGAGCCTAAAAGAGAAGTCGAGTTTCTGGAACGTGCTTTAGGCGGTGATGTTTGTGATCTTTAATCCAGATGCTTGTAGTGTCCAGGTATCTGGACATCTGACAAAGTTTGATTCTCGCAGACTCACTGACAATGCTCGTTGACTAGCCTGTCTCTGTATCAAGTTGAGAGTTCCCGTTGAACTAACTCTCGGAGAGTTAAACCCCACCATGAAAGCCGTTTCTTACCCCATACCTTATGACTCGAACATTCTTGCAAGAAATCTTGGCGCTCTTTCTTAAAGTTCCGCGCGTATCAGGTGTATCTGTTTGTCTGTGGAGATATTGACACCGGGCATTTCGGCGACCTTTACCGTGAAGAGAGCACGAAAACTAAAAGCAAAAATCCCAAGTACTAAGAAAGGGGATAGCATATAAATTCACTTGGTCATCAGCTTAACTGATGGGAATCCAGAGGAAGGAACTTTGACCTGCCGTCCCTCGTTCTCCCGGTTAGTGTCATCACTGGTTTTGCTTGAACTCTTCAATGCCGTCCACATATTGGCGAGTTGAGATTTCTTGAATCACAAAAGAAGTATACATCTTGGCATGGAATAGGGGCGAGTGAACTTGAGTTTGCCATGAGGAAGACCGATCTATTGATACGTAACCTGAGTACTAGTAGATCTATATTAACCAATGATGACATACATATACAAAACATTATAAAGCCGTGGTAGAGAAGTCGATAGAGTTCCTTTGGGCCTCCCACATTAACCAGTCCGATGTCGTTGTTCTGGGGCATTTGTTAGTGATTTGCATGAATAGGATTCAAGCATGGGAACGTACGGTAAAAGACCCATGGCATTAACCTTCCAAACACCTACAGCCAGCGCCACCAGCTGGCACGCAATATATACAAGCTTGACTTGGATCATCTGCCCGGAGATGGACTCGTTTTGGAAGCGTTCGAATGCCTGGTTGGTGTTGACCAGGCCCATCAGAGGGTTCTTGAACGCCATGAAGACCATCATGATGCTGAAAATCTGAAGCGAGTTTCCGGACATGTACATCATAATAGCAGTCATCGGAAGAGCCTTGATTGGCGCGAGCGCAACTTCCCAGGCCTTCTTCAGCTTGAGCGTGTCCATCTCTTCGTCTGTTGGCGGTTTCCGTAGCTTATCCTTCGCGTCCTTTCCACCTTTCTGAACAATCCGGCTTCCGTCAGCAACCATAAATCGACCGTATGCGAACTCTAATTCAGATCGAATAACCCTACCTTATGTCCAGAGCCTCCAGAGAAGCCTGGCGGGTCGGGGATGCTGGAGGGCTTTGTCTTTGCCTGAAGAGGGGACTCGAGCTGTGCGACCCATGAAGGGGCGCCAACGAGGGCCTGCTTGGAGTCGGCCATTGTTATCTTCGTAATTCGATGGTCGATTGATCGGCTCCTTGATTCGATTTGCCTGATGGGCTTTGCGGATGGGATTACGTCGTAACTCGTCGGAGCTCTGGAACAGGTTTAGCTGCTGGTGAGGCTGCGAGCGCAATCGATTGAGGTGTTCGTTAAGTGACCCACTGACAAGCCACTAAAGCTGACAGAAGTGCTTACCCAGCTCATGTCACCTTTATCGATAACGCTCCGTGGCGCCTTTGGGAGCCCATTCCACTCAGGAAAGTCGCAATTGCCCCTTTCGAATTGAGCTTCCAGATCAACGGCGAGCTCGGCACTTCGACGCACTGCGACAGTGTATACAGGAAAATACGAATTAGCCTCGATACGGCTCTCACCTCCCGTTGCGCTCACGTGACCGACCTGCTTTCGTGGCCTGCGATCCAGACACGACGCTTCTCGAATAAGACATAGCCCAGCACCGTCTCATTGGCTGGCAGCCATCCTGGGAAAGGGCGTCGATTGTGGTGAGGGGTTGGTTGCAAGCACCCATCCTCTGCTGGGCACGAGCCTGAGTTGCGTACCTAAGTACCGAATCACGGAAGCAATCAGCAGGCCTGCACTTGGTGCGGTCCAGTAGCCGTTATCATGTCGAGTTCCGCCGGTGGGGGAGATTCGAAGCTGTTCGCTCGAGTAAGTCAGCCCATCCTCTCGTCTCGCCTTTGCAATCCCCCCTCAAGATTTCATCAGAGCTGCCATGCAGCTCCCCGTGTGACTCTAGCCGCACGTGTTTCCTGTCCATGCTTGGCGGAGCGGCTGCCTCCCCACGCTATGTTCCCATCTCTGGTTTAGAACCCACGGTCACAACTGGCGATATCGAACCGGCCCTCCATGATGTTCTTTGCATATATGCCCCCTCCTGTGCTGGGGAGCAGGCTAACGACTCGACAGGGCAAAGTTGCTGAACTGCGCCAAGAGTTGAACAGCGGTGGGAAGAAGGAGAAGAATTTCGGAGGGAAGAAGATCGCTCTCAAGAAGATTGTCGCAAACATGACTATGAGCAATAACGACATGGTGGCGCTTTTCCCTGATATCATTGGATGTATGCATTTGCAGAGTCTGGAGATCAAAAAGATGTAAGTCGCCCTACGAGACGATTGCGGAATAGGAAGCTCACCATGTTAGGTGTTTCTTGTACCTGGTCAACTACGCCCGAATGCGACCAGAGATAGCAGTCAAGGCTATTCCTCTCTTAGAACATGTGAGAACAAGCTATATATCGTTGCCGTGTGACGTTTACTAATACGTCCAAGGATATGGAAGATCAGAACCCCCTCGTACGGGCCTTAGCCTTGAGGACCATGTCTTACATTCATGTTCGAGAATTTGTAGAGGCAACCGTCCCTAATGTTAAACAGATGCTGAGGGACTCTGATCCTTATGTGCGCAAAACCGCCGCATTCTGCGTTGCCAAGCTTTACGATCACGATCGACAGATGGTTGAGCAGTCAGATCTCATCGATCGTCTCAACTCCCTACTACGAGATGATAATCCGACAGTGGTTGCAAGTGCTTTGGCTGGACTGATGGATATCTGGGAGCGGAGTGAGGCGATCAAACTCACCATCGACTATAAAAATGCCTCCAAGATGGTCGCTATCCTTCCGGATTGTTCAGAGTATGTATCGAAGACTTCCGGCACTCGAACAATATACTAACAATAGACTTAGGTGGGGCCAGACCTATATCCTCGAAGCATTGGGGTCTTATGTCCCCCAAGAATCGGGCGAGGCTTTACTATTGGCGGAGAGGATATCGCCTCGTCTATCACATTCCAATTCTTCGGTTGTGTTGACTTGTATTCGAGTGATACTCTATCTCATGAACTATATTGCGGACGAGAAGCAGGTATCTGCCCTATGCAAAAAGTTGTCACCTCCCTTGGTCACGCTGCTTGCCAAAGGGCCCGAAGTCCAATATCTCGCGCTCCGAAATGCACTGCTCATTTTGCAGAGACGCCCTGAAGTGCTTCGAAACGACATCCGTGTGTTTTTTTGCAAGTATAACGATCCGATTTACGTGAAAGTTACCAAGTTGGAACTCATCTTCATGCTCGCCAATGAGAAGAACATTGACGAAGTACTGACCGAGCTTCGGGAGTACGCTACGGAGATTGACGTTCATTTCGTACGGAAAGCAGTGCGAGCTATCGGAAAGTTGGCAATTAAGATTGAGCCAGCAGCTCGACGCTGTATCAACCTGCTTCTGGAGTTGGTGGCAACTAAGGTTACCTACATCGTACAAGAGGCGACGGTGGTGATTCGCAATATTTTCCGGAAATATCCCGACCAATACGAATCTATCATCGGCACTCTCTGCGAACATCTCGACTCTCTTGATGAGCCCGAGGCCAAGGCAGCCATGGTTTGGGTTATCGGTCAGTACGCTGATAGAATTGAGAACAGTGATGCCCTGTTGGAGGACTTCCTGTTTAACTTTGCCGAAGAGCCCGTGGAGGTCCAGCTGGCGCTTTTGACAGCAACAGTCAAGCTGTTCATTCAGCGACCAACAAAGGGCCAGGAATTGGTACCGAAAGTGTTGAAGTGGGCAACGGAGGAGACGGATAACCCTGATCTACGAGACAGGGCATATATGTATTGGCGACTTCTCTCGACGGACATTAAGGCTGCGGAGCAGATTGTGATGGGTGAAAAGCCACCCATCACGGCCGAATCAGAGCGATTGGACAACGCCACCCTCGAAGAGATGTGTCTTAATGTTGGAACGCTGGCAACGATTTACCTCAAGCCTGTCCAGACCGTCTTCAGAAATGCCCGTCCCAAGAAACTACACGACTCACCTGCCCTGCAGAAGCATAGGATGCTCTCGGATAATCAGAAGAGCATTAGCATGTTTGGAAGGGGCGGCCAGCCAAACAATATTGACACTCGGACAAGGGCGGCAGCATCAGCAAATGGAAGTGAAGGCAACCTGGCACAAGCTGTCAACGACGCTGATGCCTACTTCGCCAGCGTTGGATCACAGCAGATGTCTGCCATGAGGATAGATCAAGCCGATGACTTGTTTGGCGGAGGCGGGCCCACAACACCGAGCTACGTGGTGAGCGCTCATGCACCACAGACAGTTCTCCAGCCTAATCAAGCTTCGGCCAACAACGGGGACCTTTTAGATCTGTAAAACTGGCCTTGAATTTGGATCTTTTGTTTTTCGAAGTTTGTGTATATACAAAAGCAGGGCAAGTTAGTTAATTTCTGCTGTTGGCTTACGAGTCTATGTCAGAAGTTGGAATGTATTAGTTGGGTGGTCCACGCAGATGTGGGCGATAAGTCATACGGCGCACTGTACTCTGCTAGTGATGCGTTAAGAATCCAGTTCATCACCTTTACTTCGCAGTCTAAGTCGTAATTTGAGGTAGAAATGGTATCTATTGGAACCCTGGTACAGGATTGTCCAGCTGACCTGCAGACCTGCATTTGCTGGGCTCTACAAGCGGGAGGCAGAAAACAAGAGGCACCAAAGGGATGGGGAACCATGAGCATAGCAGTGTCTGCAATAACTAGAATAACACATCAATGAAAGTATATAATTCCTCATTGTCAGTCCGCAATAATTGAAAAAATTCCTCGCCACAGCCACAAACCATGGCAGGGCTAGACCTTGGGTGTATCGATTTCAATGTCACTCTACGTCGTGCCCCCCCGGATGATGTCCCAGAATTCCCCGGCCCAAGCGAAATAAACTAAGTTTTAGCCGACCCTTAGGCCTGGCCTGCCCGGCATCAAAATCTACTATTGGAATGCAACATGTTCTAGCATGAGCTTGGCGAGTTTAGAGCCTGTGGGATGTTCTAGCAGCCTTGGGGATGTGGAGGTGGGTGTCGAACTCTGGAGGTATGAGGGAGGTGGGGGGGCTGCTGTATAGTTAGTTGACCGAATGGAAATGGAGGGCATTCGGATTGCCCGACAATTCCAATTCCAGTGGCATGCATCGACAGGCGAAGCCAAGTGCCGGGGTGCCCATCTTGCTCATCTGCTGGTGGAGATGTCGCAATCGGCTGGAGGTCGCATTATGGTTCTTGCAGTGCCCCGGGGAGAGAGGAGCCTTCTGGAGGCATTCCCAGTGGATGGTCTCATACCGAGGCTCCACCCCCAGTCTATCATCCGACCACGGCGGTGGGTGAAATGGAGAGCGGCACACTGCAACGGGGCACTCAGCTGTTTATCGGGTACAGGCATATTATTCATAGCATTCCCTGATTAGGATGGTAAGTACAATAAGAGACAAGTGAGGAAACATCTTGTATTTTTCTTTTCAATTCTTCACCCTTTGTTGTGTGAGTTGTCTGACATCCCACATCTATGTTGTTGGAGGGCGATCTTCGAGGTCACCCACTTGTACGGATGGCTTCCGAGCTGCGGTTGATGTTACTTAATTATTACCAACACTGATTTATATAGGCCAAGCCAAAATTGGCAATACTACAGAGAATGGCTGCGACATAAGCTATGTATTTATCCATGGGCAATGAGATCGGAAGAATGGGGTGTATTGCATTGCGTACCTCTGCCAAGGAACAATAAGATAGAGCGGCCAGCTGCAGCGACGAGAATCCTCCCGAGGGTCCTTCTTCTCATCAGAGTGTCAGTGTCTCAGACAGCGTGGCAGCCGCTGGCTCTGAAGGAGGGTCACACCACAGATCGATTAGTACCCTGGCGAGGAATTCACATACGTCTTCCCCTGCCCCCAATCTCCATCGGGAAAAGGAACACAGGGTCCGATGCCTGGCAATCACCATGTAGTTTGCGTATACATCACGCCTACGTGCACATGTGCATAGGTACCGGGCGTTCCAACGTGGAAGCGATGGAAGAAGAGGAGCGCATCCACAAAGAAGCCACGGCTGGAGGTGGCCAAGCATCGTAGGATCGGGCCAATTCGCTAGAGGCTGCACTACTGGGTGCTAAGTGCGCTTAGCACATGGATGATACGCACATGGTTCGCCTTGGCCATGGCTGTGTTCGAGATCAAGTTCACACGTGAAACGGGTTGATGGATAATCTGAGGATACTCGTAGATAGCGAGGGAGACGCTGAGCTGGTGGTGGTAGCAGTCGTACTCACAAACCGAATGTGTTTGCATCGGGAGTTATGCAGAGAGCGGATGCATACTTCCAGGTCCTTTGCCCACTTTCCAGAACCTGCATCGCCATCACAGCGAGCGACATAGCCCGCACCGGCGACAAGCTGGGCCTGACGCACTGCAAGGCGAGGTAGTTTAGTGGCGACACAAAGTGCCAAACAGACATGCACAGGTTTAGCCGACGAATCCTGGCTACTGCCAGACTAGAAGACGGCGACTCTGCTCGTCCGAGTATGTGGGCATGGATACGGGGATGGCCGCTACTGTACACTGACGGTATAGCATAGCATGGGCACTGCGCTGCACACAGCCTCCCCCACACCGATGGTCTCTGCTAACCTGCCCTCCAGGCTCCCGCTACAGGCTACATGCACAGTCCCACCAGCGAGCCCCCAGCAGCTTGTTGCTGACCCGCCTATTGATGTATCCATCCATCGTTCTGTCCTTGCATCAGACCCGACGCCGTAAGGGATTAATGTCCCTCCACACCACTCCACGCCTTCCAGAGTGCTATCTAGACATTTCATCACCCTTTCGCCTCAATTCATCCTGTTGAGGCGCCCGTCTTTCCTCCCTACCCAACGCCGCGAATGTGTTAGTCTGGCTGCGCTAGTTTTACACCACACCCCCCCCCTTCAGCTCGTCTGGGGCAGCACCCTGATACCGGGCCCCTGCATACAACGGACAAGTCATGTCGGCTCCAGCGGCTTCTGTTGTGGACAGCGACAACAACAACACTTCCACCGACGATAAGTCACGCCTAGAACAACCAAGCGACGCCGTACCAATGCAGAGCATCGCCCAGCCCTCCCAAGGAGGCTCAGGCCCCTCCAAGGATGAGCCAGAATCCAGCAAGAGCGCTGCCACCGAAACCGTCGCAGCCGCTTCCGCCGACGCTTCAACAGCAGCCGCCCCAGCCCAGCCCGAAAAAGTCGACCAAAAACCAGCGGCGATAACGACGACGACAGCAGCAGCAGCAGGAGGAGGAAAAGACGTAGACCCTTCTCCTCTGTCACCCATGGCGATCGGTCCCGCCCAAGACGAGATCACCACCGTTGCGAGCGGCGGGCCGGATTCCGGTCCTGTATGCAATATCACGCTGTTGCTCACCACGGGTAGCCGCCACCCGTACAAGATCGACGCTCGGTATTTGAACCGAAGAAACGTCCCTATCCCCGAGGAGAATGAGAACTCCCAGCCGGATCCGTTCAGCATTAGTGTTTACACTCTGAAAGAGTTGATATTGAGGGAATGGAGAAGTGATTGGGAGTCTAAGCCTGCAAGCCCGAGCAGCATCAGGCTTATTCATTTTGGCAAACTTCTAGACGACAAGGAGCCTTTGAAGAGTGAGTTATCCGGTACTGCCTATCGTTTCCCGCCTCGGTTCTCCTTGGGGGTTTCGATCGACCCATTCTCCTGACCATGTAACTAACCCGAGCGCCGCAGCATACCACTTCAGCCTGGAGAATCCTAATGTGGTTCATATGAGCATCCGACCTCAGGATCTAGACGAGGAAGAGCCGAAGGCAGGTGGCAAGAGCCCATCTGCAGGAAACGGCGACGGTCAACGCCAGCGGTCAGGAGGATGTTGCGTTGTTTTATAGGCGATGCCCGCAGGCCCGGCAATGTGCAGCGCCAAGAGAATCAACTCAGGTTCTTCTCTCCAGGTCTCGTCTTGTTCACTTCATTTGGCGTCTATTTTCCTTTTTCTGGATCTACTTTTCACAATCTACCACTGGCCGAAAGCGCCAGTATCATCAATTCTCAAACGCAACGACATCCCTCTTTCAGGGCCCCCCCGGCAGCTGAGACGAAAGGAAGTAAAAGTACCACCACTCGACATTGAGCCAGGGCTGGGAAATTCCCTTCTCGTGTCATCACCTCTCCCCCCAAGACATTGCCCATTCACTCTCTTTATCTGTCTACGAACCCACTTTGGACTATCATTTGCGACATGGGAAGAAGCGTTTGATGAGCAATGAAATCATTGTGTTGCACCGACGGAGAAGCGGAGTCAATATCGGCGTATCTTTTTTTGTACAACTGTAATTCTCTTTTCTTAATCGTTTCCCAATAGTGCAAAGTCATGTTGCAGAGCGACTGAACACCGTCTGCATTTTTGTTTTTGTTTGGACTGGCAAAGCATAGTCATAGCAGGATAGAATTACAGGTATCGTTTTATGACTGTCATACATGAACAACTGGTCTGTGTCTTCTTTCTCGAAGAGCACTGAGATGCTCATGATACCTCTGTGTATCTCTCTAGAGAGTCTGTAGAACAAGCATGAGCACGTGTCCAGGCTCACGTCCTTACCATTCGATTATGGAACTTGACACTACCACGATATTTCATATTTAGGACCCAAATGAGTTTGTTGTTGTAGCGCAGCTACCGCATGAAAATTCTCTATTTATCGTAGTCTTTGTTTAATCAATCTTCCCAGTAAAAATTACTTCACTGCATCTTAAGCTTCCGCTCCATCTCATCGTGAACCCCAGGAACGCCCCGCATCTCGTCACCGGTGAACACGTCCTCCCAGCTGATCATGTCCTCCCTCCCCTTGAGTATGTCCTCGTGGACGCTGGGCAGGCCGCCGCCCAGTGCGAGGGGCCGCCACTCGCCGTCGCGGACGATCTTGAGCTCCATGCCGCGGCGGACGGGCTCGGCGATGCCGTAGGTGCGGCGCAGGGTCTCCATGCGGAGGGACTCCTGGGTGGCCTCCCAGCTCTTGAGGCGGGCCTCGAGGGGGTGCGCCGAGGAGGGCTTGTTGGCGGCGGCGTCGAAGGGGGACTGGGCGACGCCGTGGCGGAGGGTGTCGTGGACGCCCGGGGCGGAGGGCGCCGAGGTGGTGCGGTTCGTGTGGCTGAAGGAGGTGGCCTGGCTGTTCTCTGGTACGATTCGGAGGGACTGTGATGGGGAGGGAGGTTAGCTGGGGGGGTTGTTTGCATGGAAGGCAGGTGGGTGGTCGTGGATCGGTATAAGGCGGGGAGCTTCACCATTTTGTCTGTGTGTGCTTGGGTCTCCTTGCGGAAACTTGCGTTTGATGAAGTGGTGGGTTTATTCGGAATCGATGACACCTGGGAGAAAACTCTAGCGGGCTGTTGATTGAGGGAGGGTTTGATGTGTTGTGCTCGTTGGATGTTGATGGCGGTGATTAGCCTACGTATGCGATGCAGGCTACAGGCAGCCTCGCGTTCAGTTGATACCGCCTACCAAAGCTCTCTTTTTCCCCACAACCACCACCTCAGTGCAACTACAGCTGCTCCCCACCTTAATCCCGACTATCACCGGTCTTCAGCTTGCCGCCGGTCTCGGTGCGTCACCAGTCACCAGCAGCTCCCATGGGGCTTTATATCTATCAATTCTCGGCTTCTCGAAGCATTTGAGATGTGCCGTGACCAGCCAATCTGGCCCATCTAAAAGATGCCTCTCCCAACATCCCGCTCCGCCATAATCCGCATCGCCAATGGCACTTTCTACCGCCACCATCCCAATTCCTTGACCTCGCATCCAAACCCGCCGCTCTTCCGCGACCTGACCTTCGAGCTTCCCTCCTGGTCCGCGACACCCCATAACTGGTGCGTTGTTGGCCCGTCTCTGTCTGGAAAGACGACATTCCTGCAGGCTCTGAGAGGCCGGCTGCTCTGCGACCCGCCGACCGCAAGGTCGTACCCATATCTCTCATCAGATGCCGTCACGACACGATTAAAGAGCCCCAATAGAGCTGTGCAATATGTGGGATTCGACGCAGAGCAGAGCATGGGGGCCGGCTCCTCGGCCACCACCTCGGCCTATCTGTCCGCGCGGTATGAGTCGAGGCGAGAGATTACGGATTGGTCCCTCCAGGACTTCCTTCTCGGCAACACGGAGCTGAACCCGCTGCCCAAGCTCCCCGGGGAGGAGGACGGCGACGTCTCGCCCGAGTTCTTCGACCGTGTCGTGAAGGACTTGCGGCTGTCGCATCTCCTCACCCTCCCCGTCACCTTTCTCAGCAATGGGCAGGGACGACGGGCGCGGATCGCGAGGGCGCTTTTGCGGAAGCCAGAGGTCTTGCTCCTCGACGAGCCTTTCATGGGCCTGGATCCGCCCACTGTTACTGGGCTGAGTCCTTTGTTGGAATCGCTTGCTGAGAAGGCAAGCCCGCGGCTGGTGCTCAGCGCCCGCCCCCAGGACCCTCTGCCTGACTGGGTCACGCATCTCATCTACTTGCGGACGGACAGCCAGGTGGCGTCCATGGGGCCCAGGGATGTCGTTCTCGACGGTCTCAGGAAGTACGTCCGGGGCGTTGAGAACGGCACGGTCAGCGAAGATTCGACCCTCCCGTTGAAAACACTGGAGGACATTGGTCGGACGATCCCCTCCCCGGCCTCGACGACATCCCATGATGAGGATCCCCAGGGGCCCATTCACAAACTCACTCCTGTGAACCCCAGCGCCGAACCCGTGGTGGAGATGAACGGGTGCAGGGTCCGCTACGGCGACAAGATTGCGCTGGGCAACTGGACGCGCAGCACGGATGGTGGGGAGGAGGATGGGCTGTACTGGACCGTCCGTCGTGGCGAGCGCTGGGGAGTATTCGGCCCCAACGGCTCCGGGAAGACGACGATCGTCTCGCTCCTCTGCTCGGATCACCCGCAGGCCTACTCCCTGCCTCTCCGGTTGTTTGGGCGAAGCCGCCTTCCTGAGGTGGGCTCCGGAGAGCTGCCGCTGACGCTCTGGGATATCCAGGCCCGCATCGGACACTCCAGCCCAGAGGTGCATCAACACATACCCCGTAGTCTGACCATCCGGAAAGTGATTGAGAACGCATGGGCCAACACACTTCAGTCGATTCCACGCCTCGACGCCGAGGCTAAGAAGAAGGTGGATGCGGCGTTGAGATGGTTCACCCCGGAACTCAAGCCGAACCAGGAGTCGGCAACTACCCAAGATGGGGATCTCTCATGGGCGGACGATTACATGTTTGGGGAGATCTCGTTCAGTGCTCAGCGCGTGGCCTTGTTTATTCGGGCAATGATCAAAGGCACTGACATTGTTGTGCTGGACGAGGCATTCAGCGGCATGGACGACGGTGTCCGAGACAAATGCGTGCTGTTCCTCAGTGACGGAGAGTCGAAGACCTACCGTGGTGGTAAAATCGTAGAAAGCGAAGCCGCCAAAGCCGGGACTGTCTCGATCCCAGGGTTGTCAGATCAGCAGGCTCTGATATGCATTGCCCACATCAAGGAGGAGGTCCCTGATTGCGTGAGAGAGTGGATGTGCTTGCCCGAAGCCAACACGGGGCACGCAGCCAGGTTTGGGCGTCTGGCCGGCCCTGTTCGGGAAGATGAAAAGAGATGGAGCGACATCTGGGGTTTTGATACCGTTTAAATGAAAACGAACAATATATCTGCTCTCTATGTGACTATATATCCTAGGTGTTAGTTTTAAAGATAAGCGGCCCGCCGAAATGGACTTCCAAACTATAAACCGGTATAATTTGTTGGCCAGATCACACTTCTCGCTCCACGAGAGGCAGCCTCCTCTTCTCAAGAGATCTTGACAGTGTCTTAAGCCTGAGAAATCCCTTCGATACTCAAGACAAAACAATGACAACACTGATGATATCTAATACAAACTCCAGCTATCTCTTGCTTACATGCAGAGAGAAAGATCTGGGGAGTAGTGGGTTGATGGTGGAATATGTGGGTCATGTGACGACAAGGGAGCTAGGAGATGCTAAACTCAACTATAACCGATGCAAAGACAAGATCAGATCTCGCCGTGTTCCATGTCACTGAATTAATACTTGACGTCGGTTGTCATTTTATTCGTTTCTAACCATATTGTAGAAACAAAACAGATCCAATTGATATTCTCAAAATTAATAATATTCGCCCGTCATCCGTCAATTGCACACACATGTCTCATGACCTCCCGGCCACTTGACCGATCTACTCAGTCTCCGCAATTATCTTCCCCAGCATCATCGTCAACCGTTCACCATCAACCCCCAGCATCATGGCGCACACAAAGAGAGACGAGGAGGACCTCACGGACCGCTTCTGCGTGCCTCTGTCCTCCCTCACAACCCCGATAGAAGTCGGCGAGATCGGGTTTGTTTCCACCCTCGCCCACAATTCCCTGATATGTCCGCCATCACCAGCTTATACTCGACCTCTAGATACACACGCGCAGGCTCATCCGTCTTCTTCGCCTGGCCTCCCTTTGGCCCTCTGCTCTTCGAGAACGAGAGCAGCGATGCGCGCGACCACTGCGCCAACGAGAGAAGTGAGCCGCAGTCCCCGCCATGAAAGTCTTGTCCCGTCAGTGTTTCTAACCAATATGCTTCGGTGTCGGCGCGCTGTCGCCGGCATGCCAGGAGCAAGCACAAAAACAGCCTTCCTGTCGTACCTGAAGCTCTCCGTGTACATGGCCATCGCGTCCATCATCATCACCATATCCTTCCACATCAAGCGCGCCCCGACGGAGCTCGAGCTCAAGATGGCCAAGCCGATCGGCGCCGTCTTCTGGCTCCTCTCCGTCATGACTTTGGTGCTGGGCGTTGGCAATTATATGAGTAAGTTTGCTGTTTGATCAGAGCTCCAGGCGGGTTTTGGTTTCGGACTTGGCTGATGGGATATCCCAGGGACTGTGAATCAGTACAGCCAGAAGGCGGCCATTGTTCAGTCAGGGTGGAAGACACAGCTGGTAAGTTTGGAACTTCTCTCACATCCTCAACTCATACGTATTCTTGAGAAGCAACTCTACTAACGCACTTTATTCATCAAGAGCCTTGGCGTTTTGGCGACTTGTCTGGTTGCAACATGCATGATCCTACGATGGATTGCCATCAACGAAAGAGCAAGGGCTCTTGGGATGGTTTTCGGATGGGTATGACCAATGTCCATCTCTGGCTTTCTTTTCTTTCCAGCCTGTACTTTATAAATGATATGATATTTCGCTATGCAACTACTATTTCCATGAGCAAGCAGAGGGGATCATCGCTATACTTTTTTGGGACCCCATAGATAATAAACAAAACAAGGAAGCACTCAATGGCGGCGCGTGCAACCACCAGGGTATATCGCGAACCGACAGTTTAACTTACACATCTTCCTCCTTGGGCGTACAGAATAAATCCCGAGCGTACTTATCGGGCCCCTTGGGTATCGTAGTGTCACCACACTGTCCCACCTCGCGGCGGAATTTCGCCGCATACTCACGGGCGTCCCTCTCCAGGATTTCTGGTGATATTTCCCTCCCATCCCACGAGAGTATGGGCAAGTTTAATAATGAGGGCAAGCCGCCCTCCCCGGATAGAGTCGACAAGACGCTGACTTTTGAATCCGCATCAAACAAACTCGTTGCTTGGTCTTTGGCACTGTCGCCCTTGGCATCCTTCTGCGCTTCTGAATCCTCGCTATACTCTTCAGGCACGTCAGGGATATCATCGTGAATACCCAATATGACTTCCGCTGTGTCGCTACCAGGGTAGATAGTGTAGTATCCTCTCAAGCGAGAAAGCTGCAGAGCGTATTCTAGCCAGGCCGGGTGCTTCTTGCTGGTTTCTTTGCGCGGCCACGTCACCGAAGAATCAGAGTCCTGCATCTCCATCCCACGTGAAATGAAACTGTGAAGCTCTATCCATTTGTTACCAGCGAACACAGTTGCATCACTGTTCGGGCCCTGCCAAACAAAGGCACCGCCTTCTTTCTCGGAAGCTTCTCGTCCGGGCACTTCCAGAGGCTCTGACATGTCCAGCAGAGTCTTGGGTGATGAGAAGCCATAGCTCATCACATGGGAATTCCAGTCCTGAAGCATAGCAGCATTGGAAAACCTGTGGTGCAAGAGAGTGTATTTCAGATCTAGTTACAGTCAGCATGTTTCTCTCATGGATTGTTCAAATGTGGGTTGCCAATGGGGAGCTCATACAATGGAAAAATTGAGGATGGAGCTCTGTGTGAGGTGACAGAACAAGGATGTGAGACATTGAAGGGTTTCTGGGCCAATACGACTCCAGAAAACGCAGCGAGCTCTCCTCTTCCGTGAGCTTCTCGCGGGGAATCCGACGGCGTAGAGAAACCATGCGCGCAGGGCTTCCAGAGGCGAGATAGGCCGTCGGCCACTCAAAATCGGCTATGGTCTTGTCGATTTGAGCATCAACGGCATGGGGAAGCTCTATGGTAATATGAGGGATAGCCATTGCACTCAGATCAGCTTTAGAAAGCGATCGTAGCAATCTTCCAAGATTGGCAGCGCCACGGGCAGGTGCCTGGATCAAAATATCGATTTCAATTTTGTCCCACGCTTCGTACTTGTCAACAATTGCGGACGATTCAATAGACATGTCACGCTCCACATACCTGCCAATGAGGACGAATCCAGCTTTGTTATCCAAGAGAACTGCGTGTTGGAAGGGTCCGGTAGCTCGATCAAAGCAGCTCTATCCATAGCTTGAATCTGATCCCTGGTACCAAGAACAAAATACTCTTCCTCGGCATCAGTTGAATCGATCAATACGGCCTGGGGATGCATAAATGCATGAATGTGGTCTTTCCATAATCGTTGTCAGCCAGACTAGCAAACTACTGGGAGTTGGTTTAGACCTACGGAGAGCTCGAATTGTTGAAACCATCATTCGTGCTTCAGTCGACGTGCCTGGGAAATCAGGTCGAGCATCTCACCAAGGATTGTTAGCTTTTACGAGGTCGGTTTCACACGTGAGTTAAAAAGGATGGAGAAAGAGTAGGGAGAAAGCCTCGCAAAATACTCACCGTGCATAATCATCTGGCAAGTCTCGTCCTCCCCATTAATCTTGAGGAGATCCGGCAAAGAAATCTCACTTCTCCCAATGAAAGCAAAATGAACATAATTCTGACGCTCCCTGCTCATCTTACAGGCCAAGGGAATCAGTGAATTTGCGCTCTTCAGGCTCGCCGTCGCAAACAATACATTGCGATTCCTCGGTTGCTTCCCACCCGTAGCGCTAATAGCTTGGAGCGACTGTCCCAATGCTGGAAACTTGACAGGACCAGTATATGTCCTAGCTGTCTCTTTTGTGGCGCTTCCTTTGCCGCTACCACCAACTTGGTTCGACCTTTGTTGCGACAATGAATTGTACATGGACCGATCGCTGCCGGTGTATCGGCCTGCGCCGGTATCTGGTGGACGGAAGAGTCGAAGGAGTATAAATATGGCAATGAACAAGACAAAGGCATATGCAGCTAGTCGCATGATGATACGCCTGCGTGGAAGCCGTGTGGAGGCCTGCCACTGACTCGATTGGCGGCCATTCTTGACGAGGTGGTCGTCGTCCTTCTTGGCCAACTCGGCGTCGTTCGCCCAAAGACGTGACATAGCTCGACCTCGCCGCGGCGGCGCGGCCATTATCCTTACAGGGAGTTTCTATATGTATCGAGGCGATCGCCACGCCGGGGCGGGTTCGAGCGAAATATCGACGGATTGGTCGCAAGCAGAGTCGAGGCAGACGGAGTCGAGGTTGGGCGACGGTGATGGCTTCGGTTCGTACAGCCCTTCACATATTGCGACCCCGCAATCACCCAGCAAAAACAGTTGGAGGGAGGGAGGCTAGAATCAAGTGAATGAGTAGACCGCGACAAGAGGAGGGCGTAATTAAGTCAATGCTGCTGCGATGCGCACGTCGGGAGTAGAAAAGGCAAGGTAGCAGTTGGGCAAGAGTAAGCTGGTCGCTAATGTACAGCTGGTTGAGCGCACGTAGCCTGAAGCTACAGTTAGTGCTAAGGCGTCTGCCGTGGGGACTTACAGGGCCCAAACATTCCTTGCAGGGAGGTAACAGCGGCCGATCACCATCACCAGCATTCAGCCGGCGACATGCCCTATCTTGTGTTGTTTGTGTGTTCTTGTGTGGCAGAATGACGGATATCTGTTTTGCTAATTGCCAATCTATTAAGGACCTAATTATCGCTTCGGAATAGGTGACGCAGCCCTTGCTTGGAGAGTTTACTTGATAATCGTGTCCTGTCGCATCCTCGTCATGGACCTGTTATAGACCTATAAGCCTGCGAAAAAGCGACAAGCTCATTTGCTTCACTTGACAGCCTGTTTCGCACTATTCATATCGTCCACTTCTCTATACATCGTCCAATTTGTCTTTCTTTCTGGGAAAAATTTCAGGAGCGCGTGTGCAGCTCTACCAATGTTCGAATGGTGTCTCAACATTGCCTCAGATCCAACAGACCCCTCTCATCTAGCGGCTGAACCACTCCTCCAACGAATGCGACAAGCCTAGGTAGCTTTCCATTCCTCCCCCGCGGATACGTACCTCAGTATACGATTAAGAGTTATATTAAAGTTTACCATTGTGACTTACAAATCAGGATGATCAGTCCAAAAACAGGCCTAACGGCCATCTCGACGATTACCAAGTTCCCATCTTACCCTATACCATCACACTCCTCAATACTCGAGAGAAGCACCACTACAACTGGGTAGCATGTTCTCTTTATTTCTTTATTCTTATTTTTATTTTCCAAGAATGTAGTGATATAGTTGGTTGGCCCTTGAGAAGTTCAATCCTCTGGGTTTTTCTCTGAGTTGTTTACCTATGTTGAGATGCCACACCATGTTGTTGCAAGTGGGAATTACTCGTCCCCATCCATGTTTTTAATGACCAAGTAAAAAAAAAAGGCACACAAAAAAGTCTTCTTCAAGATCCTACTCAGTATGAACAAACCACACCACAAAATCTGAGAATTCCTCAAGCAAAGCAGGGCCGAGCTATCACCAATACCCAATCAACCGTATACTATATTGAAGCACACAAAATGGGCAAGTCTCGAAGAAATAGGGCCAATGCCGCTCGTCGCGATCCAATTGCAAAGCCTGTCAAGCCGCCTTCAGACCCAGAACTTGCCGCTCTGAGAGAATCCAAGATTCTGCCCGTCATCAAAGACCTCCAGAGCTCCGACCCCAAGTCTCGCTCAGCTGCTGCCTCAGCCATCTCGAACATCATCCAGGACACAAAATGTCGCAAGTTGCTGCTGCGCGAGCAAATTGTACATATCATCATCAACGAGACTCTGACCGACGCTGCGCTTGAGAGCCGTGCTGCTGGCTGGGGCATCCTCCAAGTCATTGCCCAGGAGGAGGAGGCCGATTTCTGTGTCCACCTGTACAGGCTGGACATTCTCACTGCTATTGAGCATGCTACGAAAAGTGTGAGTGCAACCTTGGCTTTGTCAATGATACGTTCTGACTGACATTGTCGCAAGGCCACGGCCAAGTTCTCCTCTAAAGACACACCCTTCTCCAAGCTACCCAAGTTGGAGCAAGCTACCACCTTGAGCATCGTGGCATCTATCCTGTCCTTGATAACAGCCTTGGCCGAGGCTCAGGATGAGATACTTGAAACCATCGCCTCCAACTCAAGCCTTACCAACTTTCTGTACTCTTTCATTCCTACAAGCGACCTAGCTGGTGCTATCAATGAGCTGCGCAATGACGCTCTAACCTGTCTTATGATTCTGTCCGAGGACAACAAGAAGCTTGCAAAGACCATCGTCTCAGACGGCAACAGGTCCGTCTACGAATCACTCCAGGTCCTGAGCAAGGAAACCTCGCACGAGGGCATCCTGGCTTGTGGCGTCCTCCACAATGTTTACCTCTCGCTACAAGGCGTGGAAGTCTCCACAGAGCTGAATATTGTAGACGACTCGCGATTAATACCTACGCTCTCCAGAGCCATTGCAGAAATCGGCTCCAGCAAAGCCCAATCGAACGGAACCGGATCATCAAACCCTTACCAGAAGCAGGAGCTCGCCTTGGAGATCATTGCTTCGATCGGGACCACTATGAATGGAGAGCAGGGGGATGAATCTGAGCAGCCAGAGTCAAAGCCCAAGGCAGGAGGCGAGGCTACTGGTCAAGATGACGAAGACATGGACGACATTGATGTAGGCGCAGAAGATGATAACGATAATGAGGACAGCCGTGTCCTAGACGAGGACGAGGACGACGATATGGATGATGACGAAATGCAGGCCGACATGGATATGGTCACTGGTGCCGACGACGCCGACGACGGCGAGTCCATTGATGACCTCCCTATCCTGAAAGCCCTCGTCCAAAAGGCCATCCCACAGCTCGTGCGCGTCGTCGCTCTGCAGGCCGGCGACGAAGAAACCATCAAACTCCAAGCCCTCTCGCTCTCCGCCCTCAACAACGTCGCCTGGTCGGTCTCCCTGATCGACTTCTCCCACGACCACAACAAGGGCATCCAGAAAACCTGGGAGCCGGTCGCCAAGTCGATCTGGACCGACGCCATCGTCCCCATCCTCTCAAGCGACACCGCCGACGTCACCCTGGCCACCCAGGTCACCGGCCTCGCCTGGGCCGTCGCCCGCACCCTCCGCGACAAGACGCCGCTCAAGATCAACGAGCAGCGCAAGTTCATCTCCCTGTACCAGGCCACCCACGGCTCCGAGGCCACCCAGAACTCGGAAGATCCCTTCCAGGGTCTGGGCGTCAAGTGCATCGGAGTCCTCGGCCAGCTCGCCCTGGACCCTGCGCCGGCAGACCTCAACCGCGAAATCGGCACCTTCCTCCTTACCGTGCTCGCTGCCCTCCCCCAGACCCCGGCTGCCGATGCCGTCGAGGCCCTGAACCAGCTATTTGATGTGTACGGAGATGAAAATTTTGCCTGTGACAAGGAGGTGTTCTGGAAGGATAACTACCTCAAGCACCTGGAGGAGATCCTCCCCAAAGCTAAGGCGGTGGCCAAATCGGTTGACAAGAGAACCCACTCCGAGCTGAGGGCAAGAGTGGACGAGGCAGTGCTGAACCTGAGCAGATTCATTGCCTACAAGAAGAAGAGCAAGCCATAGAGTAAAGCAAAGTTTGGATTTGGTAAAACTAACAGGAAAAGTTATGATACATAGAGAATTATTTTTTGGTATTTTGGGCTATATTTCGTTATCACATCGTAATTTATTGACAGTCAACCGCTTACTTTGAGCAATCCTCTGACTTCATAACTAATTGCCATTCTTCCGTGAAACGATGATGAAGCTGCGGTTTCCACCAGGGCGGGGAGAATAATGTGTTACGATGTGGTTAGGAGATAGTTTATTCTGTGTTTACTGGCTTCCTTTCTTAATCGCATTTGACTTCCTTCACTGCCTAGATCTCATAGGTTTTCCTTTTTCAGAATATTGTCCCCATTTCTCATGCAAAAACCTAAGAATTGGAGTGCTTTGCAATTGGTAAGACTTATTCATGGATGGAGCCATCTCAATCGCGCATCATCACCGGGGTTTACGAGAAGAAGAGGAACTTGAGTTTCGGTGCAGTCAAAGCTGGTTGGTTAGTTGACACCAAGAAAGATCAGGGACTAGAGATAATTTACTGTGTTATATGTGGTCATTCGATTGAAGTTGTGAAAAAACTAAGTAAGTAAAGTCTGCATAGAATTCTTACAATCAGCCGTCACCTATGCTGCATCCTGGAAGAATTACCAATATTAATAAAACACCTCCTCATGGTCTCTCCTCAATCATGGCGTCCTTGCCATCGACGTTCACCTCTGGGCATTATCGCTCGTTCAAACTTTTGGAACAGCAGATTTACAGGAGAGCTCAAGGCCAAACTAATCATATTAGTGAAAAAGAAACATGATCATGTCTTCGTATTGGCGTAGCTCACCAAGGAAAAACCACAGCACTTGGGCTTGAGGCCTTCCGCATTGCAAATATTCTTGAAGTTTTCAAGACTCGTAGGTTCCTGCCGGGCTGAAGGGGATTAATCAGTATACCAGCATACTAATCACGAAGCCGAGTATGAGAGATGATGTTCAAATAACTCACGCTTTGAGCATGACGAGCCGGACAAAAATTCATACGAATCGTCCTCGCAGCAATGGGGTTGTTTATGGAAAAGAACCGTGCAGAAGGGCGTAGCTTCACTCCGTGCCATGGACGCAGCAGTGAATATAAGGCAAACAGCGAGCAAATTCATATTGAAACAGGCTTTGACCGAAGAGGTTTGAGCAGTGTGCTTTTATGAGGAGGAGCTTGGGCTTGTTTGCACCGATGACCTGGCGACGAGAGGGTCTTATAAACTAGACTTCAACATTGGAACGGCCGACATGAGCAGTGTGATTCGAGTATTCTAGATTTGTAGTAGGAATTGGAACAACCTGCGAGAGTGTGAAGACGGCAGTATTTTTGGAGTGAGTCACAGACACCAAGAAATGAAGTCTATGAATCCTGGAAGAATATTGACAAGCTACATTCCTCAATCTAAACCATCTATCATCTGAAATCTGAGGATACAATATGATGCATTTTCTAAGCTCTTAACTTCGATAAGTGTTGGACGTTTCATATGGAAAGGCTGGGCGAGGCCCTTGATGGCCAATATCACTGAATCAGTCGCACCAGGTGGCATATCTAAACTTTTCTTCACAAGAAAAGGCGGAGACAAAGTTGGGACCCTCTTAGTTGATATCATGTTAGCTGCAGGTGTAGAAAGTTCCCCCCTAGTGACTTAATCACGAAGCAAAAGCTTCATTGTACCTAGAACACTCAATTATCTGGCAAAGTAATGCAACCTCATATCTCTATCTGTTACAAAACCACATATATCATTAACATCTTTCGAAAACCCGATACAAACCTTTCAAATTCGCAACTTCAAGAACGCCCCCATCCATAAGTGACTTTGTGGCGACTAGTCTCGCCTTAAACGCTGGGAAAAACAAATGCTCAACCGCCCACCGTACATGCTGTCTCCTGGTGCGAGTCTCGGGTGGTATATCCTCGTCTCGCTGGCCGCCTTCACCCCCTGGCAAGGTAGGAAGCTGCTCGGGAGCATAAAAGGTGGCCAGTTCTCTTAAGAAGGTTCGGAAACAGCCAACTTCTTCGTTCCACTCGACGCTGGGACCTAGGTGTAGGAGAAAGCGTGGGAGCTTTGCTAATGGTGGTGTGTAGCCTTTGACAAGAAGTGGAATAGAGACTAGGTCGCCCGTGGGAGAGATCTCGAGGGAGAAATATTCCAGAAGCATCTCGCGGCGTTCAATTAGCTGCTCACAGACCCTTTTAGTGATGGCCGTTACATCAAACTCCTCATCCGAGGCACCCAAAGCTTCCTTCTCTGCCTCGGCAGCCATGCGCAACAGTTCGAGGAGGTTGAGAGGCGGGTTGAACTGAATTGCACCAAAATTCCCAAAATCAGTCAAGCCTAACTGGTAAAAATATTCGTAGCATGTTCGACCATAATCAATCAGATAGAGCTTGACACCACCCTGGATTGCCGCTAGGCGACGTCGCTCGTCAACAATCCCGACGAATGTATGTGACGCAAATATTTCCGTGAGTTCAGTATGAATATCTTCCCGTACATCCGCTCGTAGATCTTTGACACTTTTTAATTTACATGTCGTGTGCGAACGATCAGTCATCTCATATTCGATATTTTCAGGCACAGCCAACAGTTCGTCTTCGCGATTAGTTGTTTTGGATTGGAAGCTGCCGCCAGTGGTTTGAGAGAACATGCTGGTGATCTTGCGCTCTGCCGTGTCTGTTCTTATCAGGGAATTTGGATTTCTCACGGGTCGCTTGCCGATAGCTGTAGAGGGCTTCGCCGAGCCATCATCGGTGTCCAGATCTGTTACTGGCTTTGGCGCTCCCGGTAGTAGAGTCTGTGCCATAAAGGTCCGGCTCGTATCTACCGCAGCGAGCTTTGTTTCTATATGCTTGCATATTTCCTGGATGACCTCGTCTTCGTTCAAGAAGTGCACCTCTCTCTTGGTCGGATGTACGTTGACATCAACCCTGGCCGGATCGATCGCTAGATTTAGATAAATGAAAGGGTGGCCTCCTTTTGGCAAGAAGCTGGCGTATGTTTGCTCCAATGCCTTTTTAATTACGGATGATTCAACACTTCGGTGGTTGATGAAGAGAAGAAATGTCGTCTTCTTGATATTGTAATTGGCGTTTGATGCGAATCCGTCAGCCCTAAATCCCCATCTCGAATCTGAGACGTCAAAACTAATGAGCTCGTTTGCAACGGCGCTCCCGTAAATCTGGCGGATACGGTCATTGACAGTGGCTTGGGCTTGGATTGAAAGGCTGTTGGACGACTCGCCAGCTTTCTTGCAGGTAAAGCCAACACCGTCGCAGTGGATCGCATATCTTCCAACCATCTCGATGATTTTGTTGAACTCGTCTGCCGTAGACCGGAAAGCCCTTCGGCGAGTGGGGATGCTGTAAAATAGGTCCTCGACTGTAATCTGGGTCCCAGGGCGACCTGCGACACCCTTCGGCTCAGCAGACTGGCCTGGCTTGGGAGGCGCCAGCTTCCCGTCAATGTAGTAGGCCCTCCAAGCGAGACTGGAATCCTTAGTTTTAGTAGTCACCGTCAGATGGGCAATGTGGCTGATGCTTGCCAATGCCTCGCCGCGAAAGCCATATGTGCCGATAGACGCAAGATCATCGAAAGAGGATATCTTTGAAGTGGTATGGCGCTCGCACAGGATCGCCAAGTCTTCTTTCTTGAGTCTTTGGTTAGCTCCTGGATATATGGCAGCTGGGGCAATCTAGCAAACGACCAACCTGGATACCGCTGCCATTATCAGTGATCTGCAATAGCTTCAGTCCACCGTCTTTGACAAGAATCTCAAGAGATGTTGAGCCTGCGTCTACAGCATTTTCAATGAGCTCTTTGAGGGCGTGAACCGGTGCGACAATGATTTCGCCTGCCGCTATTTTGTTGACCACATCTGGATCTAGCGCCTGAGGTTTTGACAAAAACAATTAGTTGCCTGTATTTCATGACTATATGGGCTCACTATAGCTCGTCCTTTGGATGCTTACCCGGATTCTACGAGCTGGGCGTGGGCCATCTGGGTCGTCGTCGGCCTTCCGCTTCACTCCAGCTGTGGAGGGACCATCCACTTGCATTGCGTCCCCCATTGCGATAAAATACAAGCGCCCAGATATGTACAGAAATATTACGAAAATTGGAAGGACATATAAGGATAAGGCAAAAGGAAAGGTTGTACAAGGTGCAGTCGTGAGTAGGTGGCGGTGGAGTCGGTCCCGCACTCTTTCCCAGCTGCACGAAGATCTCACGAGAGCACGTGACTTGAAGTACATTGGTTTGGGAAGGCACCCAGCCAGTTCCTCAGGTAATAGTGCGAACGGATAATAAATGAACAAGTCTTCTCTTTCTGTTTCATACGGAGAAAAAAGAGGGGATGGACCATGGGTCTCACTCATTCTATGAAAGAGTCGTTGGGCGATGATAATCCTACCCTCGTCTTGCCTTCGCCATACCAAGGGCTTTTTAGAATTCTGCTGTCTTTTTATTCTCTCCAGTTTCCATCACTTGTCTTACTGCTAGCTGTTTATTGTAGAATTTTAGCTATGATATGGGTCTACTTGTCATATACCTCAGAGATCCTCGCGAATTTCAATTTCAGAAAGAGCATTGTCCGGCTTTGTGCTAGATAAACTCATGTATAATAAAGTTAAACCATTGAGGACAACCATGGATAGAATCCGTAATCTAAGTTCTACACTTAATTACCTCTATTTCTGCTGATAGTCTCCCTCAGCCCGACTTCAAATACCAGTAGCCTCATAGTATGGGTCGTTGGGATTGTACGGGAACTTTCTCACAACCACATCCCCCTTGTATTCCCAGAAGTCAGGGAAGGTTGGCTCATAAGAGAGCTCACACGTGTCATCGAAGGAACCAAAGGTAATCACATCAGTAGTCTTGCCATCAGAATAGTTAATTCGCACCATATTCACAGTTTCCACATTGGGTGAAACCTCGAAATAGTTGGAAGGCATGAACTGCACCCCGGAATGAGCCGTCGTGAAGACAGTGGTGGGAAGGTCACCCTAGACGTAAGCCAATCAGTATTGAACATTCCCAGCGGCGAAAATTTACCACCAGCCGGAAGATGTTTCCAGTCAGTGTAAGAGTAAACTTACCGTATGGGGCACATGATGCATCCCAAGATTGAGCCAGACGACCAAGTCAGTCTGATTTAAATTTTCACCATCGAAGAATTTGTTGAAGTCAACAGGAGGGTTCTTAGTATCCTGGTTGTTGTACTTGTGCACGCTTCGGGGTTCCGTATCCTTCCGCTGAGACACCATGATGTCGTGACTGGCCCAGTTGGCGCTGTTTTGAAGAACACTGGAATTTTGGACAGTCAGGTGGGCGGCACCGGTATAAGGAAGGATTCGATATCCGCGATTCTCGCCAAACTTGTTCTTCTCGTCCCTATTGACCACCAGGACCTGTGACTGACTGTTGGCACTCCAGTCAAACCGACTCTCATCTTCATTTAGAATGAATGAGCGGTTGAGTTTCATGGTGTTGAACACCTTCCCCTTCGACCAAGGATATGTAGTTGTGTGAGGTACTTGGCTCATGATCTCGACGGTATTATTGGTTCCAAGAATGTCAAAGTCGGCTTTGAAATTGAGAACGTGATCATGCATAGAGCCAGAGAGTTGATCATGAATGTGAAACCCATAATCCTCATTCTTGGCGTAGAAGGCGGCTTGGATATATCCTGAAGCCCGGACTTCCACAGCAATTGAACCATCCATAAAGAAGCTGTAGCTGAACATGTAGTCATAATTTCCAATAGTGGAAATTGAACGGACCACGAAATTGACGTTCTTGGTTGCAGTCACATAATGTGTGGAACTATGGCGAGCTATGGGATAGTCGTTGTTCACCTCGAACAAGCAAATGCTGTTGAGATGAGTGCGTGATGTTTCGGTAACGTAAAAACTCGAGTTGAGATAGGTCGCATAAGCCGGGCAGTCATAACCTTTTAGAAGTTCGAACGCAAAGGGACCAAACCCATAGTAAGAGTCCAAATACCCCACGTGGCTTTGGATCGGATCACTGCCGGCGTAATGGGCGAGGGCCTCCTGAAGACCAAGTTCATACAAGATTCTCTGTCCCTTGTATCGGATATCATGAAGGCTCATGCCGGTGTCACGATTGAAACCAATATAAAAAGACCAACCCATCCATTCCACGTATCTCCTCTGGTCATCAACAGAGTATCTCGAACCCTGAGGAGCAACGGCAACGGGAGGCGACATGGTATCAAGAGGAGGGATGGTACCTTGTTGATCCGTGCTGGACCAAGCTCCATCCCAATTACCCCCAAGTTTCTCAACATCCCCGTTCCAGTACGCGGCTCGGAACTCCGCTGTGGTCTCGTAAAACACACCGTTGTGGTACCAACCTTCAACGGACCACTTCGAGGCATCTCGACCCGTCACGTCTGACATGAAGTACAAGCCCATAGGCATTATGGAGCCAGTATCGAAGATACCCCTCGGAATGCTCCAGAAAGCATCCCAGCGTAGAATACGATCGTCATCCTGGTAGACAGGATCAATGCCCCATATGGACAAGGTATCGTTATCCAGACCAAGAGCAGTAGCATTCCACATATCAAGAGTGATATCGGAGATTGTAGCACTGACGTTGTGGACCCATTCATCAAAGAGCGTGTCGGCATCAGCGTCAAGGTTCCGAACACGACCTTGTGACTTCCGGGTAAATGGGTACTCCAATGGTTGCCAGTGTGTGGTTCCGTTGACAATTGGTAGAGGACCAACGAGAATATCCTGGTAATAGGGATCCTCGCTAGCTTGGTGGCTGATCACAGCATGGACATAGCGCGTAGGAGCTCCAGCAGTTCCGTCTAAATACGCCAAAGCATCCGTTTTATTCGGATGCATCAATTCAACTAAAAGTCTTACGAAAGGTTAGTTAAGTTTTTCACTGCTTTTCTGTTTGGAAATGAAACAACTTACAGAGTATTATCCCAGCTGCCGGCGTCTTCAGCAGTTGTGAGGTTGAGATCTGGCTGCGCGAAAAGCCATTCCACAACACTAACAGCTTCTGGCTCGGAGAGTTCGGCCCAGAGGTTCTCCTTGGGAGCTTCGATATCAAGAGCACTCTTGACATCACAAGCTTCTCGGGGGAAGTGCGCACGTTTCTCTATACTTGCCCCAAGAGCTCTTCGGCCATGGCCACGAGCTCGATCCAAGACCCAAGGAGCCTTGGGTACAGCAACAACGACTGGGACAAGAAGAACTGGTGTGAGGTAGCTGGCCCAGAACTTCATGTTTCCTGTGAATCAAGAAATTTTGATATTGAAGTTGCTGGTATGTGCTTCGAATGTCATGCTGTTGTCTCACTCCCCAGAACGGAGATGTTTCCATCATCTTTATACCTTTTGTAAATGGGTCGACATACGCCACTCCATGATCAACGAGGTTCTTAGTTTCTGCAACTCCATATCTCGGGGAAGAGCCCCCGCCTCGAGATAATGGGATCCCTCTATCATAAGAAGGGCATTTCCATTACGCGTTCCCATCCCCTAATCAACGAGGGCAGGCTCGTGTCCATGAAAGAATCCTGAAGATAAGAATGTAATTCCAGGACACCGGGCCGAAGATAACTGCTCCCTCTTCGGTTCACGATGCGCACTTATCTTGACGGATATATCAAGAAGTACTATCTATCCGAGACTATGACCCAAAGTCGAAGGTCGAACCGACGATAGGTAATACTGACAAGTATCCACCAGAGTTCATGTATGATCGGGGAACTGGCATGGCTGCGATGGCAACGCAGAGCTTCATCCCCATCTTTCTCGGAAGTGCGCATGTTGTCGGTGAGCGAACTTCGCCGATGAGCAAGACCCGCCGTCATGGAACACAGATAACATAACCGCGCGCGGCATACAGTGATGCTGCCAAGGGGAGAGTCACTACCCGGGCCTTTGGTAGTGGCCGGCTTCGCCGCTGGCTGAAAAAGTTGCCGGACTCGGTCTGGGTGCAACAGTGACCAAGCATCGTCACCAGCGTTTGCGGATCCCAGACCCGCCATGAGGTAACTCCTCCTTATCTTCCCCTCACCTGTCCCGATATATTTCCAACAAGATTAGCGAACCAAAAGGCTGGGTGACTGAAGCTGGAGAAGCATCTTGAAGAGATAGCATAAATCCCCCACCCAAAGCCTATCAACCGGGGAAATAGACTTCGGGTTTACGAGCCATCTTCGCGGGGGTCACGTCCGTTGAGCATTCCGCCGGACTTATAGGTGCTCGCGCTGTCCCTTTGACAGGAAGAGGGGAACGACAGAAAGGAGGCAGATTTGACCCGTATAAGTTGGCGACCAGGCCCGGTAAAGAAGACCAACTTCAAACATCCGATGCCAGTAACGAGGGCGGCCAATTGTGACCGCACAGCATCCTACCTAGCCTAAGAACATGGGGCCGTTGACTGTGTTGCAACGCACATTGAGGGTCCAGGAGGAATAGTGAATCAGACTAGATAGAGCTTTGAGAATGGACGTTGTGCAACCCGAGTAAGGCTATAATCGGATCAATTGGCTTTCCGAATAACAACCATCAACTCATGATTCGATCTCGACTGTGGCCGCACCAATTAATCGATCATCCTTGCTTCTACAGACCAACAGCAGCCCCGCCTCGCCTCGTCGTAGATAGAGGTTGGTGGGGTTCCATTCTGCGGCACAGGCCGGGCCAAGTCCTGCAGTCCTTGCGCTATGCTATCCAGGACTCTGGAAATGAGGACGGGGTAGCGTAACCGTGCGTCCTGATCCCGCGTAATGTGCGTGCGTGCTCGTGGTGCAGTCCTGGACGATGACGATGCTTGGCATCCATCGAGGTTGTGTCAAGCGAGGGAGAAGATCAGCAGCCTTACTTTCAGCTCCCTCTCAGCTGGCTAGGTTCACCATTTTTTAGGGACTGCAGGGGGAGTGTGACGATGGCAGCTGGGGCCTTAATCGAGGTACCAGGAAGACACGCAACGCAGTGAAGGGACCGCTAGTTGGCCCAAGCAAAGCTTACTGCCCCTGGCAATAGGATGGATGGGAGATGGGCATCCCAAAGCTCGTGCTATCCAACGTTCCTTTTCTCCCTCCCGTGTTAGGGTGAATTACACGTCCCGCCAACCTGTTTGGTCCAAGTCAGCTCGTTGGTAGTCGCAAGTCGGAGCTCAGTGCTACCGAGGCGGGTAAACCGCTGCCGGCTAGTGTAAACAGGGCAACGATTAGCCCCCCGGGAACTACGTGTAGCCCGTCGTAGTCAATATCATGGATCCATTGTGTTGGAGACTGGTCATTTTTTTACCCAGGCCATGGGCTGCAGTCAGCTCCGGGAGCGAGCCCCTTTCATCAACCATGCTGATGGTCAATTAAACGCGTGATCGACATATGTCATATCATGGGCAGAGAGAAGTACCTCTGGACATTAGAGAAGCTGAGCGAACATAATGGGGGGAGAGCAGCAGCAGTTGTTGGGTGCCCCTCGAGGCTGAATCGCTGGGCTGCTCTGTACCAGCACTACGAGGAGTTGTGACAAATAGGACGTGTCTCTATGCCACCCAGTTTCTCAATTATGGGTCTCTCGTCTCTCAGCCTTGGTTGGGTCCTTGAAAAGGAGGGCACGATTGCGGTTGTCGTCAATGCGCTGAGGCCTGATGGGACAGGACCTGGATCCGGATCTGAACTTTCTTTTTCTCACCCTAAACCAACAACCCCAATTCCTTGACCGTCACCCCCGACCCCCGACACCCCGGTCGTGACTCGACGCAGTGCTGTGGCTTGGTGCTGTTGTGTCGGCTAGGGCTGATGATAGCCTCGACATCGGCGGCACATAGGTAGTTGAAGGCAAATCCCACAGCCACACCGGGCGAGCCACCCAAGCTAACTTAGCCTCAGAAGGCTAACTCTCCGTCTCAACGGGCCAGAGTTCCTTGGATAGACGGACTCAACACGGAGATGGAGAGAGCAGTGGCAAGGAAGCAAGCAAAAGAAAGAAAAGAAAGATGGGGCAAGTCGAGCCACTGTTAAGGGCAGCTTTCGGGGCGTTAGCGGGAGCAGGCCCTAAACTTTGGGGGGATCTGGGGGGAAGCCGCCACCGATCAAGAACCGTTGCGGCACCAATAGCCCTGTCGCTGGCGCTAGTCCAGCGCTCTTGGGGGCCGCTCCTCAGCCGTCCTCCAGCACTAGCACATGATGATGATTGATGATGCTGATGATGATGCCGCTGATGATGCCACCGACGCCATCTCCTGACCTGCGGCAAGCCCCGGCTCCTCCTGTCACTTCTCTCTTTCATGCGTCAAGCATGAAGCTGGCTGGAGAGCGCATCCTGGCGGCCGCCCGGGCCACAACAGAGGCGATCGTGCACGGTGATGGACCCAACAAAGTGAGTGAATGGATGGTTGATGCCGATGGGCATGTCCACCCCCTGGCCGGTTGTGTTCTCTCCCCAGCCCGCGAGGCCTGGCAGCCAATAAATCGCCAACTTTGTACACAATTGCGCTAGTGCTATCTCTTCCCGCGCCTATGTTTGCGTTCTGGCTCGATTCCGCGGCGAGAGAACTTGCTGCGTGAACTCCAGGCAGGTATCTGGCCGTACCTCGACCACGCTGACGGATCGATGGTTGCCAAAAAGGAATCCATGCCATCCCGAAAGCCCTGCATATCAAGCAGAACCAGGTACACTACCGTATGCTACCTGGCCCCCAGCACCCGAAAACTTTCCCTTTCTGTCGCTGATTCCCTTTGTCGGTACCAGCCCACACCCCCCCTTATACCAGGACCAGGCACAGCCCCTGGACCAGATCAGAACCGACTGCACGTTTTGGCCCGGGTTTCATGTCTTTGCTCTCCCGGGCGCCTAGGACACATGGTATAGGATTGGGCCCGAAGCTCAGTTCGTGATTGTTTACTAGATAAATACCTGCCATATGCCCGCCTGCCCTCCGCCACAGCATCACCAACAAGCTCGCCTCCTGATAAAAAGTGCACCTCCTGACTCCTCGCTTGAACATCAAGTCCGCCTCACGGATTGCATTGTCACCCTGTTTCCAGTTCTCCAGTCCAATCGGTTAGACTGCTCGCCTCCTCGTTACAGGCCCAGGGTTCTCTCTCTCTGACAGGCCCGGCATATAACTGCCACTCGCATGCTCACTGCAGCAGAGTAACCTCTTACCGCCAAAGTCTTCTCCAAAGTCCTCTTCATCTTTCTATAAACACACACTCCTCCATACATCTATCCTGCATACATACCCACAGATCTTCTGGGCTCCTCAAAACAAGCCCTAAACAAGACAAGATGTCCATTTCCGTCAGCGAGAACCGCCCTGGTCCCTCAGTCAGCGATACCAGTTCCCGATGTGTCCAACCGTAAGCTGAGCCCTTCCTCTCCTCCTCTCTCCGATCTTATACACCTCCCGTCTCTCCCCAAAACCCAACAACAGAACCGTCCATATCCTACTTTGAACCAGTAAAACCCCTGGTGTTCCCGGAACCCTTCTAACAACCCCCGCAGAAGCTCGACGACATACTCAACCTACAGCCAGGAGCTCATCGGCCACAAGCCACTCTCCCGCCGCAACTCAAACACCACCCTACAATCTCGCCCCTCCAGCCCTACCCCCCCAGCCCGCCAGGACGACGATCACCTCGCACCATCATTCATCGCCAACGGCGACCCGCTGTTCCTCTCCACGGCCTCCCCCGGCCAGGACGCCCCCTACCACAACATCAACCAGGACAAGGTCAACCTCAAGCACGCCCTCGAGGACCTCGCAAGGCAGCCCCCCAACGGTAACACCAACGGCCACTCCGCCGACGGCGGCGGTGACGGCCACAACAGCAACAAGCGTCCCCGGAGGGACGACCCCAGCAGCCAGTCCTCCCCCGCCAAGGCCACCACCGCCTCCATCACCACCCGCAGAAACGGCCTCAAGGACGTGGAGGGCTCCTCGGTCAAGGACGCCAAGGCCCGCAAGACATCTTGAATCCTCTGATGCCGACCACTTCAAAGCATGATGTTAAACAAAAATAGTCACGACCATCTCTCTCATATCGAAAAACGATCTCAGTGAAAGCGGTGATACTTTGCTTGGCGGGGATAAGGGGCAAGTGAGGCACGAAGCCGGCTGGGCAATGGGAGATCATCATTCTCTTCTGGGGAGGATTAATTATATCATGGGGAAGGAGGGGGAACCTAATCGGACTAAATATTATTTTCGCCGGATCAGATAGCAGGCAAGGGATTGACGCATGGACTCTCATATATCGTATCACGGAGCAAGGGCTCGCCAGCCAATAGTCTTCTGCCATTATAGATGGGCAAGGGCAAGGGGATAAAAAAGCCAAAGCTTGTTTTTTTTCCTTAATTGTCGCGCTACCACAGAAATTCAACTTACACCCACTCCTAGGTACATTTACGTGGGTTTGGTTTACTTGTAATGATAAGTTCAATCAACGGAGTTCTCTTCCCCAATTCCCACATCCTGTTTTGAGCCCGACCTTGTTTCCACATCACAGTTACTCTCGGAAATATTTGGCTGCTCCTTTCCCAGTTGGTCCATTCTTGTATCACCACCTGCTGTTTTATGCGTCGGCACGATCGCGAGATTTCCATCAATTCCCTATTTCGAAACAACCGGGCCAATGAGCGGCAGGCGGAGGGGCCCGGATAATCTGGGCCGTGTAACAATGCCAGATGCATGGTTCGTGTTTCATCGCCTCATGCATCGCATCGCATCTGCAGAGACGAGTTAATTGGCCCAACTAGGACCAGGGTATACCGGAGAAGGGAAGCGGTTCGGGACCCCAAGCACAGCATTTCGTCATTCCATAACCATTTCTTTTCTGTCGAGAAACACGCTGGAATTTCAAGACCAATATGAATATCAGCCATTATTGACTATCAATGATTTTCAGTAGAGTAGTGTCTCGTACGTTACTGTCCTTTTTCTATCATCCATCCTCACCATGCCCAGGGAGCAAATGTCGCCCCTATAGAAAACGTTGGTCCTCGCTCGTTATCCATTTCGACATATCCTCTAACCGGTAGGCAATTGCGCCCCTTCCCCGCGAGAAACCCGCTCTGCTCTTACGATGCATATGCAAGAAAACGCCTGTGACTGTCGCTGATGCAAAGTGCAGTCCCGTGAACACCATATTGTGAGTGTGACCCACAATGGAAAAAGATTTGTGCCCTCTGATTTGAACTCAGTCTACCAAGAAAAGTCCAGGCCCTGACAAAAACGGATGGGAGGATGTGGAATATGTATAGTATTACAGGTGGTGGTATCTTCAAAATAAAGAAAGCAAAAAAAGACAAACTCGCTCCATTGTTATATGTTGAAATCAAAACATCCTTGGTCCATGAGCCAAGATCGCTAAAACGGAAGGGTTCCTTTCTTTCCTCCGGAACGAGAAAAGAGAGCGAACACCTAGTATTACGGCATGATTATATTTGAAGCGTCGAAGGCGGCTGGCTGCCCTGCTAGTGCATCCGGCCCGGCCCTTCAGGCTTCTCGATGAGGCCACCGATATCCACACGGTTGGTCCTCTCCTCTCGTTGGTACCAGTCTTGATCTCGAGGGGGGCCTTGCCTCTCCATCGGCGATCGAATGGGAGGCAGCTGATACGTCGGGGTGTGAGATTGCGGGGCGGGAGGACGTTGGCTTCGAGGTGTGTGATGCTGGGGGCCTTCTTGATATTCGTGTCTATTTGAAAAGGGCGAGTAGGAAGACCCGCCAGGGTGGCTCATACCACGATTGTGGAGTGGAAGCGACTGAGGGGCAGCTGGGAGCTGTCGGAGTGGCGGAGAATGCTGAGGAGGACGGCTGTGCCCCACGGGGGTTTGTCGGTGCTGTTGTGGGTAGGCAGAATAGGATGGCCCTCCGTGTGGTGAGTAGGCCATTGGTGCGTTGCGATCAAGGTGAGGCGCCGGTACCGGCTGTGTCAGTCGATTGCCCATCCCAAGAAGAGCCACAACGAAGAAGAACGATCCTTCTTTTGCAAGGCCAATCTGTACTGGAAATACCCGAGTTTGGCCATCAACAGCAACGAAGGTCAAGTATTCCGGATACCTCAGGGGAAATCTACCGAAATCTTCAAGCGTAAATCCCATGCCCGAAAGCACTTGCTCGCCTCTACCTAAGATAGGAGGTAAATAATTGGGCGCTATCCGCTTCTGCTCGGTGGATAGTTCGCTCTGCAGTCTCTTGATCTTTTCTCTTTCGCCGAGAGCAACGGTTTCTGCCAACGTTCGACGAGGTCCGAGACCCCCAATGGCATCATTGAAAGCATCTGACACTCGAGAAAACTCAAGGTCCAATGTCAGATAGGCGACAGGCTCCTGTGGCCTCGAGTTGATGATTGGTCTCCCGTATACATCCTCCTCGGGGTAGTATCCTCTATCTGTATGGTGAAGACCTTGATGCTCGCTAGGATGAGGATGCAACTCCCTACCAGGCTGGTGTTGCATGAGGCTGTCATACCCAGAACCACTAGCGTTAGAGGTGGGGTAGATGTTGAGAGATCTCCGGAAGGCATTGTCATGTGGAGGCGGGGGTCTTGAAAGGTCATATCGGGCTTCCCGGTCGTCTCGTAATCGGGGACGTCCTCTCTTTTTATGTACGACGTCGTGGCAGGAATCTTCTTTGCCGTTACTTATACATCGTGAGCATGGGCGTTGAGCTACACAGTGTTAGCAAATCGGACACTTCAGTCAAACTATGCACATTCCCTCTGCAAGTCAAAAAGAAAACAGACCCAGCAGCTTCTGGTTCTTGGGCACTTGCCCTGTCACGCCAATCCAGAGAAGTCGCTACACAGAGAACAAGGAGTCCATCAGCTTCGGGCATTCCATGCATCTGCCAAGTCCTCTCCGGCTTTTGCCAGGGTACCGTTAGACTAAGAGGTCTGCCATCGGTATCGACAAGGAAATCTTTGCGAGCGAGAGACTTTCGTTGTCAGAGGACTTTGTCCAGCGTTACACTGATCCAACCCGCTGGGACCCATTGAACAATATGCACACCAGATCCCGCCACGGCCAATTTAGGCGATTTGGGGCAGACGGATCTTGTGGCGCTCGTGTTGCACTCGAATTGCCCCTTGTCTCTGGTGTGACATGGACCAAACCAATGGCCAACGGAAACCTGCAGCATCAGCCATGCTGGAGGTGTCCGGGGCAACTTCCCGCGCAAAACACCGGGCGGGTCAGGTGGAATCCGAGGTATGACCCTGGCTTTCGCTCAGGAACATTCTCTAGATTTCCTATCCCGACGGCCTGAACAGAAAGGGACTTGCTTCTTGGTCTTGAGAGGGAAGGGAGAGGGTATCAAAATATACATACAATCGCATCTGAAGAACAGAGGGTGTGTTAGCAAGTTGCGGGCACAGCTGGCGGTGTAACTACTAACCTAAGATGAGCTTTCTTGCAAGGGACACATGCAGAAGCGACATGTCCCTTTGCTTTCCTCTGCGACTTTGGGGAGGCTCCAGGCTGGCTTTCAACAGTCGAGGGACGGCTGCCGATGAGTTGAGGGCTTGGGCTAGGTTGGGGGTACGGGAGAGCCTGGGGAGCCCCTTGCGAAATGCTTGGCAGACTCTGGCCCTGAGGATGGTAGGAAGGTGGTCGATTCGAGCGATCGCTAGGGTGCTGGTAGCCGTAGTTCATTCTTTCTAAGGCGGCAGAGGGGTAGGATCGAGAATAAAGATCCGGAACACCGGGGTAACCTTGCGAGGATCGTGAGTCTGTCGGAGATGATTGGGTCGAGTACCCCCCGTATGCATCTTGAGGAACTGCTGATGAGTAGTTGCTTGGTATGAGGGCGAGGTCGCTCGCTTCTGAAGTCGCCTTGTGCAGAGTGTGAGGGGAGCCTGACATGGGCGGAGATGGATACGGAGAAGGCCGGGAAGCAGACCTTCCTGTCTCTGACCGATCGGTGGCCCAACTTGAATCGAGGGCGACCCGTGCGAGATCAGGGATGCGATTATTCGGCTTGTCAACAGGGAAGCCCGAGTCGTAAGCACGGCCTACAAGTGGCATGGAGACGAGAAGAGGTTGTCTCTATGTGGAGGGCCGGAACAGAGGCCAAGAAGACCTGCCGTAGCAGTCAGTAGCAAGCTCAGCTAGGGGGAGTTTGGATCAAGTGTGCAAGCAGCGAATGCATGACGATGGAATCTTGGTGATAGGTCATAGACCGGAGCAGCTCGGCCCAGGACAACACCACTGATGGAAATTTCTTGGTCCTGAGCCGGAGTGGCCAGTCTAGACCTTCACCAGAGGTAAGTAGGCAACTTACGAAGTGGTGGGAGTTGATCGCGCCAGAGATGTCCTCCGAATACTTCCTTATTTTCTTTCTAGAATCTTATTTTCCCCTTGGTACCGTCCAATCCCAACTCTTGCTTGTCCCAGCAACTTTTTTATTCTTCACTTGAGACCTCCCGAGGCCAGGGTGGAAGACGAGGAGTGAAAAAATTAAATCCGGCAGTGGAGGCGACTGTTAAAAGCTTGTGGTGGCTAGAAGAAGACGAGGGGCGACGAGTTCACGCTTGGATGGCGGCCAAAATCGGAAATGTAAAAACAGGATGGTAAAGGCGCAATATTCATGGATAAAGCTGGGGATAAAGCCGCGGAGGAGAGGAAATTGAAGGCAGGGCGCAGGACGAGCAAAACGCAGGTCAATGGAGTGAGACCAGATGCTGCGCTGTGATACTTGCAGCAGGAGGATGTTGAAGCCGTTCGTGATACAGTATGCGGCGGCGGTGCAGGCGGTCGTCAAGATGGTGCAGTCGGCCAGCTGCAGCGTCGTAGAGCACAAGCAGCTTGCAGCGGGATGATGGAAGGCCGGCGACAACGGCTGGCTCACAAGGCACAAGTGAGCACTATCAGGTATTGCGGCAAGGAAGCCGAGTAGCGCAAAAAAGAGAAACGAACGAAAGAAGCTGGCTGTAGGCGGCTTGAGGTCAGGTTTTGTGCAGCTATTGCCCTGGA